CGTCGCAGGGCATGCCGGCCACTTCAAGACGTTGGAGCTGATCTCTCGGAACTACTGGTGGCCCCAGTTGTCTCGACACGTCGGCCGGTATGTGGCCACCTGCGACCTGTGCTGCCGAACCAAGGCGCTCCGCCAACTCCCAATCGGGGAACTCCATCCCACGGAGGTCCCTTCGGAGCGCTGGGAAGCAGTGTCGGTTGACTTCATTGTGCATCTGCCAGACGCTCACGGGTATGATGCTATCATGGTCGTTGTTGACATGCTTGGGAAGCGCAGCCACTTTATAGAGTGCCATACCCGGCTCTCTGGTGAAGGTGCCGCCAGGCTTTTCTACAAGAACGTCTGGCGCCACCATGGGCTGCCGTCTAAGTATGTCTCTGACCGCGGCTCCCAGTTCATAGCAGAGTTCACGCAGGAGCTGTGGAAACTCGTCGGGGTCTCATCGGCAATGTCTACCGCTTGGCATCCACAGACGGACGGCCAGACCGAGCGTGTGAACCAGGAGCTCGAGCAGTTCCTCCGGATCTTCACCAGCTACAACCAGGACGATTGGGACGAGCTGCTTCCCGCTGCAGAGTTTGCCTACAACAACCATATTCACTCATCCACGCTGCAGGTCCCGTTCATGACAGATACCGGTCGACTCCCTCGTATGGGCTTCGAACCGAATGGACTACGCTCAGCTGTGAACGAGTCGGCAAACGACTTCCGCGACCGCATCGCGTCTGGAGTGGCAGAAGCCAAGTCGGCACTGGTGAAGGCAAAGGATGAGTACAAGCAGTACTATGACCGCCGGAGGGTCTCAGCTCCAGACATCAAGGTCGGAGATCGAGTCTGGCTTGACGCTTCTGACATAGCAACAACGCGCCCGTCCCTCAAACTCTCTCACCAACGGCTGGGTCCCTTCAAAGTCACCCAGGTTGTTGGGCGCGGCGCTTACAAGCTTGACCTCCCTTGCCGCCTCTCTGGTCTTCACCCGGTCTTCCCCGTTGTCAAGCTGCAGCTCGTTGAGGACGACCCGTTCCCAACACGCCCGGCTCGCGAGGAGCCGCCACCCGTCATGGGCCAAGGAGCTGGCGAGGAGTGGGAAGTCGAAGAGGTCCTGGACGCCAAGATGCGCTACCGGAGCATTTGGTACTTCGTGCGGTGGAAGGGCTACGATTCGTCGCACGACCAGTGGGTTAAGCACTCTGATATCTTCGCAGAGGACGCTATAGCGGCATTCTACCGCAAACACCCCAACAAGCCACGCATCATTGCCGCCGCCATCTTCGACTCCCTTCCGTTCCAGCACCCCTCTGCCACCATCCGCACGTTGCGTCGAGGCGCCGCAATCCAAGGGGGGGTGATGTCAGGGGAACCCCCGCTTCGGACCGCTCTGCCTTCGATCAGGCATGTGATCGCGCTCGCGTGACCTGTCAGCTGTCACACGCCGCGGCCCGGACTGCCGCGCCAAGCGCTTCTCTCTGATGGGCACATGGTCAGCTGTCCCATCGTTCCCACTGTCTCGGTTTCCTATTGTTCTCCAATGGCCATTGTACTTATTGTTCCCATTGTTCTTTGTTTGTTGCTGCGCGCTCTATTGTTCTTGTATCATATAAATAGTGGCGCCTGGCAAGGAGAATCCCCAACACGGTTTCTCTTTGGATTCTCCCTTGCCAGGTATGCCGGTCTTGTACCTAGCTACCACTATTGACACTTTGGATTCTCCCTTGCCAGAACTCTGAGATCGGGTCTCGAGGTTGCCCTTACATTTATACCCAAATCCAGTCTGAGTCATATCTACAACTAATGAGTCATAAGGCTATGTACTGCATGGAGCACTGGTCATGGGTTGTAGTAGAACCTTCCGGAGCATATGTTGCGCAGCCCCAAATGGATAAAGATGATCCCCTGGATCCCTAGCCCAGACTGTCGGATACCATGATCCATGATAAGATAACCCGCGCCAAGATAAGATAAGATCATTGGTGATAAGATGAAAAAGTGGCTGAACTATGACACATATCCCAATACTTTCCTGCATTGGACAATTGATCAAAAAATATTTGTAGCACCCACCACATTGGCCAAGAATTTTTGGCCTGCTCATGAGAGTGTACCTAGGACCCTTGCCCTTCATTTGATGCAGTTAGGTGGGGTATTATTCATATTTATTGGTATGCTATTCATGAGGTTTCTTTAGGTGTCCCACATCCCGTCCCTCCACAGTAAGTTACAATTATATACACTCGTAAAAAATGTATCTGGTGTAACTTCAAAAAATTAGTCCCCCCGCAGTGAGCGGCCCAACTGCTGAGTTGTAACTAACGCGGCCAATTACCCAGGGGCCAGGTTTGACAGTGCAGATCAAGTAGACAGCGTGAGAAATGAGGGTATGATCGAAGCACACCGGGGGATCATTAAAAAAAGGTGCCCCAATCAAAGATTTATATTTTCAGTATTGTAGTACAAAAACTATGCTACAATAGGTTGCCCAATACTTTTAATATAATCTGCCATCATCGGTTACCTGTTGTATCAGCTATTGCATCCCAAAACGGGACCTACAATTGATTGCATATTAGGTCCAATCAAGACCACGTTTTTTCTTGTCCTTTTTTGTAAGATATCAGGGCTCATTTATATTCAAGGTATGGTGGCATGATTTATTGGACTCAATCTCTCACAAAATGGGGTCTAGATCAATGGCTCAGATATCTGAGCTATTGCAGCCCGAGAACAGTCTGCCCAGATATCTCCGATATTGGGGTAATTTTTTTCTATCAGTCGGTGGCAATGTGCACCAATACTGGGCAAACTGTTCTTGGGCTGCAATAGCTCAGATATCTGAGCCATTGATCTAGACCCCATTTTGTGAGAGATTGAGTCCAATAAATCATGCCACCATACCTTGAATATAAATGAGCCCTGATATCTTACAAAAAAGGACAAGAAAAAACGTGGTCTTGATTGGACCTAATATGCAATCAATTGTAGGTCCCGTTTTGGGATGCAATAGCTGATACAGTCACGGCGAAATTAAAAGGCCCAACCCAAATTGGGAAGGTGCCAATCAGTAGATCAATTCGTTACTAAGCTTGTCTGCTTGTCCTCCTACGTCGCGTACACAATACATAGCGCGTTGTTTTAAGCTCGTACCGTGTTGTTGAAGTGACCAAGCAGACTGTTGACCTTACGGGACGCGATGTGAGTACAAATAGGGCCACCCAACGCAACATCTCACTGACCTTTCCCGTCCTCTTCCCCATGCCTCCCTCTCCTCCTAGCACCCCTCCCGGCACCCCTCGAGCCCAGCGTGCCTATGTGTGCATCACCCCGACAAAGCGCGCGATGGCTTCCGTCATGCATGACAGGTGCAAGATGTCCTACACGAAGATCTGCACTGTCACTCCCTTCCGCCAGGCAAAGATCAAGCCCCGTGCACTCGCCAAGAGCATGCAGAAGGTAGCCAACCACAACGGCAACCTCTACTACAATGGCAAGAAGGGAACGGTTGGGAGGAAAAGGGCGGTCTCTGAGGAGCAAGTCCAGGAGGCTATGGACAAACTGGATTCGGGGGAATTGGTCGATGGTGAGCAGGTGCATCGTCTGCTGTGGCCTAATATCCCTGCCCGTACGGTGCGTCACAGTCTCTCTACTCTGATGTTGCTTACAAGGGCCCTCTCCAGTCGCGAGACACCCTTTCGAAGCATGGCATGCCTGGTTTTGCGCAGCGTCAGAAGCTCCCCCTCACTGATCGACACCTTGTCCAACGTGAAGAGATGTGGAACAGGTTCCAATCCTGGACCAACCCCGATGTCTTCAAGGGGGGCGTGATGATAGTCAGCGACGAGACGAAGATGATGATCGGCTCATCAGATGGTCGTCGCTGGTGTCGTCGCCGACGCGGGGAAGGTGTTATGGATCTACACCGTGTCCAGATCGAAGAGCGCCACGGTAAGTTCAATGTCAAGATCAATGTGTGGGGAGCGATACACCCAAAGGGTGTCAGTGACCTTGTGTTAGTCGAGGGCAATCTCACAGCTGTGCAATATGTCGACATTCTTGAGCGTGCCATGATCCCTGTCTACAAACACTACGAGAACCAGGCCCACACTTTCCTCTACTTCCAGCAGGACAATGACCCAAAGCACACATCCAAGCTCGCCAAGGCGTGGTTTCGTCAAAACGACATCACTGTCTTCCCATGGCCTGCGAAGTCGCCTGACATGTCAGCGATCGAGAATGTCTGGGCCGAGCTCAAGCGACGTTGTCGTTCCCACCCTCGTTACAACACCATTCGGACAGCAGAGGCGCTGTTTGAGATTGCGAAGGAGGTGTGGAATTCAGAAACCTTTTGTGACTATGTCATTCATTGCTATTACTCATTCCCTCGCCGTCTGGACCAATTGAAAGAAAATAACTTCTATTGGATAAACTACTAGCTGTCCCTAATGTATAAATCCCTTGTATAATGTACATACTCTTGTTGTAGCATCTATACTATGAAATGCGGCTCTCTTGGCCTAATCAGGCGAGTTGTGATGGCACCTTCCCGATTTGGGTTGGGCCTTTTAATTTCGCCGTGACTGTACAACAGGTAACCGATGATGGCAGATTATATTAAAAGTATTGGGCAACCTATTAGAGTGTATTAGCTTCTTTAAAAAATGACTTTTCCCAAGAAAACTTTCCAAAGAAAATGGTTTAGATTCTACAGAAAAGCGAGCTGACAGGTCAGAATCGTTGAGTGACGTCGTTGTCACAATGTGTCACATCCATCGTAGCACCCTCCGCTTACCTCTCATGGTATCTGTTTTGCTATATATTCCACCCCTGGGCTCCACCGCATTCGTCAGAAACGATGGCAGAGACGAGTCGTGAGAAGTTGGTGGGATACGAGGACGGCTTTGGTGGGCGTGACAGGGCATGTGATTGCGTTGGTTGCTCAAGTGGAGCGAATTGATTTGCCATCATTTACAGAATCGGTCCCAACTTAACCGAGATTCTACAGAATATCGTTTGAAAACCGTTTTTTAAAGAAGCTAATACACCCTATTGTAGCATAGTTTTTGTACTACAATACTGAAAATATAAATCTTTGATTGGGGCACCTTTTTTTAATGATCCCCCGGTGTGAAGCTCACCTTGGCTCATGACTGTGATCGCTGCAAGCGGTTAATATAGCACTTCCCAGAAGAGACTCGTCGGAAACTCACAAACAGGATGAGATTATGGAGCCTCGCTCCTTGCTCCTCAAAGTTTGCTGCTCCGTTACTTCGAACTGGCTCCTTCTCACTGAGGACGCCGAAGCGCACTGGTCTCGTGACGGCTCTGGGTTCACCCTATCGCAACTTGTCTAGTGCATCAATGAGTACTCCCTACCCCGGCCAGAAATCAGCACTGAATGTTGTCTTGGTATGTTGGGATCTATTCCGCCCTCCAGCGATATCCCTCTCACGGGTCGGATCGTAGGGTACGATGTCTTTCGCTGCCCCGGGCACCAACGGAGCTCGCGTGTCGGACCCCAAAGAGATCGAGGAGATGGTCGACCTTTTCCTCAGCCATGGCCACCGCGAAGTGAATAGATCTTCGCACGCACTTCCTGCGCCTGATGCCCCGAACAGCTCGACGCGGCGCGGTTCTACGGGGCCGGTACCAACGAGCAGCTTCTCGGCAATATGGACTGGAAGGCCAAGGGCGTGTTGATGGAAACCAAGCTATTCTCTGTGCCGGTGCGTCAATGAATCAGCATCGTCTACGCGTGGATCGTCCTCAATGATCGCCCAAGCCCGAACTGGGGCTCAAGCACATCGGCGATCATTCGCCTGAAAGCATCCGCAAGTTCTGCCAGATGTCGCTCGACGCTCTCAAGACTGAGTAAGCACATCGTTTCGGAGTCCTTGAAATCTCTCTCACACTCGCGTAGCCAGGTTGAGATGTGGTATCTGCACGGCCCTGACCACCGCAACTCTTTCGAAGATTCGCTGCGCGCGGTCAACGAACTTTACAAGGAGGGGAAATTCAAACGCCTGGGCATCAGCAACTACACCGCCTGGGAGGTTGCCGAGATCGTCGGGATCTGCGAACGGCATGGATGGGTGAAGCCTACGGCATACGAAGGACTTTACAACGCGATCCACCGGGCGGCGGAGCCAGAATTGTTTCCCTGTCTTCGCAAGTTTGGGATTGCGTTCTACGAATACAACCCACGTCAGTATGACGTCGTGTGGTCGCAGCGTTCATGATTCACATGTCTTGCAGTTGGCGGAGGCTTCTTCACTGGGCGTTACACCGGCGCAGACAGTGGAGCGGACCCTGGGTCTCGCTTCGACAGCAGCCATGCAGCTGGCACGGCAAGTCGTATGCTTCCATCTGCAGCTCTCTGATCTCATCTGCGTTTCAGATGTACCGGAAGCGCTACTGGAATGACAGCTACTTTGAAGCACTTGCCGAGATCAAACGGGTTGGCGAGAAACATGGGCTCACGTTGCCCGAGATTGCGCTGCGCTGGATTAATCACCACTCTCTCATGAAAAGGGAGCACGGTGACTCGATCCTCATCGGTGCTTCTCGGAAGTCGCATCTAGAACAGGTACTGTCCATTCGTGTTGCCTTCTGGCCATCGACTGAAGGCTAACGACCCGTCCAGAATCTCGTCGATCTTGAGAAGGGACCCTTGCGTGAGTCCGCCTGCCAGCCTCGGTGCATATCGTTGACACTTATCTTAGCGGAGGAAGTGGTCAAGGTGCTGGACGACATGTGGGACACGAAGCTCAAAGGTGTTTGCTCAAGCTATGCATTCGATTTATACAAAAAGTAAGATAGACGTATCCAGCGGCAATTTACACAGCAAAAATATAAAACGTTGATTACTTGTTTGAACTAACTAGAAGATGATGTGTCCTGATCGGTGTTGGTCACTCTGAATGCAGTCTTGCTGTCGCGGGCAACAGGAGCTCCGTAGACCGATCTGGACGCAGTGGAGTCCGCGTAGCTGGGGGGCGGCATGGCCTCTGGCGGATCAGGCGCAGCGTGGGCAAAGCCGCCGCCGACTTCGGCACGAGACACATTGAATCTGTTTTCCACCTCAGGCTCGGGCTTATCTTGTATGCTATCCTCTGTGCGTGTCGAGCTGCGTGAGTTCGTGCGGCGCGGTCTTTCGTACGTCGTGAACTGTGTCGGCGACATCTGCATGGTGTGGCCCACAGGAGTATCCTCACGCGGCTGTTTCCGTCGGCGGAAGTAGAGAAAAGCAACAGCGAGGCCAATGGCAACCACGGCGATGGCGAGGCAGATGATCGCCACCGAGCTCAAGTCCTGGTGATGGCTCTGGTCGCCGCTGCCGTCTGTGCTCGCCATAATTTGGGGCACGCTCGGTGCGGCGAGAACATCGGATGTGCCGAGCAGTTGTTTCCAAGGTGCCATCCCAAACTTGCCCTGAACGACGGCCGAAGTCAGCGAGATAGGCGGCAAGGCCAGAAAAGCGCTGGGGCTGCTGAAGTTCGCACTGAAACTCCAGGACTGGTCGGTTACGACAGTATCCGAGCTGCCGTCCGCGTATCCGACCTGCATCGCTGCGATGAACCCAGCGGACGACACATCCGGGGTCTGCGTGTGACCGGGGAAATTCTGCGCTATGACGTCAAAGACGAGGGACGTCGAGTCAACCGGAAATGCGACTTGTTGCGCATATGTCCATGACTGATAAACTTCGTTCGCAGTATTCGGATCGAAGGGGGGTGCAGCGATGAACACACCGTTGACATACAGCGAGAAGGTGTTGTCGCATGTGATGAGAGCGGTACCAGAAACAGCTTTCTTGCCAGCCGGGATCGAGAACGTCTTTCGAAAGCCGAGAGTCCCGACAGGTGCGGCGACGGATGCGTTTGCGATTGACCAGATCCACGAGCTGCCGTCCAGTGAGAGGGGGGAAGCCGACGCCCCAGCAGATGGTGCTGGTGGCTTGGGAAGGGTGCGTGTGACGACTGGCGGGAACAACGACAAATCCTGCGGGTCGGGGAAAGTGGTTGGCACATTCGCGGCCGCCAACCAGTTCGAATCTGAGACAAAGGTGCTGGACGGCGTCGACCCGGAAAAGTCGACCTGAATCGACGCACTGATCGCCGGTGTGCAAGTGCCATTCTGCACCAACACTGAGAAGAAGTTCTGGGTCGTGTTCAGCCCGACGCGCGCGACTATAGGCGTGGTGAGGTTCTTCGTCTGCTGCCCCACCGGTTGCCCATTCACCCAGAGGGTGACAACATCATAGCAAACAGCGTTGACTGTCACGGTCGCATTCGTTGCGGGTTGTCCCACCGTCGAGACCAGTTGTTTGAAGAATCCGACTTGCGATGTCGATTTGTCGAGGGTTCCGTCAGAGGAAGCGGCCGATATCCATGCTGCGGATGCAGATGGCTGTGCGCCCCTCGGCGTCAGAGACGCTTGTCGGCCACGAATGACCCGGGCATCGACGTCTGAGCTCTTTTGTCAACGACCAGTGAAGGTGGTCCCAGCGCGGGCTTACAATTATAAGAATTGAACGGGAAAAGGAGAGCAACAAGGGAAAGAATGAGAAGTGGACCTAAGTGTATTCCTCGTATTAGATACCACGATAAGGTAGAACGCAGTGGGAACCCTCGCACCTGAGAACGCGTCACTGAGCATGGAGATCCTCCTTCCAGGTGGCCCGCAGTTTCGCGAAGAGTAAACGAAAATTAGCTCGCCTTGCGAGGTGGAACAGAGTCGAAGGAAAGGGCTGAACACTGGGCGACCATATGGGCTTGATTTCGCGTCTCCGGTTCCATTATATGACAGGTGTCGGCACAGTAAGAGCACGCTCAGCCGTTGCTAAGCTGGTGACACCCATCGGATGGTCGCCCACTCGAGACCATGCACTTCTCGCCCCACTGAGCTCTGTGCAGGGAGAATATAGGAGCGATATGCACAATGCACCCACAATCTCAGTTACAGACTGTATTCAAGCTTCAACCCACAAATTCCTTTTCCCGTTACGCGACGAAATTCCGAAGATCGTGCGAAGTCCGGTTGCATGAGAATATTCAAGATCAGGCTGATGACACCGAAAAAGCCCGAGGGTCGCTTGCTCTGAGCCCCCAACACGAGTCGAGGCTGTGGGCGAAACACATGGGATTTTCGAAAAAGGCCCTTAAGTCCGGTTTAGAAGACAAGTGGAGTAGATACAGGGCTGCACTGAGGCAGGTGGCGGGAGAACGAAGATGCTCCGTGTAGCTGTGCTGCATGTGTGCTTACGTACATTGATTTGAATGTCGAAGTGATGCGCTGATGCGACATAAACTGCCTCCGCATCTGTTCATCCACATCCCATCATACATATACCATCGACTGTCCCGACGACTACCGAATGGCACCAAGTCAGCGCCTCCACTATGAGTCATCATCAGGTATGCCGTGAGTCCAGAGGCACAGTCCGCTCCGAGCCCCTCCAGATCGACTCGGAGATACGCGTCTTGCGCTGTTGCGCTGTGTATGTCTCACACATCAACTCGACTTCTTCTTTGTATGCGATTTCTTCTAGGTGAGATTAGGGCCTAGGCTAGCATCTCAAAGTCTAAGGCTCTCCAAGGCTCAAAGCCTGTGCAAAGCCTCAAGCTCAATGCTTCTTGTCACAATGCGACAGAGATGATTGCCCATCCGCGTCGATCTCGCTTACAGCCACTTGGCAATGTTGGCATCCCGGTTCCGTCAACCAAAAGATGGGAGGTCGATAGGCCTTGACTGCTCACTGCGCTGGTATCGGGACGCTGGGAGAAAGGATCGTCGATGTTCCAGTGTATGCGTCCAGGTGGGTGAGATTCAATTTACAAGCGCTTCGCCTGTGAATGCCGAAAATAGCTCGACTAGTCACCCTCTTGAACTGCTTTCTGTTCCTGATCTTCTCCAACGGTGAGCCCCTTCCGAACACCCATACCTTCCTCGTCCGGGCGCTCAGCTGCTCCCAGGTGTCCGAGCCCAGCTCGTAACACGATTCGAGGACTCGCGATCTAGGAGAGCCGCGCCTTCGCTGGCATCAGCCTCGTGGATTTGGGCGCCCGGGACGAACGGCACAGCCAATACCAGCGCCCATACCGTCGCATTCACCAAACAACTGGTCTCGCCCTCCGCTCTACTTGCAACCAACGCGACAATAACTTTCGGAGCTGTCGCCGTCGGCGCTGCGACACTGTGGATCAACGACCAACCCATCGGCCAGCTGCTTCCGAACACCACGGAGGAATTCACTGTCGTGCGAGCTGCACTCAATGCGAGCATCAACGTCGTCTCTGTGTTGATCCAGAATGCACATTACTCTGCTGCAGATCGGCCGGGATTCGTCGCCTCGATCCAGGTCTCATATGCTGGGGCAGGTCTGTCCAGCACAGCCGTGTCAGACGCCAGCTGGCTCGCGACCTCAAACGTGCAGATCGGCTTCCCTGCCGCCGTGAACACAAATCTCCTGCCGGCTGTGATTACCGCACCCTTCTTGAGGGACGTTTCTCCCGTAGAATCCTCCGACCCTCCGTGGGCTGGCAGCTCTTGGTTGTGGACGACGGCAGGTGCTGAAATTAACGCCGATTCAGGGACGGCCGGGTTTCGCAAGGAGTTCGTCAGCCCCGATGGGAAGACACCTCAACTCTTGCGGGGCCTGATTGCGAGCGACAACGCATTCTCGTTCTATGTGAACGGCATCTTCGTCGCTGCGTCGCCGTTCAATCCCAGCTCTGTAAACCAAACCTCGCTGGCGCTTTTGCAGTCCTGGGAGTACGCTCAAGCGGTGAAAAGCCCGCTCAACTCGTCGACAGTTGTCCTGGACGTGATTGTGGATAATTACCCCCAGATTGGCACCACTATCAACGCCGCAGGCTTTGCTGCGAGCTTCCAGCTTGTGTACGCGGACAGCATCAGCGATTCACTGTACACGAACGCGTCCTGGTCATGCGGCCAGAACTTCAGCAGCGACGGGGACTTTGTGACCACGCCGACTGCTTCGATGCACTCTGTGGCTGTGCTCGGTCCTTTTGGAATGGGACCCTGGGGGCAGCTGTTTGCCGTGTCCGACGTCCTCGCAGCCGCCGCTGTTCCCCGAATCACAGCCACTCCCAGCGCTTCGGCGGCTCCAGCGACCAGCAAGCCCCGGTCTTACAACAGGACAGTGGTGATTGTATGTGTCGTTGTTTCTGTCAGCGTTGCTGCTGCGGCCGTCATTGCTTTGCTCTATCGACGTCGGTCTCGCACTGGGCCGACAGTGACCCCCTATTCGGCACTTGCCAATGGAGCGGACGACGACCTGCAGGGTGTCGAGCTCACCTCGTCTGTGGTGACCCCGTATCGGAAGACCTACGCCCAGTCGTCCATCCACTCGCCGCTGCCGCCCCCGTATTCGTCGGCATCCGGTCCGGCTGCTCGTAGCGGCAAGCCCGCATCGCGGCTGAGGACGCCGCCGTGAATGTCATTTGCGGAATTGTATATTTTGTCTTAAATATTGTACGTACTTACAGCCATGTAATTGTTAGTTCTTACGACCAATCTGGATACATACCCCGGAGGCATCGTCCCCGGCATCACCTCTCCCGTTGATATCGTCTGTTTGTGAAATTGATTTGTGAAGGTGGTCATCTTTGGGGGCAAGTATGTTACATTCAGCAAAGTGTCAGGTATACATCTTGAAGATGGTGATTAACGTGTAGACTAGGCTTTCAGTCCCGCTCTTGTGCGGGACGCAGATATCATTGTCGCACTGCACGAAACAGGTCAGGCCTGTTACGACGAAACGAAACGAAACGCGAGACGCACGATGGTGTTCGGTATGCGTTCCAGACATAAATAGCAAACCCGGCTTCTATCGAAGCCCACGCGAGAAGCGTCTGCGAAAGAAGGCGCTGTGTCAGCATCTGGACCAACCATGAAAACAGAAGCACTCACATTACGGCGTGCAATGATCAGATTAAACATGAGAGTCGAGGTGGTGGTTTTGTCTTGAGTGGGGGTGTTGTACTGAGCGACACTCGGTTGAAGTAGGTTGTGGATGGAGGCAGAGTGGTATTCAGAGCCTGTTTTTATGGAGGCAGATCGCGATCACGAGAGTCCAGCTCTACCTAGAGCGCCACGGCCCCGTAATATCCCGAGCAAAGCCGGCCGTCAGGTTCTGGAGACTCTCCACGCCCATCACGGGCATTGGTCTAGACGCATTAGCGGTCTCGGCTGTGGTCCTTAGCTATCTCTGGAGAGGGTAAGCTGGTCTGCAAAAGATGATTGTCGGGGAGCTGAGCAATTTGGGTGATTGAGCTTGGTCGTGAAATAATACGGCTCAGCTGAGCGCGGTCGGGTAAGTGGCACAGAAGAAAGGACCGTTCATCTGCACGTGAAAATCACGTGTCTCATATTACGCCTCACGCGTTTGTGACTGCTTGTGTCCATGATTTTCGAAATGACAACTTGCGAAAGCAATCGATTAGGGCTGTACTAGAATAAATAGGATACCCAAAACATCATCCACCAACTCCTGTGCACGGTGATCATCTCCCCAAAGACCGAGGTCCGGCGGGAACAAGTTGGCTCTGCGGTCTGTTGCAAGTGTAACGCTTCCTCCGCAGTGGCAGTTGAATCCGGGATGGAGTCTTTGACACAACCGAATCAGAGGCAGCCCGAAGACGCCCATCAATGGTCACCCTCCTGATTTCCAAATCAGCACTGTCAGAACGGGCCACAAGCTCTGCCCGGGATGAGGGCAGCCGCAGCCGCCGCGGTGTCGATATGACCGGACGATAGAAGACAAAGCCGTCGTCGTCGTCTTCGTCAGCGAAACTGGCACCGTCGTCCACTTTCCCGGCGGATCCCGCGACGGGTGATTCGCAGAACACGGCATCTGGGCACAAGCGGGACACCATCTCATCGCTGGTGCAACCGGAGCACGGCGGACTCGAAACGGTGACATACACGTCACGCTCGATGGTGACCTGAATCCCTCGGGGAGGATCGCTCCCACGCGATATGATGGGGGTGGACGTGGTGGGGCCCATCCGCTTGCAGATCCTGCTGCCGGGCCGCGACTTGTCCTGGACGTGGCGGATGATAGAGGAGAGTGAGATTGTGCGGCGGGGCGGGCTGGACGGGGACAATCGTGTCTCGAGAGAGATTGCGGCCGACGGAGGGAGGATCGGGGTGCTGAGGTGCGAACAGTCAGATTGGGACGACACCGGTGATACCTCCCCGATGAGTGGGCTGGCGACGATGGGACGAAACAGAGACTGCGTGAGATCGATGCGCAGGTTCGGCTTGGTGGGGCGCAGACGCTTGGGTGGTCCAACGAGACCATTTCGTGAGCCGGAAGGGAGAGACGATGAACGTGGCCCTGGAGCGATAACAGGGAAGGTGCTCCTGAGTGGAGGACCAGAAGTTTGATTGTAACCTCGGACTTTGACAGAGCGTGGGGGGGAATCAGCAGCAGCAGCAACTGCGTCTTGAGCTGGTGGTAGTGGAGGTAAATCCCTGTCAAGATAGGCGAGGATGCGGTTGGAGGAACTTGGAGGGGTCTTGACCAATGAGAACCATATCAGTCAGGTGTGCATCGGACTCACAAGTCTCAGATCACAATTGCCGTCCATGGCGAGGGGACACGATTCTCAGCTCAAGCAAAGAACGAGTGGATGGAGGAGCTGCGGAGCACCGAGAGGTGTGTGGGACTCCATCGCGTTTGTCTTTTGAGGGCACATATAGGGAACAGACGGGAACGAAAGATGGAGAGATGTGGGAATGGATCTTCTTAGCGTCAAGCTCTCGATGCCATCTCGAGATCTGCGTCCAAGGAGACAGATTTCGGACAGTATTGCAGTGTTGATTGCATGATATACAAGCTCAGGTCTAAATTGGTTTGTCCAGAAAACAGGATCCAGTGCTCAGCGCTGCTCACTGAATGAAGTTCAGCTTGAGGTTCTCGAAGTCGAGTTAGACAGGGGGACACCCACAAAGCTTGTGTGATACGTACATAGATTAGGCTTTCCGTTATTCACCAGGGGATGGCCAGCTGCGACAAGAGCACACACCTCCGTCGCCAAAAGCTGGTGCCGCAAAGCGTGCGTTGCTTGCTTGTTCATGAATTTTACTTCCTCGAGAGTTCATAGCATCAGCCCTACGAGCAGCGAAGTGTACCACGTTCTATGAACTATGCGGACCCGGATCGACCGGCAGCATTGTGCCGCCTGATCTAATGCTCCGTGACAGTGTCCGAGACGCAGTTGTGCTCAGGCCATGGATTCTCCAACAGTTGATTGCGTGGAATCTTCGCCGGGCTTCGCGCCTTGCATTTTGCAGCGGCTTCATCAAATCTAGAGCGTCGGCACAGCGTCGGCACAGCGATCGAAGCATGAGTTCCGCATGGCTATCATCGCTGTTTCACTTCAGCTTCTTCCTTAGCTTTCCGGATTCCACCGCAACCAGACGAATGTACGTGCGGTGATCGTATCATAGAGTCGGGAAACAGTTGAACGACGATGATCCCGCACGGGATAAGATAGAATCCGAGCACTGGGTTGCGGGTGAAGGGAGCTGAGGTGATCTCTCGGGGTGCGGCGAACTCGTACGGGTGGCCAACTGGCACAAGGTGTGGTGGCATGCAGATGGCAAACTGTCAGCGCCGCGGATCACATCATAATTCAGCTTCACAGCCACGCTCGCCAAGGTTCCGCTCGAGTGGGCCTTGAAGCCGATCCCACCGTCGATCCATGCATCTCCTTATGCAAGTGCAAAAGTAGCGAGGAACTTCGAGCACCGTCTGCCTTCTCTCTCCCCGCTGTGCAGCAAATGCATCTTCCAGCACCCTGGTAACCGCTGCCATCTCCACGTCAACCTCTCTGCTGCCAGTGGGCTTTATTGGTTCCTGAGCCGTGTGTTTTATAGCCCCTGGCAAGCGGTGATCCAGCCCATTCTTCTTCTTGTTCTTCGCCTCCTCCCTGATCAAACAGAATGACCCTGCATTCTCCGTCTGGCCCCGCTCCTCAAAAAGTCGCGTCCGTTGCGTCGTCGTCGACGACCGACCGTTCAGCCATGCCCACATTCCGCCGCGCACTCAGCGACAACGAGCTGTCAGTCTCATGCTAGGGATCTCTGCTATTTGGCTTAGCCGCTACAGGTCGTATTATCTGCCCAGCCGAGCTTTCGGGATGAACGATATCAATGGTCTCGTTGCACACACAAGCAATGACGATGCCCCACTGACCTTCCGCTGCAGTGATGCTGACTTTCGAGGCCCCCAAGGACTTGATCACCCCCATCCGTGTGAGGACGGCCTGGGCAATCCTGCGGTTGAGGCATTCGCTCCTGGCAAGTCGGGTCGAGATGGAAGCGGGGCGATACGATGAGGCTTGCTTCGTGTGAGTCCGGCGCTTCTATACCCCTCTGCGCGGTTGACACTAGGCTCTAGCTACACACCACCTGCCAGCCCGATGGAGGCGATGGAAGAAGGCAGCCGATCACTTACGACGTTCGCAGGGCTGTCCGGTGCAGAGCTGATTGACGACTGCATGAACCAGACGCGCAAGCTGTCGGCCGCTTCGCTGACGTATCTTCAAGTCGAGCTCGAGAATGATGTGTCTCCCGGTGTCGGGGCTTACAAAATGATGCTTTACACGCCGCATTTCGTGCTCGATGCGCGAGGCATCTACGCTCTGCACAACGAACTGTTGGAGATGATGGGCGGTCACTATGGCTCGGAGTTGAGACCGAAAACGGACGCAGAACTGGTCAAGATGCTGGAATCCGAGTGGATGCGACGTTGGGATCGTCCTCAAGACGCTCAGGATGCCATTGTTCCGTCCAGCGAGTCCCGGTTGAAGGTTCCCCAATCCGCCGTAGACCTGGCCGAGTATAAGACGGATTATGAGAACGTCCAGAAGCAGTTCAGCGTGCGTATATATTCTACTCTGATCATGATTCCTCTGCAATTCAATTCGTTAGGGCGCACACGCTTTTCCTCGGTCCAAGGCATACGACCATCACTGTCGTTTACTTCAGGCCAAGTTCAGCCCGCGACAATCAACCACCATGCTGTCAAAGTGCAAGCGCGAAGCCGTGACAATACAGAGCGCCATGTTCTCAGTCATCAGCTTTGCATATCTGCTTCTGCGTGAACGACGACCGGATTTGTCTCCCGACAAGACACTTCCGATCCTCATGTACACTGCCATCAACATTCATGCCCAGCTGCATCCACTGTCGAAACTGGCGTCCAAAACATTTCTTGCGCTGACGTATCATAACGTGATGCTGCCTGCTTTCCTTCCCGCTCGAGACAAGCACAAGGCGTTCTGGCAGCGGTCCCGGGATGTTCAGAAGCAAATGCACACGTACACTCGCAACCCGTCAATTGCCGGTCGCTCCCTGGCTGCTGCAGCTGAACGCGCCGAGCGTGCCAAACACTGGGCGCGTTTTGACGACGAGGCTAATGGCACGCTGCCCCCCAGCCCCAAAGTCGCTGTCGTGGCCAAGGCTGCCGAGGCTCCGGCTGTCCCATCCATCGCCCTGATTGGTGTGTCGCAAGTCGGATTGACGACCGGGATCTATCGCACAGAGCGCTATCCGACAATCAAGGTGACGGATGTCGTCGGAGCAACTCGCAAAGGCCCTGGCGGGCTTTTCTTTTACACTCGAACCTTCTTCGGCCGTTTCCACATGATGCTGCAGTGGGAAACTTCGGTGTTTGCCGACGGGCTGATGGAGGAGTTCTACGACTACTTGCTAGAGGTCATCCACGAGTATATGCTCCAGGACCCCCAGATGCGGACTAGATCGGAGATGGAGCTCGAGGGATACGACAAACGGCCCGCGCCTCGAGCTAGGGCCAAGCTGTGAAGCAAGTTCATCCATCCTTTCTCCATGGGGTCAACATAGTCGGGTCACTTCCTTGCTGTTGTTTTAGGACTTGTACAAGATTTCACACAGGTATATGCGCTCATTCCTTTGTTATTACTACGCTCCCTATCACTCACTGCACTCGTTACATATACATCTGTTTACATCTTGACACTCCTAGTCTACCTCACACGCATTATTTATCACGTGGATTCCGGCACCTGTTCTTACTCCTCCATGGTCCATCGGTTACCAGAGATACTGAGCTGCGAAAGTCGACCAGTCAATGTCGGTTGCACAAACACCAAGCATGCCTTATGCGGTTACGTATCGGCCCGTCAGGCGCTTGTTTTGCGGCTTGTACAGCATCGTCCAGCAGTGCGCTATGAGTCTGGTCTGGTCTGTGTGCCGTGCCTCTTATAGTCAGTTTGATCTCACCATTGATTGTTCTCAGAACCTTCCGAGCTAACCAACGTGCCTGGGTCTGGATCAGCCTCGAGGCATGGTGGTTCTCCGCTTTCCATTCTACAACTCACTTGCACAAGCGGCCAGCGACAGACTTGCCTTCATTCCCTAAATCCTCACGCCTTCACTCATTGACCCATAACGTGCGGAGAAGTAGCCGCTATCAACGTTTCTCTGATATCAAAGGTCTCGACACCGGATAATCCCATAAACGGAATCGTCGCGCAACCCAAGCTTCCTCTCCCTCTTCCCTCTCTCCTTTCCTATGGACCCGCCTGCGCGTGCGCCACGCCAGGCAGCGACGTCGGTGGCCGTCGGCACTCCGCGGCATCGCGAACGCGAACGGGTGGCCTCCCATCACCATCACCAAACGCCTACTTCGTCCAAATCCGCTGCGCCGGCTACGCGATCGTCCGCCGCAATCCGCGACGTGTTGGCCCATCCGGCTGTGGTAGCGTTTGTCGCGAATCACCCGAAACGGGGGGCGCTGCCCAAGTTTGGCTCGTATTACATGCTGCAGACTCTGGGCGAAGGTGAATTCGGCAAAGTGAAGCTCGGCATACATTGCAAGTATGGAGAGGAGGCTGCGGTCAAGCTTATACGGCGGGAGTCGGTGCATAATGAGTCGAAAATGGCGAAGATTGCGCGAGAGATTGAGATACTTGACGTGCGTTGATCTCAAGCTGGTGGGCTGTTTCCTGACGACTGGTGTAGAGCCTCCGACATCCGAATATCGTCCGACTGTACGACGTTTTCGAGACAGACAAGTTCTTTGGCATCATCCTCGAGTACGCTGCTGGTGGAGAGCTATTCGACCACATCCTAGCACACCGACACCTCAAGGAACGCGATGCTGCGCGGTTATTTGCACAGCTAGTGTCGGGTGTCTGGTATATGCATCAGAAGAATATCGTTCACCGAGATCTCAAGCTCGAGAACCTACTACTCGACCGCAATCGCAATCTCGTGATCACCGACTTCGGCTTTGCCAACCAGTTCCAGCGGAAGGACTTGCTCATGGAAACGATGTGTGGCTCGCCGTGCTATGCCGCACCCGAGCTGGTCATGCAGGAAGGATCGTACGTTGGCACGGCCGCTGATGTGTGGAGCTGCGGTGTGATCTTGTACGCAATGCTCTCCGGTTATCTCCCGTTCGATGACGATCCGGACAACCCCGACGCGGAGAACATCTCGAAACTCTACGCATACATTTCCAAAACGCCCGTGTCTTTTGCGGAGCATGTTTCTGACAATGCACGCGACTTGCTGTGCTTGATGCTAGTGCCGAATCCTGTTCTGCGTTGCGAGCTGGTCACAGTCATGCGTCACCCGTGGTTTCAGATAAATCTGCGCGAAGCAACGACGTTCGGGCTGACCGTAGCTGAACTGGAGAAGCTGGCAGAGGACGGAGCGACGACTATGCTGGCCTACCGACGTGCCGGGAAGAGGCGTAAGGGTCTTAAGAAACCGGTCGTAGAGGATAGCCCCTCCGGCTCGGAAGCGGCTTTCGTCGCTGAAGAATCCCGAACGAGGCACACCATCCAGGTAGACCACAATACTCAACGCCGACAACGAGCAATGTCAGAATTGCCACCCCCCGACGCGAAAATTCCTGTTTCACCACGTCGGCGACGACCATCCATCCTGGACAATCCAATCGTAGCTGGTGTTTCGACGTCAACATCATCCTCTTCCAACGGCCAGCCTCTGCCTCCCATCGAGGATTCGTCTTCTGTTTCTGGTGTGATCGGCTCGCGGGAAGCGCTTCCCGGGACCATGTCGAGAAGCGAAGCGCGAGCACTCTTGCACCCTCTCATCGTCGATTCTTCATCGTCTTCGCCTCCGGTTTTGCCGCCCAAGCAGCAAAACAAAGTCATGCAGTGGTTCCGCCGCGGCCGGAGGTCGACAACCACCAGCACGTCCAGCCCGCTGTCCGGTGCCGTCTCTTCGTCTCCTCCCCCGCAGCCAAGTGCGGCGGCGTCATCCGTCGAGGTGGCGCAGCCATTTCTCGTCACGCCTGGCACAGAAGAACACCGACAACGGACGAGCTCTGCGGTGTCCATCACATCTCTGTTCCGGCGATCCCAGACAACGAAGCGGAGCAGCAAGTCCGTCTTACGGGTCCACCATGGAGCGGTCGACCACGAGATGATCACGGCCAGCCGTCCCCCAGAAGTCATGCAACATATCCGAGAGGTGTTACTTGGGATGGGTGTCTCGGTGCAATCTGAGGGAGAGTTCAAGTTCCGGTGCACACGCCCTTCGAGACTGCGGGATCGCAGTGAGCCCCGGGCAAGTCGCAGATGATCTTTCCTTCGCTGTTCCGTAGCTCATCCTTCTTGCAGGGCAGTCGCGTCTTCCGTGGCCTCATGCCGCGTCGGGCGCCGTCTCCCGCTCGCTCCATAGCGTCAGAGAAGAACGGGGATCTGACTTCCCCCGTCTCCGCACCCGAAGTCGATGCAGTGTATGGGGAACCGTCTGAGGATATCGGAGACGAAGTCCGGTTCTCAGTCGAGCTGACGCGTCTCGACAGGCTCAAGGATATGTACAGCATGGACATCCGACGGCTGAAAGGCAACCTCAAGAGCTACAAGTTTCTGTACGAGACATTGCGGATGTGCGTCGTCATAAACCCGCGCCGACTTGGAGTACTGAATGACCCATTGCAGACGGACAGATTTACAGAGACACTAATATGTAATCAATGTATATTTCACTCGTTATATCTAGTACTAGTAGTTGCGATGGGACGGAATGGGACACTTTGTTTTGACCATGATCAGATATTATCATTATTCGTGCGTCGGAGTATCCGAGATCGTGAACACACATTAGTGAAGCTTAGCATAGATTTTGTTCCTAAATCATTCCTTCAAATATCTTCAAACCTTCTCGACGTGCTCCGTCTGAGATTTGCCAGTGTAGCTGGCGTCGGCATCCAACATGTGTTCCCGGTACTTGACCGATCCACGGACTGCGTGTAATCAGTACACAGGAAACAGCAAACAATTGACGCAGAAACTCACTAGTGAGTTCTTGTACAACAGATCCACCTGCTCGAGCGACAAGCCCTTGGTCTCGGGCACGAAGAAGTACGTGAAGATGAGACATCCGACACAGGTCGAGCCCCAGATGAAGAAGACCTTCACACCGAGGCCGGCAGTGGCAACACCGTTCGGCTGGCCCTTGGTAGAGGGATCAACCAGATACGGGGTCGCGTATCTACGCGTAAATTAATTTTAGATAGAAGAGATAGGAGAATTGGCACGCACCCGATACCGAAATTCCAGAGCCAGTTGCTGGCAACAGCAAGCGACATGCTCTTCGCACGCAGGTTCAATGACTGACGGGCACGGTCAGCACTGGCCTCATTGCATGCAGGCAAAAAAAACGCACGAAGATCTCGCCGACGACGACCCAAGTCACGGGGCCCCAAGAGATGGCGAAGAACGAGATGTAGAAGCACACGAATGCAATCAAGACACGCTGCGCGGCGAGATTCACAGCGCCAGATGCCGTAGCTTGTCCGGCAGTGACACCGACCTGAGATTACAATGAATTACATGGGGATTGGATCAGGGAATGGAAACGCACGATGGCAACGATATACTGGCTGACGAGCATGCCGGCGGCGCCGATGAGAGCAGACGACGACGTCCGATTCTGTCAATGAGCTGCACACCAAAGAGCGTCATGACACCTGTGGGACCATTAGACGCCATTCATTGTTTCCAGTTCGATTGACGCACTGTTAACAACATCCGTGATGATCCTGGAAACCCGTCAGCAAAGATAGACATGAGCACTATACAGCGGCATACGTAATGATGAATGGGTTCTTGATACCAGCACTGGAGAAGAATGTTGTGCCATAATAGAAGATGAAGTTGATTCCGGTGAGTTGTTGCCACTAAGAGGATGATCAGCGCCTCGGCAGCGAGCTACCAGCAAGACATCCGTACTCCTTGGATGAGAATACCCGTCCATGTTCGGAATCCGTTCTTGTACTCTCCACCACGGAAACAGTCTGCACGGAATAAATGAGCACCGGAGAGATAGTTAAGAAACATGAATCGTACCCAGGTAGCTGGCATTTCCGATGTTCGCCTCGGCTGCAAGGGCAAGCTCGATTTCGCGGACCTCAGCAGAAACGATTTCCGAGTCTTCAGGTGCGCTAGCCAATCGGCCATGCTCTTGCGCGCTTCAGGTACACGATTCTTGTACATCAGGTACCGCGGCGACTCCGGGAGCATGGCCATGCCACCGCTGAGAATCAGAGCCCAGGCGAACTGGAGGGCAATAGGAATCTGGAGGAAAGAGATGAGGGGGGGGTGTGGCCAGGCGGAAGGGACTCACCCTCCAAGCGTTGTGATCCGCGCGGTTCTTGGTTGCGTTGGACACGATGGCTGCGAGCAGAGCACCGATGGTGATGGCGAACTGGTACAGCCCGACAATGAGACCACGGATCTGCTTCGGTGCGCATTCACTCTGGTACATGGGAACCAACACCGAGACGAGGCCCACACCGATACCACCGATGACTTGGATGGCAGTTGAGGAAAGAACACAAAGCCTTAGAAGAAGGTACGTACAACGGCCCACAATGAACGTCGCCCACTGGGTATCCAACTGCAGTCCGACACCCAGCGAGAAGACACAGCAGCTGGCGATAATACCCCACTTACGGCCGACAATATCGCCCATGGGGTAAGCGACCAGAGCACCGAAGAATGTTCCCGCAGAGAGGATAGAGACCTAGATGACGCATTTAAAACGTGCGCGGGAGGTGAAACAGGGACAGGGACGAACGACGAGACTCTTGTTCGAGGTCTTCACATAGTATCCGTTAGACTCGAGCCCGAGAACGCCAGTAGAGTCGTGGGCGCCGAACGTCTCTAGCCAGTCGACCATTGCCAGGGCACCTCCGATGGTACCCGTGTCGTAACTAATGCGGCATGAGATTGGGCATGGAAGAGGATGAGGGCACCTGCACTTACCCGTAGAGAATACCACCGAATGCTTTTGTGGACAGAAGGTGAGCATCTCGGATAGCAACGAGAGGGCTGACGTACCAGCGAAGGCACTCATCACCATGGCCCATAGCAAACTTCCATTGTTAATCCCCCCTCCTGTTCCTGCTGCAGCCGGCATCCTGTAGGTGTTGATAGAGGTAGTGCGGGGTTGGAATCAGACAGCTGGAGTCGTAAGATTATAAATCGCGGGGCGTGAATGGGGGGGAAGCCGTGCAAGGATCTGGCAGCGGGGTGGAATCGGTTTTATGCATGTGGAGGCGCGCATATATCTATAAGCCGAGAGTGTCCCTAACGTCATCGTCCAAGTTTTTCGTGATGTCCGAAACAGGCAATCTTGTTACTTGTCTTGGAACCTGGTTACGGTAGCCGAGAGGACAGCCGTGCAATACAGCGGGTCCGTGCGTACATAACACAGATAGCCTCTGCTGTAAAGGAACTGCGACTTCCATCGTCGCATAGGCCCACAAATTGTGAACGGCAGGGTCGGAGACTCGTCATTGCACTTACGCCGCGTCGCGCCGGGTCGGGCAATCTTTCTCCCTGTCACCCCAGAAAAAAAAGGAAGACAGGAGATGGAGCATATGGAAGTCGATGGAACCATCAAATGTGCTACCAAGGCATGTTTCCCGAGTGATGCTACATGTGAAAGAAGTACATACGACATACTGGCCAAGTACTACTACATGTTATCGCTTGTATTACAAAATCGTGGGCCTATTAGACTCTCAATGCCACTCTGCACATAGGGCAAGTCTGGCTGCGGGCCAGCCAACGGTCCAGACACCGTGCATGGAAAGAGTGCTTACACTTTTCGCTCATGCGGGCCTCGTCGGCCTTCTTGAACTGACTCATGCAGATGCCACATCGGTCAACGCCGATACCCAACAGCATCGGCTTGATCCGTACCCGTCCTTCTTTTGTCACTCGTCGTCGCTGGATCTCAACTCGCCCATGAAGAAGGGCCGAGGTGTTTTTCCTTGCGGGTTGCGCTGCCGGTCCGATGAACTCGGAGACCATCCAGAGGGCCTGTAACGTCACATCGCGTGAGTGGATGACTTGATGATGGTGACAGACACCGAGAGGGTGACACACTCACATCGTAGTCAGACCCGTCATGCTGATTTCCCTCCAGTCGCGCGAGGAGCATATCAAGATCCGTGACGTCCAGGTACTCGCTCGTAGGCGTTGGCGTCAAGTCAACGGACGAAGCCGAAGAAGCCCGGTGCATATCCGGTGCAACTAGATGGATAACCGGCTGTCCTGCAGTGGTTGACGGCATGACCGGGAAAGCCGCTGCCGGCTCTGACCTTATTTCCCGCGATAAATTGCTGCTCCCACGGGAGAGTCCAGAGCTTCTGCTTCCAGGTCTATGAGCACTCCCCCTGGGAGAAGTTCGGTCCGGTACTGCTGCACATCTGAATGTTGTTCCAGAACGATAGCCGACTGCCCCGCAGTGGACGTCATGGAGGGGCATCTCTCTCCCGGTTCTGGCCCTGGTTCCCTGGATAAATTGCTATGAACCCCAAGCCCCACGGGGCTGGGCGGGAGCTCTGCCTCCAGGTCGATGAGCACTCCTCCCGGGAGCGGTTCGGGGTGCTGCTGCTGCTGCACTTCTGGATTGGGAGCATAAGTCGAATCGACGACCCGCCGCGGTCGGCGAGGAAGAGGGCGCCCCAAGTAGTGACGTTGTCGAGGCGGGGACTCGTTCACCGGCGTCGCCGCACTGAGTGGGGGAATGGATAGTACAATTTCGGGCGCCGCTTGTGGGCAAGATCCGCCAAGCATCCCCACTTCCTCTTGAGCCGGTTGAGAATTATCGTCAGCAACTGCAGGCGAACGAAGAAACGAAGCCGGCGCTTGTAAGGGTGATGCGATAGATAGGACCGGTGGCGACCCTGAGACAGGCGTCATCGGCAAGGGCGTCCTGACCGCGCGGTCGAGATCAACATCCAGTGGTGATCCAGGACGAAGGGGCGACGACCGCAGTTGCGGTTTCTTTTTCGGCGGAGGTGGAGGCGGCGCTTTCTTTGTTCGCAAGACCAGTGGTGCCAGCGTGATGGAAGGAGGGCTCATGGTCGATCTTTCATCAACCAGAGATCCAGATGGAGATGCGGGCGGCAAAAGGTCCTCAGCGGCCAATTGCGATTCCACGATCTCCCATGAGTCTAAAGATTCGGCGCGCGCACGTTCCTTCCCCTTGTGCGGTAAAAAACGTCTCGGAAAGACTCCAGACGATGGCGATAGCGGGGGCGGGCTGTTCCTCAAAGAGACTGTGCTTTGAGAGAATGGGGAGTTGCGAATAGAATAGGGAGAAGGTATGCTTTGCACCGAAGCCGAATCGCGCTGCCCATGATTGCGTGCCGGAAACAGTGTACGAAGGGGTGATAGTGACAGATGTCGCCGATGTGCTTTGGGATGCAGCGAGGACAAAGCACTGCATCCCGTGTCGTCCGGATCGGAGTCCAAAATCCCTCGTCCTCGCGGCTCTGTGCCCCCCGACCGGACCGAAGATTGGTCTGTCACTGAGGGGGAGCCAGCAGTTATGTGCGTGTCTGTGGGGTCGACGATGTCAAGCGAGCCATCCTCCGATTCCGAGTCCGACTGCGAATGTGATCCCGCCTCTTGGGATGGCCGAGATGTCGTCGTCGAATATTGCCCGAGCGTGATCGTGCTCGGACACACCGACACCGTAGGAGACAGCATAGCCTCCTGGAACGAAGGTGGTGGATAATCGGGAATTTCATCTGAACAAAGGAAAATGACATCAGACTGGCTCACAAGCCTCAGCGTCATCAACGCACCGTCCTGACGCGCCTGGCGACGAAGAGGCCACAAAGGCATATCTACTTGCTGGGGACGCCCCGTTACACGACGCGGTGAGCCCCCGTTCCCGCTCTCTTGCCTCACAGGCTCTTGCCGCGAACGGGTCCTCGAGACCGCCTCTTTCGCCTTCCTCCTCCTTCCATTGTTGTCGGCCGGGATCAGAGTGCGCTGCCCGTGGTGGGTAACGACGTGATCAAGATAAGGCGTGATAGTGGCGGCGTCTGCTCTCTGAGACGGCATGAAGGATTAGTTAGAGTCGTGGAACATGCATGAGGCCGCAATATGGGGTTGTTTGTACTGTAGATCAAGAACAAACAACCGCTTTTGAATCGGACCAGGTTGGGGGTGCTCGGTGACCGAGGCTGTACACTACACATATGTGCCATGGGCCAACCTCTCACGATCTATGAACTGGAAATCACCCCGCATCGAAGGGCCGCTAGTAGATGATACATTATAAAGCATCTAAAATATACGAATAACGTTCCAATATCCATCGATCTGGACCCAAATCCTCCAGAGTCAGCCTAGCTGAATGCGGTGGAACAGCTGTGGCATGCTCAGGCGACAGTGGCATCAGAAGCGCAGTCTGAGTATAGTTGTCTCCATCCTCGCCGTCCACCAAAGCCGATGACAGTCCCCGCTCCGAACACAAACTAGAACGAGCGCAATCGCTCTCTTCCTGATCTTCCCCCGCGTTTCGCAATGCCGCAAGTTCATGCGCCGGAAGCGAGCTCAACGAAAGCGCTAGTCGCCTCCGGTTGCGACCCGTGCCCGGACCTTCACTTTCGATGTCATTCTGCACGAGTATATCATCGGGAACCGGTGCTTCAGCTGAACCCGACGGTGACGGCAGGCCTTGCGTCCCTGCGGACAAAGCACTTGTGGGCGAAGGGGGGTCTAGTGACACATGCAGAGGCGGAAAGAGAAACGCGCCACCGCCCGCCCTGGATGTAGGAGGGGAAACGGGCGAATCGAATTCGGTGCGATTGATCACACACAGCTGGCGGCCCAGCTTCAACTTTTTCCTGCGCATCGGCGCGTCTCCACCAGAAGCACGGCGTTGCAGCATGGGCCCAGATGACGTGGAATCGATCGACGAGGACACAGATGACGTCACGCTCGTAGTCGTGGCTGCCCTGTGCACCGACGGCGGGGGGCGCGGCAAGGGTCGCGGAGCCCGTTTTGAATCGAACACGAAGCCAGGATCGGTGTTATGTTGCTCGTAAGACGGCGGTGGAATCTGTAGAAAGAGCTGATCGCCGTCCGCCAATGAAGCATCGTGCAGATCATAAAAAGAGTGCATCTCCGACTGTGGATGGGGCAGGACACAACGAGGGAGCGGCGTTTCGGGAAAGGATAATCCCATCCGTTGTGGTAGTCAGTAAGTATAAGGCCCCGAGAGTCGTTCAGCAAAACCAAGGGGACGCGGGTAGTAGGAGGCTTGGCGAGCGCCCGCCACTAGCCAGCCGATCACACAGAATGCCAATTGTCGTCTCTCAGTCACACCACGTCCTCCTCCAACGTCACGGTCGGACAGAGGCCGAGGACATACCGATCCACTCACTGGCTTCGATATGGTCAGAGGGCTAGAATAAGGTGAAAAGCGTACCAAGTACGCTTGCGAGCGCCTTTCGACGCATAGCCGCGTCAAGAACTGCCATCTAGTAGGTTTGAGTGCAGGGACCTGCTATAGTGGGGTCCCGTGAATACAATATTGTCAGTAAGGTTGTCTTCTAAATATGTAATTGTAGCATTGGGCATCTCGTCAGATCTCGTCCTCATCCTCATTGACATGATGATGATCCATCTCATCTCAAGTGTGGATAGTCGTGGATGACGTCATCACCATTGCCCTAAACCGTTAGTACTTGTGACCTGTGTTCTGTTCTCCCTCGTCAAAGGCTACACTTGCCAGCAAGTGAATTATTCTTAAAAGTGATACTTGACGATATAACTCCCCAAAAGCGTCTTCTGACAGTCATCTCGCTGCCGACGTTTGGCAGTTGTGGAAAGCGTTGGGCTTCCCATCTTTGACTAACCATGCTGTTCTCTACCACCGTGGTCACTTGCTGTGTGCTGAGTGCATGGCTCTCGGGGACAGTTGCCACTTCGTATGACCAAGCTCCCATGCTCGCATCGAGCCCACTGTGTGCGTACGCATCTATGAGCGCGGTCAAGACTGTTTCCCAACATTCCACCAGGGGCCAATTCGGAAGAACTGCGCTTGGTTCAGCTCTTCCCTGGTGATGAGGAGGCCACCTGGATGACCGAGAGGGACAAACTGCTGGCGAAAGCCCAAGGACTGGCGTACTTCGACATGTAAGGCTTGCCTAGGGCTGCTCGCTATGACCGAACGACTACTAAGACCCATTACTTCTGACAGCACTCACACCCCAGAAGATTTCGGCCGCGTTTTCAACAAGACTCGCTTCACGTACTCGCCCCCGAACTCAACGCTCGTGGCCGACATGCTGCCGCTCCTCTCCACGGACGAGATGCAGAACAACCTCGAGCACTTCACGACTGCCTTCCCCACGCGGTATTACAACTCCGACAGCGGGAGGGCGAGCTCGGAATGGTTGCTGGCCAAGATACAGAGCTACACGACAACGTTGGGCAGTCACGAGCTGCAGGAACTGATCTCGATCACGCCCATCCAGCATCCGTGGAAGCAGAACTCGATCGTCAGTCACGCCCAAGTACTTATAATCACCTGGTGCTGAGCTCAATTTTTGCGATCCAGATCATCCGCATCGCGCCTAAAGATGCTCAAGAGACTGATCCCATCACAGTCCTCGGCGCCCACTGTGACAGCATCAACCACGAGAACCCGTTTTTCCCTGCCCCAGGCGCAGACGATGACGGTTCCGGCACTATGACTATTCTGGAGGCCTTCCGGGGTCTGTCTTTCCCGCTTGCTTCCCTCCCTTTGGAGCATTCTTTACATCTAGGCAGGGTTGCTGAAGAGCAACTACATTCCCTCTTCTCCCGTCGAGTTCCATTTCTATTCGGCAGAAGAGGTGCGTGCTCATCTTGAACCGGAAGAACTTTACTTGAACTCCCAAGGGCGGAGGACTCGGCTCGCTGGCCGTAGTCGCGGCGTATGAAGCAGCGAAGAAAGAGATCAAAGGGATGATCCAGTTCGATATGACTGTTCGCGATTTTTCCATCGCTCCCAGCTTCTGATCGCAGAACGTAAGCAGGCGTGGCTTGAATCGGGATCGCAAGAGAGGGTCAACGTGCTCTCGAATGCCGTCGACCCGAAATTATCTGAATTTGTGACCCAGCTCGTGGATCGTTACCGTGGGTCGTTTGGTTGCTCGGGCCATATCCTCTTTGAGAATCCGACCCTTCGCAGTTGATATTCCCTGGGTAAGTGAGGCCCTGCCGGGCGGCGCAGGAAGCGATCACATGCCCTGGACATGGGCAGGATACCAAGCGTCCTGCGGAACTGAAGGCCGCGCGGTCAACTTTAATCCTCGTGGGATTTCTCGCTCCTTTGATGAGTGTTTAACTGACGGCGACACTTAGACATCCACACGATCCAGGACAGCATCCATGTGTCACACGAATTCTCTTACTCGCACATGCTTCAGTGCGTCCCTTCCATCAGTTCTCGCTCCCAATTTGAGCTCACCTCTCGTCAGCTTCTCGAAATTGGCTCTCGCGTTCGCTGTTGAACTCTCCAGTTGAGGCTTCTTAGCAATCCATTTCGGCAATTCATTCCATTGTGATCTCGTAACAAAATTGTGTTCGTAAAAATACATCGCTGGGTTCCCGGTCTAGGTAGGAGGGAGGTATCGCTTGAGTTCAATTGATAATTCTGCACAGTTGGTAAGCTTCCTGTCTGAGATCGGGTGAATGAATGAATGCGACGAACCATGGGGTATCAGATGGTACAATGGGTATACTTCACGATCGCTCGTGGACATAGATAGCCGGGCCGCTCAGTCCGCAGTGCTCCTCAAGGGTGGCGGCTAAAAAAGAAAAACAGAATCAGGATCCGTGCGTTGACAGGCGACGAGGTCGGGGAATGCTCACCGACGGAAGCTCCGGCGCCGACTCTTTTCAGCCAGATGGAATGCATCAGAGCCGTGCACGGCTGATCTGAAGAGAGAAATACCATGTCAGATCGCTGTCTTGTATCAAGGGAATGAGAAATATGCGCACGGAATAGGCTGTTGTTGTTGTTCCTGGCTGGACAGAACGACGGAATCTGCAGCTTGAGCCGCACTGGTGCTGACGGCGGACGTCTCGGAAAAGGGGGCTTCGAGTGTCACTGGAGCTGCTGCCGCCATGGAAGAGAAGGCAAGAGCGATGGCGAGGAGAGTGGAGGAGCAACGCATGGTCGGATATGTTGTGTGTGTGACTCGAAGAGCTGTATGTCGCTGGGAGGATGTGCTGCTGCTGCTACTGCTGCTGCGAAGTGAGGCAATACCCATCAAGCACCCAGTCCTTTTGTACAAGTTCCCAAAGCTGCATCAGTCATTAATAAAACGCGCAGTGCTCCGATTCCTGGCCCGCGGGAAGGACGCTTCTAGAACGGATGACCGACTAGTCAGGCAGCTAGCAGCAATCGCTTCCATGGGATCCAGGCCGAGAGAAGTAACGCCGCTGCTATTCCGCGGTTCAGCGCAAACCTCGGCGTGGGTCATTTCGTACATGCCGTTGTGCTCGTGGCGGGAAGCCAGGAAGCAACCGTGGGAACTCTCGCGTTGCGCCCCCATCATTCCTGCCCAAATGGGTGTGTTTCCCTCCGCCAACATCGCAGGCTCGTCTCTCGGATTTCTAAGCCATTGGAAGGGAGTGTGGGTGTCTTCCTTTCATGTCCCGACGCGCGCGAGAGCCCCACCGTCCAGAAGCCAAACACACGTTTAAAATCTTGGTGCTCTGTAGCTTCTTTTCCAGGCCATGTTCACCCACTCTAGCTCACATTCAAATTTCCTCGTCTGTTCCTGAGCCACGCTGAGGGCCTAGAAAAATTCGATCGTTCTAAGTTCCTGGAAGGCAGAGCTCAAAGGTTATCATACACACGCGCAATACAAATCGGCCACCCTGCTTCCTGACATCCAATATCAGCGACAGAACTCTGCGCTTGCAGTAGACTGACTGTATTGCACTAGACTTCCAGCAGCAACATATCAGAGCACATACCTGTCCTTCAACCTTCTGCCGTGTCCGATGGATGGGACCAACCACCATCACCGCAGTCATTCATTCATTCAGCCATTCAGGGTCTTGTGGAGAGAGCTCGCTGACACCGAGAATCCAGGAGCACTTCGATTTCCGACAGCCCCCGATGGATTGCAGCTCCGAGTCTGTAGCAACCATCTTCGCACAAGAACGCACGCCAGGCCCAAGGTCCGAGCAGTCCCTATCCTTTTTTCAACCGCCGCCCCCGACCGGGCTCGGAGGCTGCGCTCTCTCCATGGCTTTGCCCAACGAGTGAGTGAATGAGTGTAGTCCGACGGAACCAGGTCCCAGTAAACAGCAAGCAACCAAGGGTATGATATGTTCCCCTCACGCTCTTCTGTGTAGAACAAGAAAATGGTTACTATCAGCGCAGCAAGTCACGCGGAGCCGGCGTCCGGGATTCCGTCAGGCTCGGGATCACAAAAGAAGTGGTTGCCCAACATGGGGTATGTATGTAAGGCGGCCTGGAACGCAACGCAACGCAACGAGTGATTAGAAAGTAAACGACGTGCGGTCTGACAGGAATAAGACAAAACTAGATTTTAGCTCGTCTCAGAGAATTAGTACATTACGGTAGAATATCCAAGTTGCATGGGCGCACGCTAGCACGCGTCGTGGTTCTTCAGAGGATTGCGCCGAAGCGCATCGGACTCAGAGGTGGGAGGGTCTCTCGTGTCTGCTGCGATCTTGACTTTCATGACCGATTCCGGCGCCGGCGTACTCAACGCAGTGACAGTCTAGCAAGACTCAGCCGAGCTGAAGCCAAGCCAAGGCACGGTACGCACCTCATCTTGGAATGGCACAAACTTGGGCGTCGAATCCACGGACACCGCTATCGTGCTCTTGACTGGAAGCGATGGCGCGGGCATCGCGTCCTCCTCCGTGTCCACGTAAGGCACGAAACTCGACGTTGCAGCGCCTCCAGACGCCAACCGCTTCTTCTTCCCTGCCTGCTTTATCGTCGTGCCAGCCATCTTCCGCGTCTCAGGCACGTTCTCTTTCACACGCGTCTTACGTGTCCCGACATCCGGAAACGCGTTGCCTGGCGCAGCGGACGCAGTGGACGCGGAGTCCTCAAATATCTGAAACGGGGCATTCGTTGCGGCGGAAGGCGGGCGCTGTGCGGCGGGCAGAGGGGTTCTTGATGAGCCGGAGGCCGCGGCCAGTGCCGACGACGAGGAGCTGCTGGTGCCTAGCACAGTCCGCGCCGAGCGGTGCGGGCCAGGGGTATTCACAGCCGGCTCAACCGGGGTTGCAGGTGCAACCACGCTCATCATGCGCTTTTGGAACTCGGCATGTCGCGCTTTGAGGTGGTCGACGTCGGTGGCACGTCTGGCGATGCCGAGCTGATACATGGCGTCGGCCTCCTTGCGTCTACGGGGTGCTCAGCAAACGCGACACGGATTACCTGCCAGGCACACGCACCTCCCCTCCTGCTCCAGTACAGCCGCATACTCCTCGTACAGCAGCGCAAAGCCCGTCCCGATCTCGTTGGCGATCAAGAACTCGAAGATGATCGTGGGCTTCTCCACGTAGCTCGTATACAGCATCCACAGCTTCAGGTATTTGAGTTCTCCGCGCCAGTGGCCCTCCCGGTGGTCCTTCAATACGCGCGTCGCCTCTTCGATGAGTTCCACCAGCCCCGATTCAGCGCTCTGTCCGTGCGGGTAGTTGTCCAGCGTCCAGTTGACGTAGCGCCAGTAGGCCGCGAGTGGGTCGTCTTCGTCGTCCTCCAGAGCGATCTCGACATTGATGCGCAGCCTGTTGCGCGTCGCGGCGAGCTTCGAGTCTCTCTGCGCGTGTGGAGTCGCGAGGATATCCGACAGAGCGGTGGCACGGCGGCCCGAGGCCAAGCGCTGGACGTTTTCCTTCGAGGCCTCGAGGACGTCAAAGTCGACGATTCTGGGTGCGTCGCTGAATACGTCCGCGGTGTCAGTGGCCATTGTTGTGGGGTAAGTAAAAAGAAGCGACGGAGGATTGTCTCGAACATCACATGGTCGTGACACCGCGCGCGATCATGTGACATCAATGTTGGCAGGGCTTGTCAATCGTTCGAGTGATGACGCGCCTGTGTCGATGTCGATCCGCTCGTGATTATGTCCCATCTGGTTCGATGCACTTATTTTCTTCTTCTCCTTCAGGCGAATATTTGCCAGAGTGATCGATCCCAAGCTGTGGAAGCTTGGCGTCAGATCTTAAACTCGTCCCTCGGTGCCGATGTACATATCTTTCAGCGGAACTATCGTCGACGTTGGTGAGAGACCATGGCTAATGTTCCTCTAAAAATATGCCCGACTTTCCGCCGATCACACCGGGCGGCCGCGGGCGCCTATTCCTGCACCCTGTTGACCAGATGCTTGCTGAATCCGAACTCGAAGCGAAGCCGCCGGGGGTGACCCTGGCAGAAGACCTTATCAGCAGACCAGCCGTATAAAATACGCCTCCACCGCTCCAATCCTCTCCCCAGCGTCCCGCGAAATGCTCGCCCTGTCCCTGCTCGCCCTGGTCTCGCTCGCCGCCTCGCTGCCTGCACCGCAATCCAATGCCGGAGCCGGTGCTAAAGCCGATCCCAACACGGAGATGTGGCACGCGGGCTCGAAGATCATCCCGCAGCCCATCCGAGGCGCGCTCGGCGGCACGATTCTCGGCCCGCAGAACGTCCCCGTCGAGCTGCAGAATGCGGACTCGCTGGCGTCGCCGACGACCGATTCCGGGCAGCTGCCTAATATGAAGTGGCCCTTTGCGATGAGCCGTACGCGGCTGAACGACGGGGGATGGGCGAGGCAGCAGAACGGTAGGCTAAATCGCCCTTTCGTATTCTCGCCTCATCTGCCCCAGTGGACTCGTTGCCGATCGCGACTGCCTTAGCAGGTTCGTGTGTTCTGTTGGATCGAAGATCACTGGGCCTCGCGAATGACTCGTTCTGCAGGTGTCAACATGCGATTGGAACCTGGAGCTATCCGGTAAGCCATCAATTTCTGCTCGGATCCACAAGGACGAAAGATTCTAGAGAGTTGCACTGGCATGACGTTGCCGAGGTTAGTCGCATCCAGTCGGGCTAAATCTCATCACTCATGCTCGTTCAAAAGTGGGCCTATGTCCTTAAAGTTGGTGATCCCATCACGTCGTGCTTTGGCTCGTGTTCAATCAACTTCGTCAGGGACACATCCGGATCAGTACACTGACTCCCGAGGGAGAGATATATGTAGGCGACGTGGTAAGCAAGTTTTCTGCCCATCCAACAGAAATCTTAAAGCTCAACCACACATAAATCACAGTCAGAGGGCGACATCTGGTATTTCCCGGCCGGCAACCCGCACTCGCTCCAGGCAAAGAACACCACCGCAGACGGCGCCGAATTTCTGCTCGTCTTCGACTCGGGTCGCTTCACCGAGGACAACACGTTCCTACTGACCGACTGGCTCGCGCACGTGCCCAAAGGCGTGCTGGCGCAGAACTTCGGACAGCCGGTCAGCGCGTTCGACCGCATCCCGGAGAAGCAGTTGTATATCTTCCAGTGTGAGCGCTGGTGCCGACTCCTCTGAATCTGGGTACTGACACATCGAAGCTTCGCCGCCTCCTGAAGACATCGACGAGGACAGGGTCATCCCCAACAACACGCCGAACCCCTACACCTACGCCCTCTCGAAAGTCCAAGGCGAAAAGAAGCCCGGCGGATCAGTCAAAGTCGTCGACTCGCGAAACTTCAAGGTTGCGACACAGATCAGTGCGGCGGAGGTGACTGTGGATGTCGGGGGCATGAGGTCCAGTCGCCCCTTCTCATTACCCCGCTCCCGAAGCTAATTGTCCTCACTGCAGGGAACTTCACGTCAGTCGCAGTGCAGCCTCTAATCTTCAAGTTCTCGGGCTCATTTGTTCCAGTGGCACCCGACGCAGCCTGAATGGTCGTTCATAATGTCGGTCCGGGACTGATCGGATCACAGGCTCTTTGCTGACCTGCCTCATCTTCGCAATTCGCAGAAGCGGACAAGCTCGGATGACCGTCTTTGCGGGATCATCGCAGGCCCGGACGTTTGATCTCGAAGTTCGTCAGTTTCTCGACCCCTGTCGCCCAGTCCGCTGACATCGATGGCAGGCGGGAGATGTGGGCTATGTCCCACCCTCCTTCGGTACGTGCTCGATCTGATCCACTGGAGATTGATCCATCGACACACACTCGTCACGCAGGTCACTACTTGGTCAACACAGGGAATACTCCGCTCAAGTCAGTAGCCGAGTTGCTCAACCATGACGATGATATCGGACTCATCAGCTGATTGATTCCAGGTTCCTCGAGATATTCAAGACCGACATATTCCAGGACATCTCCTTGACCCAGTGGCTAGCGCTCACCCCCGCCCAACTCGTCAAGGCGCACGTAGGATTCTCTGACGAGATGATCGCCAGTCTCAGCCGCGAGAAGCTGGAAGTGGTGTAGCGACGCAGAGCGCTTGCATTGAGAATCATGAGACATTCCTAAAACTACATTGCATTACTTGATGTAGGACATTAGAGGACGTAGCGGAAATTGGGAGCCTGTGCCATCTGAGCATCTCCGCGAGACGAATGTCGAGTGGGGAGCACATACCTTGTCGGCCAATTCCCTGGTATCGACTTTCGAGTTGGGCTCGGGTTTGCCGTACAATCTGTCTCGCTCGGCGTTCTCGAGGCGATATGACATCTAAGCCGGGTGTCAGTTCCCGAAGCTCGAAGGTATGATGGATCGAGCGCACCGAGAGAACGAGCGAAAGCACGCCTGCGAGGAAGGCCAGAGCGCAAGACACACCGAAGCCTTGCCTGGTGACAGATCAGATGGAAGGGCTTTCGAGATAGGCTGTGCCGGACTCACAGATACCGCGGCGACTGGTTCAGCGGGAACAAATGGGACCCCAGGATACTGCCGCATTGGCCAATGGCCATGAACATCGGGATGCCCGTAGCACGCTTAGTCTCGGAGCCAAGGTTGTGCGCGACTGTGCCCAACAGAGAAAGATCAGTCATTTCCCGAAACAGGAGGTGCCAAGCAGCGCAGAAGCAACGTACACCACGCGATCGTCAGCCTGAGAACACGTCATCAGCGGGCTACGCGCGCCAGGTCGGGAAAGGGACATACCCGATGGTTGTGTAGGTCCCGGCGACGATGCAGAACACGGCGAAGTAGCGTGCGTGGACGTTGATCACAGTGAGGAGGATGCTGGGGAGGGTTTGAGGCTCTGAGAGTACCAGGTGGGATCCGACGTACACGTATCCGATGCCTGAGATGAAGCACGACGCAGCCATGAAAACGCCGCGCACTTGCAGGCGGTCCGACGCATAGGAGAAGATGATCAACATCACTGCTGCACAGGCATAGGGCGGCACCGTGAACAGCTGGGCGTTCGCATTGGCTGATGCGCGCGCGCAACGTCAGCACTTGATGATAAACAGAGCGGGAAGGGGGACTGACTGTAGCCAAAGGTCTTGATGATGGTCGGCAAGAACGCAGAAATCGATGCGAGCGCCGTGTTGAGACCGAAATAGATGGCTCCACCCGCGTAGACCTGGCGATTCGTTCAGCACGGCGCAGTTTGCTTCGGCAGCGGTCGATCTTACCCGCCAGTCCAAGAGTGCCATAATAATGTGACCTATGACGTGAGTGAGTGACGCGGATCGTTCTATTGATAGAGCCATCTCCTACCTTTGTTGACAACGGCTCCAGAGTCTCCACTGGTAGATCGATTCATGCGGTTGAGCGCAATGGCACGTTCGCGTTCGTTGAAAAAGGTTGTCGATTCAGGCCGGTTAGGGAGGAACATGACCGTCACAACCGCCAGAACAAGCGGGGGAAGACCCTGGAAGGCGAACGTCAGCCCGGCTCAAAGCGAACAGCTAGCTAGTTGCGAGGGGTGTGCACGCACCTCGATGATGAACAGCAGGCGCCAATTGTGGAGGGCCGCATGAGCATGAGACACGCCGAACGCGATCAGACCGCCGAACGCGCCGGCCACCGCGGCGAAGCCGAACCAGTAGGCCATCTGCCAGACTTGCGGTCAGGAACGCCCACGGTGCGCCACCCGACGATGACTCACCCGAACACCCATCTCCTCCTTGGTATAGAAGAACGCTGCAGCACACGCGTCAGTCGACGGAATGCGGATCACCCAGCCGCGCGACATACAAAAGTAGACCGGGATCATGGGTCCGAACCCAGCTTCAAAAATACCCAGGAACACGCGAGCGACCACGAGACCAGGCAGGTTGAAGGCCGTGGACTGCAACCATCATGAGCCCGCGATCCCGTGGAAATGCGCGTGTTTCGTACCATCAGAGTCGAGCTGATGCCCCAGCCAACGGCGACACACGCCAGCCAGATGCGCGGCGGGAACAGCTTCGAGACGACCGTGGCCGGAACTTGACATAAGATCTGCGTGATCCGGCGGTCAGCGACGGGCGGATCGGAGAACACCGGTGTCGGGGCGTACGTAGGAGAAGAAAAACGCGGAGTTGACCCAGTCGAAGAGTTTGCCGGTCGGGTCGCCGTGCAGCGTGTCGGCGGGCATCCCCTGTAGCCGCGCATTTCCCAGGTTCGAGCGGTCGAGATCTAGTAGGACGATCCAGTGAGTACAGCGCCGTCTGGTACGGAAAAAGGGATCGGACGCACACGCAAAAAGATACAGCAGGCAGGTGATGGGCAGGATCCTCAAGTCGAGTCGGCGCACCAGTCGGCGCTCCTCCTGCGGGTCGATGTCGAGGACAGAGGCAGAGCGCGAGCCGTGCTCGATCTGAGCCTCCAGCTGCTTCTCGTCGATGGTCTTTTCGTGCGACATGGAGGTGGGGTCGTTGGAGAGCGAGAAAAAATCCAGCTGCCATGAGAGGAGTTACTCCGGCCCACTTTATAGGTCGGGACCCACCGCTCAGCGGGGATAAGTTGGTTACAAAAATGAATAACAAGCCGGATAAAAATAACCCAAACTGATGAGCCAGGTCATGGGGTCGGCTTACGGCCGGCTGTTCTCACGCGCATGTCTAATGCTGTAAGAACAAGAGGTCCCCGCCCCTCGCACACCCCGGCAGCACGCCTCTCGATAAGCGCTCCCTAGCTGGACTCATGGCTTGGACCACCGATCGCACGCGTCAAACAGGCAGGCTTCCGAGCTTCGAAGATATGCACTGATGTTCTGTAAGTCTATGCGGAGTCGCTGAGTGGTCGATCGCTGTCCAATCTAGATGAGCGTATGAGAATAGAAGTCACAATCGAGAATGTGGGGAATTGGGGTAGAGCACCAGACGACAGGTGGCAATGATGGCTAGTTTCAATGACGGCCCGGCCTCAGGGCTTTGCCGACGTCACTCGTGACTTCATGTGGGGGGTCATTTTTTCTACATTATCACCGAGCGTGGCGAACAAATCCTGCACTGCAGCTGTTCTTTGGTGGCTTTTAGATCCCCCTGAAGTCCTCAGACTCGATCAAGACACAAAAAAAGCCGATCGGAGGCATCCGGAGCCATATTGAGCAAGTCTCCTCTATTTTCCTCCAGGAACCGGTTTGCCCGGAGTTATCCCCGCAACCGCGGCGTTTACGTTCTCTCGTGTTCAAGTCATGGCTGCCCTGGAGTTCCGTTCCGTTTGTCACTTGATCACCTGACCGGGCTCCGCACTCGTCAGAAACCTGATATCGCAGATATCAGCGCTGTTGGTGTGAGCGGTAGTTTTGCATGATAGATATTCAGATGATACATACCGTGCACGCACGGATGACTAAGGTCGACGACAAAGGACATGGTCTGTTTTAGGAAAGGATGATCGTGATGCAGAGTCGGGGTCTCAGTGTCACATTGTTACGGTGTCATAGTCATGTCATCACGTCTGCATAACATGACCGTGCCGTCACGTGTTCCAGTAGACACGACGCGTTCCCTGATTCGGGATGCGCACGGACGCGTTCTAACTGATAATATTGGCTCGATACTGGTGGAGGTGCGTGGAAAATATCAAAATAAAAGAGTAAATCGAAAGAGGAAGAAGTGGAAGAGGGGATGAAATCGGAACAGTTTGCCCCGATCACAGTCGATGTCGGAAGCGTCGGCGTTTGGATGCCGGCGGCACAGCAACCACGTGTTAGCAAAAAAAAAAGTGCTGTGATCTGTTCCTCGAGCTCAGAGGCCACTAACACTTGTTCTATTTTTCACAATAACTCCTTAGAATGGCACTAGAAAAATTACATGATTTTCCCTCTGGCAGGAGGCTCATCACAAGTGCCTTATGTTATCTAGCGGAGTTTGAAGCTACCTCGCGGATCAGAAGCACCAAATTAGAGGACATAGTCTGCAATATAATTGCCCTGCCGAATCTCTGATTTCAGCCGTTTTTTCGCATATCGGTCCGTCAGAACTGACCGTAAATGAAATATTTTTGAGACATCGACAGCAGATTGGTCTGGTCGTACCTCCACTTGCACCTCCTCCGAGGCCAGGAGCTATATACTGAGTTCATATTTCAAGACAAGGGCAGGGGATTTCCCCTGAAAGCGGCGCAAGCCGAAGGGCTCGAGCGCGCCGCCATCAACGACGAGCACGCTTATGACGTCGGGAACGGTCATCAGAGGCTTCCAATAAGCATATACACGTCCTCGAGTCACGGAGTGCCAGGACCCCAGCACACCCGATCGATCTATCAGTCGAAACAGACCATGTCCTTTGTCGTCGACCTTAGGATGACGGGACGGTACGGCCGTTAACAAGTCGCCGACACTGATTCGTATGCCTGATAGACCACCGCCAATCAGATCAGAGTCTCGCTTCGATCGCGTACCACTTCAGTCACCTGATCGCGTCAGACGGCGGAAATGCAGCGCTGAATTCAATTTTATTCTGCGTGCATTTCTCACTGGCGGCGGGGACTCTGTTTCTGCTCCCGAAACCGGGTGAATTATTGCACCCACATCCTTCGCGTCCACCCAGCAAGAAAGCTGCAGCGGGGACACCCGCGATGTTGTCCATTGTCCAGCGGGGCACGCGTCTCGGCAATGACCCTGGCATGCCGCGAGTCGTGTACGTCGGGTAAAACATGCATGCATGTACTCGAGGATCCCCGCACTGTGGATCATTACGGCCTGATGGGGGGATGACGGAAGCACCTGAGCGCTGGCATGGAGCACGGGAGGTCTCCGTCGCTGGCCGCACGACTCGTGTCCAATCCAGAAGCCAGGAATTCCACCAGCCCCTCGGCTCACCGCTGCACCGTACCTGGCTAGAAACCCACCGCATTCGGCAGGTCCCGCGCAGCGGCTGCAGTACTTGGTGAGATCGACAGCGAGAATTGAGATGGGATGTCCAGCTCTTGACACATATCACCATTGTCAGAGTTAATGTGGACGAGGATCAGGCCGATCGCGCGACTTCGTGGCTCCGGGTGAGAGAAAGAGACAATTTCAGGCCGGGGAGAACCGCGCACGACAATCGATGGTCGGGTTTCGCTCCGACGGAGGGAAAGGCCGAATCTCTTGCAAGTTCGCAGCCAACCAGAAGCATCGCATACTGACCGCGAGCTAGCGCGGTGCCAGAATATCTCTGCAGCTCGATTTCCAGTTGGAGTAACGGCTCCCAGCGGCGGCCTTCCGCAGCACCCTGGAAGGAAGCTCGCAGGTACATGATTCAGATCCATCCGCGAGTAGGAGCGACTGAGCTCCAGCCCGGTCTTCGGCGACGATATGGATTGTCATCTTTGGGATGTTGCTGCGGATTTGGAACGCGAGAAGAGATTTGGGGCAGTACGCGTAAAAACCGATGCTCGCTGGACGATCCAACGAGCGGACAGCCTCATGTTCGAGAAGGCTAGGGACTCTTGTTCCCTGCGCGGCACCGGCCTTCAGATCGTGCAATATTCAGTTATCTATTAGACAGACTTCACGAGAGACTAGGCGCTGAACTTCATATCGGAAAGCCGGGCAACTGACTCGCGGGAGATGGCGGTAGATAACAAAATGATCGCGGCTATTTCCGGCGGGAGCGGAAAGGCATCGCGTTTGGTGTGGCGAATACTGCGCGCGGGTCGTGCTCGAGTTGGTCTTTCCGTCCAAGCATGCACGGGTCGAGAATGGAGCCAGTGTGTTAACTCCACTCGGTGATTGAGGGTGATCATGACTTCGTCGTGTTTCATCCAGACCTCAAGAAGATACGATTTCCCGCCTGTACAGTAACATAGCTAAACTTGGCGTTTACGAAACATAACCTCTGCCGTGGAATTCGCAGCCCCTGCGACAAACATCCATTCATCTTCCGGCCGCTTGCCATCCCGGAGCTTGACATCGTAGGTTACCAGCATATGCGCCATCAGCAGCTTCTGCTCGTTGACCGCGAAGAATCTTCCGGGACTGAAAGAGAAAGAGAGTCCGAGCCAATGAGTCAGTCGTGTGATACATTGGTGTGAAAGACAGATGGCAGACCATGCATGTCGACCCAGCCCAAAAGTCAGAAAGTCGGCCCGAGGAGTGACCATATGATGCTTCACGCTTTCGCCCGCTTCCGTTCTCAGACGGGAAAAGCGAAATGGGTCAAAGATATGCCCGTCCGTGTAGTTCGTCTACGGAGGCTTTTAGAGGCCGGTGGGGAGAGAAAGCGCGCGAGAATCAGAACACGCACCGCCTTGTAATGCTCCTGCATAACCGGAACTCCGATCAGCGTCCCAGAGGGCACAACCGTCCCGTCCGAAAACGCAAAGTCCTTGACAGTCTGACGAAGCAGTGCCACTGGCGAAAATCAGCGGTGCGGCACCGGACAATTGATTTCGCTAGGGTAACGTACCGACGCCCCCGGGAGTGAAGCGAGCGCATTCCTTCATAAAGCTGTCCAGCTTGACCATCTTAGCGAGCGCAGCCTTCGTCCAACCTTCCGCCTGCACAACAGCTTCTATTTCCTCGCGTAGAGGTGGCACAAATTCGAGGTGGCTGGCAATCGTGTACAGCGCATGCAGAAAACCCTGCGTCGTGGTATGGATGGCCCCGAAATTAACATTGAGCAGGGTGTGAGTGAGTGTCCGGACATTGCGCCGGCGGGGCTGATCCCGCGTCTCGTCAAGAAGCCAGCTGATCAAATCGTTCTTGCATCCCGTCTGTCAGCAGAGCAGGGCCTAGACTCGCCGGAAAACATACCGGGCGATCCCCTGCAGGCCATTCTGACCCATAACGCTCGTCCATGTCGATTCGGTGTTGGATCAGCGGCCCGACAAGCCTCATGGTCTTGCGTGTCGTGGACTCCAGATGTCCGAAAAAGTGGGCCACGGCGTTGCGCAGAAATCCAGGAGTGATATGGAGCAGGGCCGCATCAGTGGTTACGTGCTGAGCGAACTGCGTCGTTATCGATATGAGTTCTGGATTGCGGCCTGCCAAACGATGAGATCTTCAGGTCAGACTTGGCAATCCCTGGCGCACATTGAAGCCCAATGAAGAAACGATTCGATATCCTCGATACTATAGGGAGTACTGTCTAAATGAAAGACTTGATCAGCGACACCGTGGCTTCCGTGGACCGATTCGAATACCTGCATGGCCGGGACACTGATCCATTCTGCTCAGAATAGTTTAGCGCCTGACAGATGCACTCGCAGTATCGTACCATCACTGGGAGGGACTAGATCCGTGAAGGCATTGACGACCTCGTCGTGGATGTCCGGAAAGCAGACTCCGATGTTACGAGTCAATGGGGAGCGGACGACAGGAACTTGGAAAGGGTCTTGATGCTGCTCGTGGCCGAGAGTGTGCTCCAGGTGCAACAACTGTGAGAGCCGTGAGAGTTGGAGGGATGGACGGCTGCAGTGACGCACTGCGTTCGCTCCCTCGGCTTGGGACAGTTCACTATCCGACGCCTTGCGGATATCCTCCAGGAAGGACGGTCCCGACACGAGGACCAGCCATCTGTCTGCGAACGGGACTTTGAAAGGCTTGTCGGGATACTGTATTCCCAGCAAGGTTGATCAGCACCATGCTCGAGGGATAAGCATAACGGGACGCGCACCCGCATGCATCCTTCCTCTGTGATCCCCCGCGCATCCTTGATGTAGCGCCACGAGCCCCGGTAGAATCCAAATGGGCCAGAGGAAACTCCGACACTGGGAATGCGGTCGAGAGAAGACTGGGCGGCCTACAATTAGCCCACTGCAGAAGGTGGCTTGACCGAGTCGGGCCAACCTTTCGCAGGATTCGGCTCACTAGCTGGAACGCGCCAAGAACCGCGGCAGTGAGCAGAATAGATCTGGCCGCATAGTCCATCTTTGACTGGGAGCACGCTCCTGCCGGGTTTAAGTATGTACCATCGTGGCATGCCGTGGGACTCAGACTCTGAGTGGGGAACCGGAATCAACTAGACCGTTTGAATCTCTCAGGGTGTTTCTCCCAGGGTGTTCAGTCTCAAGGTTCGCCTTGGACTACGAGAAGTTGGAAAGCTGATGTAGTGTGCTAGATGACAGAATGGTTACCGCCATTCAGAAGGTCGGCGCGAGAAACGAAAAGGACCTGCAAGTGAGAGACAGGGTCTCAGGGTCGAGAAAGACCAACGACTGCAGTCCGATGTTTCAAGCTCGAGCCAAAGACTGACAGTTCATACTTAGGCTACATATGATCAGGCACGTGCATGATACGACACGTCTGGACAGCGATGGAATCGCGTACTACCAGGTACTACTACTCACTTATCACCATTGCCAAATCCCGGTCCCGTCTACCAAACCTTGAAGGCCCAGCGCCAACTCACAGCACGATGCAAACTGTCGAACGCATTCTCCGTCCCAGGAGAGTTTCCTCAATGTTTCGTGTGAATAAGAGTTACCTCAATGTTTCGTGTGAATACAAAAAAGGTCCCAGTATCATTGCTTTCAAGTCTCAGTCCGTCGCTTGCGAAACATGACCTCGGCACGCGAATTTGCCCCTTCTATAACGAAAATGCACTCATCCTCAGGTCGCCTCGAATCTCGCAGCATGACATCATATGTCACCAGCAGATGCGCCATCATCAGCTTTTCCACCGTCACAGCAAAGAACCGCCCAGGACTTTGCATCGAACGCCGGTTCAGCACAAGAGTATCTTTGAGACAAATCAGTGGGGACAGACCATGCATGTGGACCCAGGCCAAAGGTCAAAAAGTCGGCTTGCGGGGTGACCATCTGATGTTTGAAATGCTCTCCGGCCTCGCCCCTGCGCCGAGAGAACTTGAATGCGTCGAAGTTTCCAGCTTCGGGATAGTGGGCCTATCAGCGCGTCGATATCGTGCGGAAAAGCACGCAGAATGGTAGTGCGTACTGCTTTGAAGTGCTCATGCATGACAGGAACACCGACAAGAGTCCCGGAAGGCACGAATGTTCCATCTGAGAACACAAAGTCCTTGACGGCCTGACGAAAGAGAGACACTGGCCCCGACGCGCAGATAAGTGATCGTGACTCAAAATAACCCTTGCAGAAGGACCACGAACCAACAGAACCAGGACGAACACGCGCGCACTCCTTCAAGAAGCTGTCCAGCTTCACCATCTTCGCGAGAGCAGGTTTAGTCCAACCGTCAACTTGGACCAGGGCCTCTATCTCCTCCCGCAGAGGCTCCACCAGCTCCAGATGGCTAGCAAGCGTGTAGAGAGCATGCAGGAAGCCCTGCGTAGTTGTGTGGATCGCCCCGAAGTTGACAGCAAGCAGTGTGCGAGTGAGCCGAGGCACGTTCCGTCGCTGCGGGTGATCGCGGGCGGCATCTAGAAGCCAGCTGATCAGGTCGTTCTACAGTAATAATGGGATTACTAAACAATGCACTGAGGAGAACAAGGAGCATACCAACCGGACGATTATTATCTGGCCAGTCGGACCCGTGCAAGTCGTCCATGTCTATACGCTCTCGGAGGAGAGGGCCGATTAGCTTCATAGTCTTCCGTGTCGTGGGCTCCAGGTGACCGAACAGACGCGAAACGATCGGTCTGAGCAACGCAGGCGTGACATGGAGCAAGCCTGCATCGCGAGTGACATCCAGCGAAAACTGGGTCGTGATCGCGATGTATTCCGGATCCCGACCTGAACGGGTATCGGAGCACGTCAATCATCACGGAACTCGAAACACACATGGGAGGCCAATGAAGAAGCGGTTTGCGATTCTGGAAACCAGAGGAAGGACGGTCTACCACACGTCAGCGCTACAGGAGACGCCATTGAGCATCCAGTAGATACCTGCATAGCTGGAAAACTGACCCACTCTTCTCAGGTTCAATCAACTGAGGAATGCAATCCGATCGACTCAACACACCATCGCTGGGGGGTAGGAGATCAGAGAATGCAGCCACTACCTCGTCGTGTATGACGGGGAAACAAACACTGATGTTGCGTGTCATAGCGGTACGAATGACCGGAATCTGGAACGCGTCGTGGTACTGTTCATGACCCAGAGAGTGTTCCATATGTAACAGCTGAGCACGGCGGCGCTTAGCACCAGCATCAACGAAAAGACTCAAAGCACACACAGCATTCGCTCCTTGGGCGTGAGACAGCTCATATTCAGAAGCTTTACGGATGTCTTCAGTCAGTGGTCCCGAAACGACGACAAGCCAGCGGTCTGCGAAAGCGACCTTGAACGGCTTGTCGAGGTACTGTCCGAGTTGAATATTTGATCCGGTGATTTACCGAGGGCCTTACCGTCAAGCAGGCTTTATTTGTAATCGATCGTGCGTTCTTGATGAAGTTCCATGAGCCTCGATAGAATCCGAAAGGGCCCGCGGGAACCCCAGCGCTGGGGATGTGGTCGAGTGAACGCTGCGACACCGTAATGAGCCGACAACCCTCACTGAAAGTGAGTGGACCCAACCTTTCTCCTCACTAGATTGACTAGCCGGCTCAGGATGAAAGCAGCGGCTATGAGCAGTGGGAATGTGCTGATCCTGTCCATGTTCCTGGTCAAGCTGCTCTGCTTGGCTTGAAATACATGCGTTGATGACATACCGTGGGATGAGAATCGCCCACGATCGTCTATACTGGACAGCAGCATTCAGTTTCACATGCGACACGGTTGTTGCACGCACAGTCCAGCTTATTTAATCTAAGTACGCAAAGGCGGTGCTCCGCCCTCTTCCAGATTCCCTAGTTTATGTCTGTCCGTCTCATCCATCGCCAATCGCTCGTATTGTGACGATGAATCCCTTCTCGCCTTCCCATCAGCCTCTTGGTGCTTGACCCATGTATAATAGATTGAGCCGCCGAGGACAACCGTAATCGAAGCTGCTCTCCCGCTGGAATCAAATCAGTTCAAGATGACGTCCAGCTGGAAGTAACAACGCACGGGGATATCGAATCGTGGAAGAGCCAAAGACCTAGGAAAGACGATGCCACGCCCCTCACAGCCGAAGACACCATGTGTGTTATGGGCGAGGTCACTTTGATAGAGAGCACTCCTGCTATGCTGATGAGAAAGCCGACCACGCCCTATGTGCAATCGTTCATTCACTCGATGTGACCCGCAAGCTGTGGACAGGACCCACCGTGATCAAAGAACCCCATAAGAACGTCTTCAAGTCAGCCATGCCGGTGCACAGGGCCCACACACTCGGTCCTTCACCAGTAATGAACACCATCGGGACGAAGACAAAGACGCTAAGAACGTTCGTGTACCACGAAAGGAGAATGCTGCTCCCGTCCACCACATCCAGGCTGCGCTTGATGACGACGGAGGCCAGCGCCGTCACGGACGAGCTGACCACGCCAAAGACCACGCCCACCAGCGACACCGGCGTCCCATCCAGCAGCACGCCGCAGAAGAACCCCGCCGTGACGACCCCGCAGGCGGACAGCACCCGCAGGGACGGCCGCGCCTGCAGAACCACCAGCGACGCGACGACCGTGAGCGGGAGAACGAGCCCGCGGGCGACCTGGTAGAACGACGCGTCGACGTACTTCAGCGTGAGGTTGCTGAAACTCAGGCCGAGGACGTTGAGCGCGACCATGGGGACGAGCGCTTTGCAGATCTTCCAGTCTAGAGATAGCCGATCCGGGAACAAGTGGAAGAGATCCACGGCGAGGAAGAGAATGACGGCTATGACGATTTGAATGAGGAGGAAGAAGAATGGTGCCGTGGTCGAGTTGAGAACCCATTTGTTGCTGCACACACACACAGTTCAGTGGGACGGCAGAAAGGCGGGCATTGGGACGCACGCCATGATCATCTGGTAGGCCGTATCATGTTAGAGTCTGATTTCAGACATTCAGAGAAGAGGCAGACCGTTAGTGCAGCAACAATGTAGAAAACAACCACCGCGGCCTGGTTAGTGCAATCAGTTATACGCGACGGTTACTACGGCGGAATGGCTGACTATGAGGCCATTGGAAGGAGGTGCTTCTGAAGATGCTTTAGAGGCTGCCATTCTTATGATTGTGTGCGGGAGATGGATGAGGTTGGGCTTTGGGCTTTCAAGTTTTAGGAGCCATCGGTTGAGTGTGGGGAAAGTAAGTAGAGGGTGACAATTGATCTCGTCCTTGATCAGAATCATAATTCTAGTGTTCGCTAGTGTTCGTCGCGGCTGCGTGAATTCTCACGATAGATATCGTTTCGCAGCGACATATTCGGAAAGTGAGATCCTGCCGCGGGCAAATTATTTAAAGTCATCATCTCATCTTGGTACCCGTTCTCCCAAGGGTCAACCATCGACTGTCGTGCTCGAAGTCATGCACTGTATGTTATAGGCTCGTGTGTGGCACCTTCAGCCACCGAACAAACAGTAGTATGCGATTGTCCTAATTCACATAAGTAGCAGTGAACCCTATATGATACATGCCTTGATTCAAACCACTTCGTCCACCTTAGACCGATTGATACAAAACCCAGGAGTGACCCATTCCTTGCACCCACAACACATCCCTGCCCAGTCGTAATTCCCCAGTTTGGCACTGCATTTCTTGTTGGGACACATGATCTTCCCCGCAATCTGTCCGTCTTCCAGGAACGGCTCCATCCACTTCATCTGCAGAGAGTCAGAATCGGACGAAGCGGCATCAACACAGTTTTCCACTCACAGGCTCCACAAAATACCCCGAGCACTTGGGGTTCACCAAGATCGGTGCACTGATCGGGAGCGGACGCGATGGGACAGTGGACGATCCGGTAGCCGGGGTCTGCAGCGGCGTAAGAGGTGTCATTGCCGGGTTTCGCAAGGCAGCCAGCTTCGGGTGAGCATTGAGCTGCGCGACCATGTCCTCGGCGCTTGAGAAGTGGGTAGTGGGGGACGGATTCTCGGGCGGCGAGCTAGGATCGGCCGCTGGAGATGCCAGCACCGCATCTGATAGTCTACGACCCAAGAGCGTCGCAGCTTGAAAAGCCTGGGTGCTCGGGATCGGGTGCTGGTCTTGATCGTCGTCCTCGGTATCTAGGGCTGACATCATCGACATCGACAGATCGCCGTGGATGATCGGCCGTCGTATGGGGGGTCGACGAGAGACGACATCTCCGCCCTCGCCGTCCTCCTCCTCCTCAATTTCGAGCGCAGACATTGAGAGCTCTCCCAGCCCAGACGGTCTTCGCGGTCGAGCACTGGTGAAAGCGCCCGTGGATCCCAGCCTCGGACGCGTCGCGGAGCTCATAGACGGGGCTCGCGATGCTACGGGCGTCCCGGATGCAGGTGTCGGTGCACCGAGCTGTCCGTGATCTAACATATGCTCCCGCGTCGCGAGTTCCTGGCTTCAGGCCCCGTCAAATTTCAATGTTTTGGCAAGTCACTGCTGCACGCACCGGCACATTTTGCACCGGATCCGCCTCCGTGGTCCCCCCGGCGTCGACGGCGCTGAGTCCGTCGGTGTTCGTGGGTACTTCGCGAACATCGTCGTCTCTGGAAGACTCCCATCGCCATCTCAAGTTGCATATCAGCCGTCTTCTCAAGCCGCACCAGCCGCGCACGCACTCATCACTTCTTCCACGGCGCGCTCCATGTAGAACATCCGCGTCGTCTTGTCGCGTCGCGAGATCTTGAATGCGGCCTTATGAAAAATCTCCAGCTGCAATAAGAACCCTGGATTGGGGCTGTGTAGTAGACGGTTACGATGATCAGCGAACAGTCAGAAAGTCAAGCGGAGCCGGGTTCCCGGACGACTGACTCGATGTTCGGACGCGCCGCGCGGATCGTGTCCAACGCCCTCTCCACATCAATATTCTGCGTGTACATGAGATACGCCGCCACGATCGTGACGCTCCGACCTGCCACCCCGAAATCAGCCGGACGCACTGCGCGATCAGAGAACAGCAGAGCACGCACTCATTCCTGCATGACAGTGCACCAGCACCCCTCGCCCCTTGTCCAGCTCGCTTTGTATGAAGGTGATCGCCGGGATAAAATGCACCAGGACATCGGTGTCGTCTGTGTCGTCCAGTAGGATCTGATGCTGGATGAAGGTCTGGGACGCAATCGTCGTGCCGGAACTTGGATTTGGAGATAGACGCAAGGGACCGACCTCGTTTATGGTGACCCGTCCACGCATAGCAGAAAGGATGCTGAATATGTTGTTGCTCTTGAGCCCGGCCGTGTCCTTCGCGCTCGTGATATCCCCCACCCAGAGCCCAGGGATGACTTCGTCCATGTCGATGGGTGGGAGAAGTGGTACGCGCGTGGAATAGCGAGTTCGTGAATGTTGACCCTCTGAGCACGTGGACTACTGGGTAGATGCTGGCGAGATAGCTCCAGATGTGGCTGGAGGATGGTGGGAAGACGAGAGGGGCGGACGATCATGGAGGCACTTTAACAAGACTTGAACTCAATGACGCTCACGATCTCCTTCTATGATGTCGACAATTGGAGTCAATACATACGTTGTCGCTTGAAGCACTGTTAGCGAGATTGTAACATCACAAGATACGTATACATAAGAGTGGATGAAAATGTTGTACACAAGCAAGTCCCTCTAGGCTCTACAGAAGTACCAAAGTGTAGGAAATAGATAGTAGATAACACACGGCTATACATAAGAGTCATGACTTGGGCTGTGATGGTGGTGGATCCCTCATCATCTTCACCGATGGTTTACGCTTCCATGTGGGAGCAACCGTTCGCAATGCTTTGTTTCTTTCAGATACAAGCGGGGATGGGGCTGGCCTTTTAAGCGGGATCGTATGAACAGCTTGGATTGAGATCGGAAACATAATCCGGTCGGATCTGGACAAAAGCGTACCCAGTGGACGATGGGGTGTTGACGCATTGGATTGAGTTGATGATGCAAGCCGTGGCTCGGAAGGACCTGAGAGCGCTGAGTCTGGTGAAAGAACGGATGCCACGTCAGCTACGTAAGGGCAATTCGCGCGACACTCACCGGGATTGGATGCGGATGTCCTGATAGGAAGGGTGGACGAAGACAAGCTTGGCCCACTGCGAGTCCTACTGCGCGCCGAAGAAGGCTTCAAAGGGATAGCACTGTCAGCTATATCCTTAGGCTTAGAATGCGAGCTAGGACCAGGACCAGGCCGCCGGATTGGGGTTCCACTGCTGATTCCTCGCACGACTGTTGCGTTGCGGGTGGACGCTACAAAACTGGAGATCAGGATGAGGTCTTGGCTATCGGTAGTATTGCGTACCAGCAGTAGCAACAAGGGAGCTGTTTGGGCCAGTGGCCGACGAGCTCCCAGACGAGGATGTTGTCCTGGAAGGTCGAACTGTGTGGTCATTAGTAGACTTTTAGACGTCGGTCTGCAAGAAACTAACGTTTGGTCAAGACCATATTCACCGGGGGCTCTACGGGGACGGCTGCCTCACGCTGCTGATTTGGCTTACTCTTGAGAGGTTGTGGCTCGATTTCGACACGTGGGTTCTGCGTCTGCCCAGTCTCGCGCGTTCCATCCCGTTCGAGCTGCAACTTCGCCAATTGTGCTTCTCGATCACGAACCGTGACTTGCAGACGTCGAATTTGCGAAACTTGTTCGGCGATGAGCACAGAGTCGTGCTCATTCTGAGTTTTCGCTTGTGTGCATGCGGCCTCCCACTTCTTGCTCTCCTGCTCCATCTTGGTCATTAAAGAATGAAATCTTGCCAGACCTGGCTGGATACGATCCCGTTCCTGTTCTGCTTTTGAAGCCCTCTTTTCCGCCTGCTGAACGGCCCCATGGAGTATGCCGCACTCGAGATGCGCAGCTTCTGATTCGGCCTTCGCCTGATCGGCCAAAGACTGGACAGCAGCAAGGGAAGCGCTGTGGTCGGTCACCAGTGAGACGCATTTTCTCTCGTACTCTGCCTGCAGCCGGACTTCGATTTCGTTGCGATTGTCTTCGGCCTCCGTGTACTTTTCCCTCCACGCCTGCGTCTCTGATTCCAACCGTCTGCGTTCGCTCGCAAATTCATGCCGAAGAGCCGCCAAGTTGCGCAGCTGCAATTCGTGCTTGAGTTCCCAATCCTTTACATTAATCTCCAGGGCCCTCATTTTTTCTGGTGCAGCGGCCGCTGACTTCTGCAGCTGCTGCACGAGAGAGCGCTCCATGGCAAGATCCTTCTCGAACTTTGCGCGTTGGGTCTTCCATGCAGCCGAAGAATCACTCCGAAGCTCGCCCAGTTGCCGTGCCGTCTCCGTCACGAGCCTTTCCGTCTCGACATTGCGTTGTTCCAGTTCAGATGCTCTCTTCTTCCAGCCGGCCGTCTGTTCGCGCATATGTGCGAGGGCTCGATCTTTCATTGTGGCATCCTTCCGGAGGGACGCGAGAACGACCGTGAGCTGGACGAGTGCGTCGTAACCTTCCCTCAGTTCTTCCTGGAGTGCAGTGACATGGTTTTCGGATTTAGAGGCTGCGTCTTGTGCCGCCGCCACTCGGCGCGCGCAATCTGCGATGAGCGCGACGAGTGAGGGAACAATGGTAAGGGGAGAGATGGCTCGGTAAGTGCCAGAATCGGGAGCAAGTTTCCGCGCCTCTCTTTCGATGCGAGAGAGCACACCGGCTGTGTCCCCGACAAAAGATAGCGTGGGTCCGTGTTCGTTCACCTGCACGGCCAGGTCGTGTGTTCGCAACAGAGACTCGATCGCAGCTAGTTCCGCCGTCACCGCCAGCGTACGTTCTTCTTTCGCGGACAAGGCGGCGTTTTGGGCGTCTAGTTTCTGTGCTAGGGCATCGAGGGTTTCGAGAAGAGGTTTCTCAGCCCGTTCGACTTCAGCCTCAATCAGGGAGAACACGAGGTCCGCTTGCTGGGCTATTGACACAGATCGGGTTGCCGACATTATCGGGGTCACGGAGCTTTCAGCCATTCAGAATGCATCAGACGATGGGATGGTCGAATGACGGGACAAGAGTCCGTATGTGGGCGACCGGTGAGGCAATGGTCAAGGAAGATCGTATTATCTAATTGCCATCAGACTCGAAATGTGATCAAAATGCTAATCTTCCAGACAGCTGTCTCAAGCGCAAAATGGCCGCTTCACGCTCCTCTCCGAGCTCGTCTACGAAAACACCTGTAGTCAAATCCCATGCCTTGTTACGTAGGCAGGGTCTCGCACGACGAGAGGTTTTTCTTTTGCGTGATTTCAAAACTCTAAGCATCTTTTCCCCATTCTCTTATCTCAAGCATTCTGGCAAATTGAAATCGCATAGCACAAGGCATGTGTGTCGAAACCGACATGGTGATGGATGCTTGACAATGCGGAAGTATGCCCCAGACACGACAGTAGAACAGGCAGATGCCGTACTACAACAAAAGTCTACTGATTACCAGGGCGAGTGTGAGTCAGAAAAGGTCCGTAAAACCAAGGCGTGCATGAGCAGGGAACGGGGAGATGAGGAGCAATATCGGGACAGTCAGGGGGAGTAATAGTATCGAGCAATGGTCCATGAATCTAAACATATAAGGGCAGGATAACCGGAGACTAGCCAATAAAACACAATCCATAAAAGACGATCATCCGGGAGGCGAGCGCGGTCCGGGTCTATGTCCCTTACCGGGCATGGGACCCGCGGCGCTTGTGGCCAAAGTGCTGAATGGCCGAGTCGGGGCAGTGCTCGCGGTTGGTGCCGCCGTTGCACTCGCCCGTGCGCGAGTTGTATGTGCAGGCATGGGTTCCCGTGCCCTTGCCGGTGAGATAACTTCGCGTCAAAAATCAGGATCGATCGCACACGAAAAAACGATCGAGACAGAAGACGTACGTGCATCCGAAGGACTGGCCGCTGTGCGGCGGGGCATCGCAGAGCTCAGCAACCTTGCCGTGCGCCTGCTTGTTGGTGTCCGGGCAGTGATATCCAGTGTTGCTCGGCGACGATGGCTGGGGCGGCTGGGGCTGGGTCGGGTGGCCTCCCTCCGGGTGCCCCTCGTGCTCCTCATGGCTGGAATGCTCCTCATGGCTAGGGGGGCTCTGGTACTGGGGGTGGCCCGAGTGCTCCTCGTGGCTGGAGTGGCCCTGGTACTTTGGGTGGTTGGAGTGCTCGCGATCGTCGCCACCGTTGTGTGCGGCGACAACCGCCACGAATGCGAAGAGGGCAAGGAGACGGATCTGCATTTTGAGGCGAGGCGGGGTAGCGAGAGTGGGGTGGAAAGATTGTACGGGCTGAGATGATCTCAGAGAGTGACTTGGGTAAATAAAAGGCGGAGGCCAAGTGTCGCCACAGCACCAAATTGCTTTTATATTCGTTCAGACAGCCGACAGAAGACATCACCAAGGAATTTTGCAAGCGTGATGGCAGGACCGATCGCAAATTCGATACAATGATCCCAGCTACCCTCAGGAGGCCGAGGCATCTGGATAAGGCAAGCTAAATTGGGAGATCGTGTCTCGCCCTCCTGAGCTCTGGTCTGTTCGAGTGGGAGGATGAGCGGGGGGCTCAAAGAGTTCATCCTATACCCACCATCTCCTCTGGGCTTGATATGCGGCGCGAAAAAGATCTCTTGGCCCCGGAACCAAGCGCAAGGATGCTGATGTGATGCTCGAGAACAAGGGATCCCTACAGGCGGCATCACGAATCTCGTTGAGACAGCTCAGTCCCCTATGTGATCACATGAGACGAAGAACGCGGACGCCGGCGTAGCTGCATGAGACGCCAAAAATATTAGGCAGGGATGACAGAAGTTGGACCTAGCTGGATGATTGATCGACGATCACGAAACCGATCAATGTCATCAGGGCCTTATTATGGCACGTGCATGCTTCTAGTCGCGCCCACGCTCATAGCCACGCCTTTACTTGCGGTCACTGAGGGTGCCAGCCACGACAAATAAACGGCAGTCTATTGAGAGGTGGGAACCACACTTGACAGGAAGCCCAAGATCCGCAAATGTTACTCCCGAAATGCGGCCGCGGCACCCTGTAGCTTCCCGCAAGAAAGGTGAACCCTGTTGTAACAAGTTACCTCATGCCTTCCGCCCGCAACGACTTGGCAAGGCAGATACTTACCCATCACTCATTTGGCATTTCTTGAACGTCGGGACCTGTCGGGACGCGAAACCAGAGCGCAACGGAGGGTCGAGACTCGAGACGCGGGCCCGCCCGTTATCTCCGGACACTCTCAAAGCAGGTCACCGTCTTTGGGCGAACGCCTGTCGAACCATCACACGCTCCTTGCTTGGCACGTGGGGGTCTCAGAGGTATACGATACTTGTGACGGTCTCCTTCGAAATGCCAGGCCTTGCTAACCCTAAACAGGTAGCATTTCGAAAAGCATTCGTTCTTCCAAACCCTTTGCATCGCTAATTTCACGACTGAGTGAAGGATGCATTATTGTGGGTGATCGCCTGCTTTCCGTGTACCACTGGCGCCCTCATTAACATTATCCCTGACTCCTCTGATGAAGCACCGGAGGTCGCGATCGCCCCTCGCAGGCACAACCCTCGTGGCGAGGTCTTTGCCTACGCGTGCATGAATCAGCCGCAGTCAAGCTGCAAAAACGAGTGGTCTGCAGTATTAACACGGATAAGATTGCCGTTCCAGTAGTAGTCCGTGTCTGTACTTATCTTGTATATATATACACACTCGCCAACACTCCGATTAGCATTGCCCTCCTGCCTAGAATACGAGTCATCCGGGGAATAGAAATGAATGTAGGAGATAAAAGCAATAGAATAGGTCGTGAAAGGTCGTAAATGCAAATGGGAAAGCAGGTGAAAGGACGGTGGAGAGGTAACAGCAGCGGTTGGCTAGAGTATATGTATGGGATGCACAGCACGGCGTTTTACTTGCCGGGAAGAACAGACGAAGCTTTGTCTTTCAGCACTGCAGGATAGCTGTTCATTAGATGCGCAAGGGCGCGGAGATCTTCCTGGTCAAGCAGGGCGATGGTGACTTTGGGCTACAGAAAATAGTCAGTCAAGTTTGCAAATCAGTTCCAAGCAAATTACGCACCGCTTGTTTGATGCCAAACGACTTGACAGTTTTGAAACTGCGATGGGAAATCAGTCAGTCGTCACGGGTTGGCCAAAACACTAGGCGGACGCACAGTTTATCACCCAGCTGCTGTTTCTGCGTCGCGGGTGGCTTGTCCATCAATCCATCGATAAACTCGTCCGTGGCCTGCATGACCAGCGGATCGGCCTTGGGAAGCGGCAAGCCAGACGACGTGGTCGATTTTGCGAGCCGTATGATTTCGACAGCCGGCAACTTGGCCAAGGAAGCGATGGTATGCGTCGGCGCACCGGGTGTAGCGGGCGCAGGAGATGCATTGGCGCTCGGGCCCCGGGACGACAGATCCGGCGTCTGGGGCGAGCCTGCTGGAGGCACAGCGATCCGTTTCGCCTGGGGTGTGACCGGGACGGGTTGCACGGTCTCAGCCGGAGTCTCGGCCTCGTCGTCCGACACATCGAGCACCATTTTCGCGTCGACCAACTTGGCGCGCAGGATCTCCGCGTTGAAGAGACACATCGCCCGCTCGCGTTTGGGCAGGCTCATCAGCAGATCCGTCAACTCGCTTTGGCGCGTCGACTCGAGCTTGCTCACGGCAGCCAGAATTCGCTCTCGTTCGGAAGCGGGTGGCACAGAGCCGGAGGGTGATGACGTCCGCGGGGGAGTCGAGAGCGAAGCGTTGACAGAGATGGGAGTCGAGGGATGTTCCGGGGCACTGGCCGTCGCATTCAGCGCATTCACGTCCAGAAGCCTCGAATCTTGCGACGCCGAAGGCGATGGGGACTTGCTCGAAGGCGCCACAGGATGCAGCGATCGCTGGATCACCTCGATCTGACGAGTGAGCTTCGCAGGGTCGTCCAGGTAGGTGACGACATCGGCCAACGAGATGGACGTCAGCGCTTTGACGACAGCATCAATATCGTTCTCCGACACAATTCCGGCTGCTTTCACGCGCCGGCTCAGCTCGCCGGTGAGGACTTCCTGCCGCACAACAGGCGATAGCGCGTACAAATCTTCGTAACGCATGGGGAGATTGAGGGTTCCAGAAAGAGCAGCCTGCAACCGTTCAGTACCTGCTGCAACTCGGATACTCGATGCCACACATTATAGTAGCTTCCCGAGCCTCGGCGGCCCCGATCTACCCGCTCGTGATGAGCACCGTGCACAGGGGAGCCCAGATTAGCAGACGGGTGCCGCGGGCTCCACCCAGCGATGCTCTCACCACCCTCGCTGGCGGTAGGGCTAGTAGCGCCACTCGAGTTTCTAGGATGGCCATTATGGCCACTGAAGCGCTGGGCCAGCTTCTCCTGCCTCAGCTGCTTCGGCTCGTGCAGGCGGACCACAATCTGCTTTGTCCCGAGAAGGACTCCGTTCATCTGCTGCATGGCGTTCGAAGCTGCGGGAGAGATCAACGGGGCAATCGGAGAAGCATCCTTGCGGACGGACGTGCCTTGTTCCGGTGTCTGGTACGACACGAAGCCGAAGCCGCGACTCTCTCCACTTTCGTTCCGCATGACACGTGCACTGGAAAAAGAATGTCGGTATGTTGATCCGTCACGCGGAGGCTTCCACCGCACCTAACGATCTGGCCGAAATTGCGGAAGTGAGTAAAGAGGCCGTTCGAATCGATGTCGGGGTCCAAGTTCTTTGCACAACGTGAGTGCGCCAGAACAACGGAGAATGACAGATTAGTGGGCACCTTGCAGAAGAGATTGCATGGATCTATCAGTCCGCTCTGGCTGCCCGATCCAGGGCCGGCAACGGGCGCAAGCTGCACCTGTTGACCAGGCCCGTGAATGAAAGGCGATCCAGGTTGCATGGAGATCGGCTGTCGGTATGGGCTGCCGCGCGGAGGCGAATACTAGCAGAGCCGTTAGTTTCAGACGCAGCAAACAGCGCAGAGAGAAGGGCACTTGAGCAGGCGGCGAGTGGGGCACGTATCCGAAAGACGGCACAAATGACGGCGCGCTCGCGTTGAATTCAGACATGGCGCCGCTCGTGCGACGCGGTTGGTACAGCTGGACGGAGATATTGTGGCCCTGCACATCCGCAAAGTGCATCGCGTCCTCCGCCTGCTTGGCCTCCTCCTCGTTCCAGAACTCGATCATGCCCGTGTCCTGCCCAAAGTGCGTCTGCGTGCGCGCGGACGCAATGGCGCCAAAGGGACGGAAGATGTCGTACAGCTCGGAGTCGGTGAACCCCGCGGGGAGGTGCTTGACGAGTCGCGGAAGCGCGGATGGCGGCGGCAGGGGCGTCGGAGGAGTCGTGGGAGGATACGGCGACAGGACTAGCGGCACTGGCGGCATGAGGCCCGGGAGTGCTTTCGACTGCAGCGTAGCAAGCGCCTTCTCCGCTGTCTAGGAATCAGTGTCAGCTCGCCGCAACCCTGGGAGACGCACCCTTTTCCAGCAGCTTGAATTCAATTGTGCCGTTCACAGGGCCCTCGCCTCCTCCACGGGGTATTTTGGGGCGGAAGGGACCACAGGTAGCGAAGGCCATAGCGATGTTTTCGTCAGAGACGGATGAGGGGAGGTTAGAGATGTAAAGAAGAGGCTCGTGCAGGATGGGGTGAGGCATGGGTCCCTCGTTCTCGGGTTCTGGGATTCCTTGGTACTCTGATTCCATCGCGATAGTCTCAATCTGCAGAGAGCTACGGCCAGATGAAAGACACTAAAGGTGAGATGAGTGATAGTGCGGGATTGGGAAACTAAGAAAGAGAATTCACCGAGACGCAGCCCAACGGCTTGGATCAAGGCAGGGGCAAAAAAGTTCGGGCTTATTATGCGATTACATAAGACCATCAGCTACTCAGAGTGTCCGACATATGTACATTGCAAATGATTGCAAGCGTGCCTGTGGTACAGCGACATTTAAAGCCAGGATTAACTCTGCTCAATCACAAAAAAAACTTGAGGATACGCGGCGGTGTTCTCCCATGAGTCGGGTGGACTTCCGCCGCCAATACCCGCGATGCCGCTCGGGGAAACATGGTCTCCATGTTGTCCGTGATGCCTTCCAAATTTACCACTATGTCATAGGATCCATGTGAGCTGTGAAGCAGCACAAGACCAAGGGAAATGTGACTGCCAACGTGGGGCGAGCTTAAGGTGCTGCACCATGCAGTAAGGTGCTGTAAATCTAAACTGTCTAGCATTCACGTATAGAAGTCACAGACCCAATAATTAGTGCCCAATTATGCACATGGAAGTTCTTATTATTTTACAACTGCATTTCGATGTGAGTTGGGCTATGAGTTATCTTCAGATCCTTGAGAGATGGGAAGAAAATCCTGAAGCCCGGCCCGGTTGTTCCGTGCCACATGGCTTTATATCACGATCAATTCTCACGGTTCAGATCAACTCATGTTCAACTTCATGTGAAGGTTCACTACCGAGTCGATATTATAACATGATAATCTTAATATAACGAGGCAAAAGCATACTCTACATAATTACTGTAATTTACTCATGTGACAGACTCTTTCATTCTTGTATGTAAATAATGTTGAATACCATTCGGAGCTGCCAGCCGTCCGGATACTCATGTTCGTGGCCAGCTGAAACTGGATCGCCACTGCGATACGCTCTTCAGACATGTTTCGAAGCGCGATCTCGCCGATGGGGACTGGACCAAGTTGATGCAGCGCACCAGATCCAGAACCTCGTCGGCGAGTTCGGAGAGGTCTATGTCCGCATCACTCACGTCTCTAATCGAGGTACATATGTTGAAGAGAAACCAGGTGAAGGACTCGAGCTCGAGGAGAGTCAGGTCCGAGTCGACCGCCCCTTTATAGAGATCCAGACCCTCCAAGATCTGGACAAGTCCATCCGCCAGCCGATTAACGCCGATAAGATATCTCGCGCGGATGCTCTTGAAGACCGCCCCAGCTTCGCCTCTCTCACTCGGCGCGAAGATATCATCAGCGTTCTCGACGGCCTCGGCGGCCTCTCCGAATCTGCCGTGCTCGCAGAGAGCATTGGCGTGCATGTAGAGCACATTCACCAGTACCTGCTCGGAGCGCATATCCGTCGCGATGGCCACAGCCTCTTCTGAAGCCTCGAGCGCCTCCTCGCGGCTCCCGGCCATCAACGCCTTCACCGCCAGATTCTGCAGCGCGTCCATCAGCCGGTGCGACAAGCTTGCGTGCTGGACGCCCCCGGGCTTTGATTCCGATAAAAGCGCGCGATAGATGAGGATGGCCTCCCGGATGTACAGCAGATTCGTGTCCGGTGTCTGAGAAGGAAAGGAAGACACGAGCAGCAGCGCGTCCGCGTAGTTTTTCCTGATCTTCGGTGAGCTTGCGCTTGAATTGGGCTGATCCACGCCCGGATCTGCTATCTGCGCCCTGCGCATACCCAGGCATTCCCGCGCACTGGCCTCGCCTTTGTCAAAATCCCCCACGCCGGCGAGACAGATGGCGAGCCCATAGAGCGCACTGGGCAGCCACGCACTCTGCGCCTGGCCCAGTCCGCGCGCTGTGTCGACAGCCTCGACCGAGACGACCAGCGCCTCGTCGTACCGCTCCTCGGACGCCAGCACAGCGCCCAGCCGCAGCCACGTTCTCACCAGCGCGACTCTCAGCGACAGCGCGCTGTGGCTGTCCACGATCTTGCCGTAGATCGCCGCGGCGTCGCCGGCCGCCTGGATCGACTTCGTGACGTCCTTGATCGAGAACGACGCGGAGAAGAGCGTCTCGGCGAGCTGTATCTCGATGGGCAGCAGATCGATCCTCGACGGGTACTCTGCGACGGCGATTCCATACGCCAGGGTCAGGCATTTCTCGGCCATCTCATTCCCAGAGCCGGATTTCCCTGACATCGTCGTGCACCGCGCGGCAAAGCTCATCGCAAACGCGACGTCGCTTTCGTTCGACCCGCCGAATTTGGACGTCAGCTGCAACACCTCCTTCGCTGCCTCCAAAGCATCGTCATGTTGTCCCTCCTCCAACAAACATTTTGCGAAATTGTGCAGTAGAACAGCGAGAATCCGACGATACGACAGCGATGCTCGACTTTCGCTCGATTGCCGCTGGAGATCCAAAGCCTCGCGGCAAACCCCCAGTGCTTCGGCCGAGTAGCCAGGGAGAAGCCAGAGGCCGATGGACAGGACGTGCAGCGCTTCCACTAGGCATGACGGATCAGAACCCGGAGAGGCGCGACGAGCAGCCACGGCTTTCTTCGCAGAGGCAATCCCTTCCACCAGATTGCCAGCTGCCACGTAACACCTCGCTTCCTGAGTCCAGGATCTCGCGAGGGCGTCATCGGAACGCTCGCCGACCAACGTGTCATTGCACTCGTTTCCCAGAAAGCTCGACTCCTCCAGCGAGATCCGCAGCGCCTCCTCGTACTGCCCCGCCTGGAGCAGCCGGACCGAGAAATTATACAACGCCGTCTCGAACCTCACGACGAACCACGCCGGGCGCCGCCGCGCAAGCACACGGAAGCTGTCCACCGCCTCCTCCGCCGCCCAGAGCTCGCGCGCCGCCGAGGCAGGCCCGCGCGACAGACCGAACGCAAAGTCGTGCCGCGCGCCCGCGAGCACCGCGTCGCTCGGCCAGCCCCAGCCCGCCTCCCTGAGTGCGTGCGCCAGCCGGATGATGCGCTCGGAGAGCCTCAGCACCGAGGTGTCCTGTCCCAGATCGCGCACACAGCGCGCGAAATTCTGCTGCATGAGCTGGAAGAGCGAGAAGATCGCCCGGCATGCGGCCGTAGCGCCCTCGGATCCCACTGCGAGACCGGAAAAGGCCGACTTGAGGATGTCCGTGGCTTCGTCGAAGAAGTAGACGGCTTTCTGGGATTTGCCCACGGAGAGCGCGTGCGAGCCGAAGCGGATGAGAGAATGCGCCAGCTGGTATCGCGCAAACTCAGTTTCAGTCGCGCGGCGCCGTAGTTCGAGCGCGTTCTCGAACAGCCTCTCCGCCCGACTTGTCGTGCATGAAGAATGTCGGCCCTGGCATTCCAGAAAAGACGCGAGCTGCGAGCGGAACAATTCTGGATACCGAGCCGCCAGCCGCTTGAGAAACACCACGATCTCTTCCATCTCCACCCAGCTGAGACAGGGCGCGCTGGGATACGACTCGGCGAGATCCCCAGATAGCGCCATCAGCGTCAATCGCCGAAACAGATCGTCGTCTGCAGTGAATTCGTCTTTCGCCATGAGGGTTCGTATAACGTCCTTGACCTCGGAAGGACTGAACACCTCGAAATCTACTTTGGCTTGATATCGGGACAGCCATGCTGCATCGATGTCTGTGACATTCCGGCCCACGAAGTCCTGCCAATGGGTAGCCCAAAACGAATCAAACGAGCCAGAGGGACGATATGACGCAGGCTGCAGTGCCATCGATATATGGAGGAGCTGATTGGGAGAGATTTGTTTCGGAGGTTGATTGAGATTTCTGAAGCGGTCGGATATGAGGAAGACCCGTCAGGCGTTGGAGGAAGATGATTCAATTGATTGAGATCACGAACTTGGGCAATCGTCGAATTCTCGGGGCAGACCGACCGGATTTCGGAGTAGGCGTCGAGGACAAGGTGCTCCTCGCGTCGGTCAAAATCAGTCCGGCCGAAGCAGCCTGCACTTGCATCCACATCAAAGGAGCGCAGCGCCAGTCAAACGTGTTGTCACCGCCGCCGCTATACGCGAGAAGGAGGGGAACAATATCAGCGCCCAGCTGATCCGACAGAGCACAGCAACAGACTCAGCATCCCCCGCGAACCACACCTCTTTCACGTCGTTCCTCATGGCCAGATCGGTTTCGGGTTGGGGCTGATGGGCCTCCGGGCACCGACGGCGCCGTCTCCGCGAGAGCCGTGGCCAGAAGCGGATCAGCAGAGCCTGTCGCACGTAGCTCATCCAGCCACAGGATGATGGCATGCGCAGGCTCGACTCTGCACTGTGCGGCTCCACGACGTCCGGGGCGTTTGTAGCATTGGCAGACCGCGACGTCGTGTCGCTGAGGCTAGTATCGGTGAAGCCTTGCCCCGTGCTGAGGATGAGTGCACGACGGACGACGCAGGAATTGATGTTGAATGCGCTTCCAGCTGCAAGGGGTGAACAGTCATAGTCGGGGTCCCTGAAAGATCATTGGTAACTGGAAGGCATAAATATGGGAACTATTGCCTGTACCAGACCCCGACGAAATGGACCTTTACGGCTTGACAGTAGCTCGCTTTGAACAGGGCCGCATCGGCATCATCTCCCCTGAGAGCAGACTTGAACACGTGATATGCTCTAGGAATGAGACGTTCAGAAGCGATCAAGAACGAGAAAAGGGAGGGATTCACGAAGCGATCGATCCTGGATTGCTTGCATAAACTAGACCGAGCTTGTCGACCATGGCCGCCAAGACCTCCGCGTGACACCCTCCTGCCGAAACGCGTGGATGACAGGAATGGTACAGCACAAAGCAGAGGACGCACCCAAGAGAAACAGTCGATCGCCGGGTTGATAATGTTGGCAGAGCCATTGGTATGCCTTGACCACAGGCTTGCTGCTTGATTGCCGAAGCTAGTCTGCATTCATCCTGGCTGACGAAACGAGCAGACATACCGGTCCCGACCGCGCGATAACACTCGCTTTGCAGGCACACGATCGTAATAGCTCAACTGACTCGATACGGTGTCCGTCGAGACACGCTTATGGAATGACTGAAATGCGCTGGCAAACTGCCACGAAGCGCGCCGCCGTCAGAACCACCGGGGTGAGTAGTCGGATGGAACCGGCCGCACACCTGCCTCCCCGCTTCGTCCAGAAACACCACCAGGTTCCTTGCAAGGGTGCAGCCGCCTGCGCACGTGGCCTGACACAGGCAGTGCGCGTAGCAAGAGCAGGCACAGCGACAGCGTGCGAGGCACTGGCAGCCGCACGCTCTCGGCGGACGCAGCAGGTCGGACGGCTCAGGTAGCAGAGGATATGAGGGCGGCGACAGAGTTTGGAAGGACATGGTTGGAGAGGGAGGGGATGCAGCGGCACCATTGCGGGGCTTTTTGAAGCGGGACTTGTCGAGCACGAGGTACAGTGGAGGCAGCCACACACTAAATTTACCTTTGTGCAAGAAGTCTACGCGATTCCGCACTTGATTGAGCATGAGTACGTAGATCGACCGGAGAGTTCGGGGAAGTAGTTGAGCCAGGAACTCATCGCAGGTTTCTGAAACTGTGAAGAGCTCTATGCGGATGGTGATTGGAGGTAGAGGCTATGGGATGACAAGCGTGTCTAACGGGAACGCGAGTGCAAGGCGAGGTGAGGTGTGAGGTCACTGCGACACGCAATATAATGTAACCCTATGCTGGATGATCGATCCAGGAGGCAGACCAGGGTACCTGACAGGGCGCTTAGTGATATGGGGGTATCCCTCTATTCGGTTAAATCGACGTCGGCCGAATCCCAGTTTCTTTGAAGCGTGGCATGATGCTTCTGAAACTGTGAAAGAATTCGCAAGCCCAGTGAGTCGAGGGAATCAGTCACGGAGACTAACGCGGTGAACGTCTTCCTGTGTCGATATGAAGGAGCAGAAGACGAGGCAACGATTAGAAGCGTACCACGACTCCTGCACCTTCCTGCTACGCTAAAGCCACCTGCCTGCTGGCCTGGATATGACGATCCTCCCGGTGGATCGAATTTTGAGCTGTCACATGAGATTCCACGATGGCGAAATCGACGATTCTGGCCGACAGAGCATCCTTCAAATGGAGGCAATTCCTACACATTGGCCGCAGCGCGTTGGCGTGCTTCAAGACGGAGAACAGGTGGTCTGGGTTAGGGTTGGAACACGAGAGAATCACATCGCAAGCGCTCTGGCCAGAACGTTCGTGCACGGCGTTGAGAGAAGCGACATTAAACGCGAGTGTGCCTAACGGTGTCCCAGACTGCACTGAGCGCCAAAGTCTATGAGCGGCATCCAATCAGGTTAGACGAAGAGAAAACAGATCAGGGCACTCACGCGGCCAATGTATTCGCCTCTGCGCAATCGCCCCAGCAAGACCCAAACGCGCCATTATTCGAGGCAGGAAACACGCGCTGCATCGGTGTAGGCGTGGCAAGCGCGCTGCTCCACAAATCGGCCAGCGTCTGCCGCCTCACGGCGCGCGCCATCTGGAACAGCTCGCGGTCTTTCACCCACGCCAGACTCGATCCCAGGGCAATCCGTGTGTCGAGTCTGTTGTTTTCGGTCTGCGCGGTGTGTCAGCGCGTGGGATAGCGCGCGGCGCGGCTGCGTACCCAGAGGATCTGCACGGTCGTAGGCGCACGCGCTTGCACGAGCGGGGCGGACAGTTTGCACAACTTCGCGTGCGCCGCGAGGAGCTCTATTCGCTGAGCCGTATTCAACCGCCGAGACGAAAGGGATGCCGATGAGAGCAGTCGACCTTCTCGTGATTCAACATACTAGAGAGCAACAGCATAACCAAGACCGACCTATAGCGCTGAAGAAGTCGGGTACCGGGAAACGCCCGTGTTCGTGGAACTGAACTTCGACGGTGCATAGCTTCGGTTGATGACCAGATGCTGTGTGGCTGTTGGCGTGTATAGACGTTCTGTGAAGTCTGCAGCCCTTTCCAGTCAGGGTCCTGATCGAGGAACTGGCAATAGCGACGCGACGCACAGGCATGGCTTGAGGATATTCTCGTACAGGTTCTCATTATGGCTATCCCCACGAGCCAGGCTTTTCAGTGCATTGCTGAGCTAATCACGACAGGACACAGAAAAATTGGGTGAGCGGTCGAGACAGCGCAGGCTTGTCTCCACGCTCACATCGACAGCGGAGCTGGCATACGGTATGAGCTCGTTTGTAATCAATCGAGCAGGGTGCATACACGGGCGCTCAGCGCGCGCGACCTGGGTCCAGGGCCGGCCGTCGAGTATGTAAAAGATGAGGATAGCACAGAACGTAAGCGAGATGAGTCATACACTCGCTTCACCGATCACACAGCCACCTTGCTCTCTGACTACCACCATGTCTGCTGCTACTCAGGATCCGGAAGTGAACCCATACGACCTACTTGGCCTTGGGATCGAATGCACAGAACAAGACATCCGGACAGCCTACCGTCAGACCTCTCGGAAAGTGCACCCCGATCGCGTTCGTCTGCCCTCTGTTCCCCGTTCAATCGGTTCTGATAGTCTAACAGTCACCTTAGAATAGGAATGACCCGGACGCCGGTAAGCTTCAGCCATTCATAACTCCTCCTCCCCCTCTTGCTGACTCGGAAGCCAGCCCAAAAGTTCCATGCCCTGACTCAAGCGTCCGAGCTGCTGCTGGACCCGCTGCGACGCCTGGCGCTCGACGCGAAGCTGCGCCTCAAAGCCGCACGGGACGCGCGTTACAAGAACTTCGATGCGAAGCGCAAGACCATGGTGTCGGAGCTCGAAGAGCGCGAGCGCGCGTTCAAAAAGGCCAAGATGGACCAGGAGACGGACGAGGCGGGCAGGCGGGCCGAGACGGAGAAGATACAGGAGGCTGGGCGCAAGATGCGCGAGGAGCGAGAGCGGCAGGCTCACGAACGACAGGCCGAGGCGCAGCGGGCGGCGGAGGACGAAGATCTACCTCCAACCATGCGTACGCATTGCTCCGCTGAGTTGAGTTGGAAGGCAAACAAACTGACGGTCCACAGACCCATTAGACACCGCTGTCCGGCTCAAATTCAAATCCGCAGCCCACCCCGCATTGACAACACCCACATCACTTGCTGAGCTACTCAGACAGTTCGGCGAAACCGACGCCGACGGCATCGTCCTCTCGACCAAAGGCAGCAAGAAGAGCAAATCTGGAGCCGACAACCCCGACAAGCCATCCAAATACACGACGGCCGTCGTCCTGTTCAAGCAGATCGGGGATGCCTTCGCCGCCGTTGGTGCTAGCGGCCGGGCGGAGCGCGGTCTGGACGGGATCGATGTGGTGTGGGCGGGCGGGAAGGAGCCGGATATCATTGGATGGCTGAAGCGCACGGGAAAGTTGTCGGCGCGGCCTCTCCCATCTGGAAAAACGGAGACGAGGCAAGGCGACTCGTCCTCGGGCACGGGCCAGCTACCGCAAACCTCGCCGGCAGCATCCGACTCGTATTCGACGTTTCCTACCTCCTTCGTACGCTGTTCTCTTATCCCTCAATGGGGCGCAGACTGATTCTAGTCGTAAGGTTTCTCCACCTGCTGCGGCCAAATCCAATGCGCCCGTGCCGTCACTAGGTTTAGATTATGAAGCTGTCACGTTGATGCGGATGAGACAGGCGGAGCGCGAACGATTGGAACGTGAGATTCTGGCGCAAGAGGCGGAGGACTAATAGAGTCCACATGTACGAATCTGGATTGAAAATGTACCCCAAAATCCTATGATTAAGTACGGATCGATCAATCATCCATGCAAGTCGATTCAGCAGATATGGTTGTTAGCGACAAGTCATAAATGTCATTATGCAGTTTTAGGAGGGATAGTAACGAGTGGTATGATATCAAAGCAAACGACTAGAGCTAGAGAAGAAGAAAAAAACGATCGTTCAGTGGACTATGTAGTCGTTTTGGCCGATCTCCTGGACCCAAAACGCATCTTCGACCCTTCCGCTCGACCCCAGGTGAAGATCCCGCCACCTTCCCGCTGCGAATTCGTCGAGCGGAACGACCAACCAGACGGGGAGATCGGCCGCGTGGGCATCCCCTCGCTGGGTGGTTCAGGGCCGCCGTTGCTGCTGTGCTCATGGTGGTGGTGATGCCCGACGGTATGTCGGCCGTCACAGCACGCGCGGACATTCTCCAGACCCTCGAAGCCATTCTCGCCCATCGAGTCGTCGTTGTGCAGCTCAAAGTCCAGGTCGTCCTCGTCCACATTCGGCACATCCACGAACGAACGCGAGGGGCTGTAAGGACTCTCCGGCGCGTTCCAGCGCAGGTACTCTTGCGCGGGTGTCCCCGAGCGCTTGCCGAGCGAGCCTCCGACAGACAGTTGCGATCGGCTGCGCTGGCCGCGGGGTGTGGTGTTCCAGGTGTCCCCGCGATGCATGCTTCGGGGACTGCGCTGGCTCTGCGGACTCATGTTCAGCCCATTCGGCCGAGGCCCTTCGTCGTCGGTGTAATCGGACTTGGGGCTGGGCGGAACCGGGAGGCCGGTGGAGGTGTTGCCAACAGGATTGGGACGCGCGAGCAAGTATTTCAACGCCTGTAGCCTGTTCAGCGGCGACTCTAATATTGAGAAAAAAACGCACATTTAACCAGATATCGTGCCTTTCCTTGGTGGGTGCGGTGATCTTCATCTCTCGCTGAGGCGTCGACACAACGACACTGTATTGATACAAGCCCGGGGCATCGGATTCGGGTCCAGCACAGACCTTACCCCGTCAATAAACGCTGGGATCGCGTAAGCATCAGCGGAAGCAGAAAAACCAGGCACGCACCACTCTTGGCACTCGACTCGGACACATTCGTCGAGCCAGGATCCGCAGAACTCCAATACAGCGTCTTCGTATACGGATGCACCCAGAAGAACCGCTTGTGTCTCCGCTCGCCATGCCCCTTGCCAATCGCTTTGCGCGTGTACTTGTACAGGAACTCGCCGATCATCGTCTGCGTGATGGCGTGAATGATCGTCGGGTCAGTCGACGCATTGGGCCCGATGGTCCTATTCGCGCTCAAGTCGGCTTCCGCTGTCCGATTAGGCGAGTCCCGAGTATTCGTCTGCCGCGTCTGAGATCGGCTGAGGAACGGATTGTGGTCGGACGACATCGATGATCGGGGAGAGATCCGACCACGTTCAGAGACCAGCGAGACCGTCGATTGCTGGCGGAATGCAGCAGGTGACAAGTTGTTGATGGCGGAGCGGAAGCTGCTCGTCGATGGCCGCTGGCCCACAGAACCAGGGGGCAGACTCGAGCCGTGCTGTCTGCCTTTGGGTCCAGGCAGCATGAGCATCGAGCCAAATGTCGGGGTGGTCGCCCGCTGGATGAGCTCAGCTGGTGGCGGTGACGATGGCCGCGGCGGAGCCATGTCGTGACGGGGAATGAAACTGGGAGGAGCCATGACACCGGTAGGCGGCGGCAGTCGAGGGGGAGGGGGCAACGCCATCGTTGGCGGACGGGTCTTGTCGATCATAGACACGTCGCTGCGAACAAGCGCGTCATCGTGCACAGAGGAGATGGCAGAGTCGATAGATTGCCGTCGGTCGTCCATCGAGCTTCTTGCACGAGCGTTGAAAGCGCTATTTGTCGAAGTAAACACGTCCCGTGGGGCTGTTGCAACGGGCGCAACGAATTGGAATTGCTGGCCAGCAGAGACAACACGATACAGCCCGGGAGAAGCCGGTACAGATGTCGGCACGGGAGCAACCACCTCGGAAACCGGTGTCGGCCCAGAAACTGGCCATTCCTCTGTCTGCACAGAAGATTCCTTGACCGGAGGTTTAGGAGGGGGATCAACTTGGACAGTCGCTTCGACGACTTCAGGTTTCTCCTCGACAACGAGCGTGGGCGCATCCACACCCTGTTCCGCATAGGTCCGCGCAACAGCCGCAGAGGCATAGAACGACGAGGGCCGGCGACGCAACCGAGATGCCTTGATGCTCTCTTCCTCGTCACTGGCGCTTCCGCTTTCGGTCATGGTCATCACCGAGTGGAAATCTTCTTGCGATGATTGCAGCTCGTCCGAGGAAACGAACTCACGCGCAGACTGGAATCCTGCGGATCGTGCAGACTGGAAGTCGTCCGTGGTAGATGCTCTCGAGTGCACACGCAAGCTTTGAGAGGCATCATGGTAGTCGTCCATGTCTGTCTCCGTCTCCGTCTCCGTTTCGCCTCCACCTTCCGTCTCCGTTTCATCTCCATCCTCAGCTTCAGCGAGGAAACCGCCTGTGCGGATCGTCCCATAGCTCGAGTTCCCGGGCGTCAGAGTCGTTCGTCGTTCTCGAATAGGAGATGTTTGCACACCGCCGTCGATTCCTGCATCTCGAGGGCGCTCCACCTCGACGATACGCTCCACAATCTTCTCGACCTCGACGATCTTTTCGACGGGAACCTCCACGATGCGCTCGACGATCTTCTCGACCGGAACCTCGACTGTTCTCTCGACCGGAACCTCGACGATCCTCTCGACGATCTTCTCTACAGGAACCTCGACGATTTTCTCGACGATCTTCTCGACAGGGACCTCGACAATCTTCTCCACCGGGACTTGAACGATCTTTTCCACGATCTTCTCGACCGGGACTTGGACAATCTTCTCGACCGGGACCTCCACGACCTTCTCGATAGTAACGATCTTGTCCACAGGCTTCTCCACGGAGACTTCCACCCTCTTCTCGACAGGGACCTCGACGATCTTTTCGACTTGAACCTCGACGATCTTTTCAACGACCCTCTCGACCGGCACCTCGACGATCTTCTCAACCTGGACCTCCACGATCCTGTCCACCACCTTCTCAACCGGGACTTCGACGATCTTCTCCACAGTCTTCTCGACCTGAACCTCAACAATCTTCTCGACCACCCTCTCCACCGGCACCTCGACGATCTTCTCCACAACCTTCTCGACTGGAACTGTAACCGGAACCTCGACGATCTTCTCGACCACCTTCTCGATAGGAACCTCCACAATCCTCTCCACCACCTTTTCAACTGGGACCTCAACGATCTTCTCGACCACTCTCTCGACTGGGACCTCGACGATCTTCTCGACCACTCTGTCAACAGGAACTTCGACGATCTTCTCGACGACTCGGGGTTGCAAATCGTCGGTCTGACACTCGACCTCTTGCGTTTCGATCTCAACGACGTCCTCGTCCTCCTCACCGAAAGCACCCAGTTCAGCTGCCAGAACGCCTGCCGCCTGGATAAGACTTCCCGGGCGGCTCCCGTTGGCAGCAGCTCCGCGGCCACGACCTCGGCCGCGACGGGGCCTGGCACGTGGAGCAGCAGAGGGCGAAACCGACGCGTTGCGAAGAGGAGACGAGATAGACGGCGGGCGGGAAAGATCGGTACCGTATGTGAAGGCTGGGTCCATGCCGTTGCCATCGATGCTCATCGGTCGACTTTGGGGCTGAGGGACCTGGTCTTCTTCCTCTTCTTCGACCATGGCAGTGATATCCGATGAGCTCTGGAAGAAAGCGGACTCTTCTGGGTCAACGTCGTGATCAGACAAACGCATGGCAGGAACGGGCGGTGCGTCGGAGTCAACACTGAATCCGGGTGAAGAACGCGCGGGCGAGCCAGCAGCCATTCCCAGTCGCTGGACGAGTGACATGCCTCGGCCACGGCCACGGCCTCCACCGACTTTGAATGGCGTCAGTCGCAGACGAGAGCTGCTCTTGTTCTCCTTATCAGCCACAGTGACGTCGACATCTTCATCCTCCTCGTCTTCGAACTGTCCTTCGTCGATTGCAGTGCGCACGGGCATCGGGCTGCCGCGGCGACCTTCTTTCTCGCGTCGCAAACTACCCTTGAGCGTATTGATCTGGCGCTGGGCATGTGAGAGCTTCTGACGTAGCACCTCCAGCTCGCTTTCTTGAGCACGAGTCGGGATCGGACTGGCATCCGGCGAATCGGGATCGCCTTCCTCGAGTTCGTCGTAAATGGCACGGCGCCGCGTTGATGCTCCACCGGTAGTGAACGGTTCTTCATCGCCGTTGGCGTGTGCCGGGGTGAGGAAGTCGTTACCTTCGCCATTCGGGGTGATCGGCGATCCGAATTGTGATGACAGAAGACCCCGTCGACCGGCTCTGGCGGCATCCGCTTTCAAGCGGTCAACGACGCTCTGCAAGTCGCTCTTGTCGCGGACCAGGCCCGCTGCAGTTTTCCGATGGGTGGCCACATCAGTCTCGTGCTTTGCCTTCATTTCGTCGACCACTGTGTTGAGCCGGTCCACCTCGTGCTTCGCAGCTTCCGCATTCTGTACTGAGGCCGCTAGTTGTGCGGCCAGGCGGTCGGATTTGATGGATGCGCTAGATGCTGCGGAGGTAGCGGCACTTAGTTGTGCGCGAATCTCTTGCAGCGTGACTTCGAGATTCCAGTTTTCTTCCTTGTACTTGTCTAAGGGAGAGTAGCCGTAAGATAAAAAGATAAAATGAGGTAACGGCAGCTACTACGCACCTGCGCTGGCTTCTTGTTGTCGGAGTCCTGATCGTAGAGTCTCCACACTCTTCTCTAGGTCATCTTTCTCCTCTTTCATGTCTTGGATAGCTTTATCACGCTCTCCCAGAAGGCTCTGAAGCCGTCGGACCTCTGTCAGCAGTCCAGACCCGATCTCAAAGGCAAATTCTAATTCACAAGATTAGTCTTCGTGGACTGATGATGAGGAGCAAGGGGCGATAGGAACGCACCGACGTCGTCTGCGCGATGGGCAGCGTTCTTCGCACGACGGGATTGCGCATTGGCATTGGTGGCAGTGGGCGCTTTGGCATGTGAGCGATGGGGCTCTTCCGGAGGCGAATAAGGGACCGGTGGAGGGGTCGCAGAGCGCTGATGTCCTCATTACTTTCCATGCATTCCTGTGAATTTGTCGGGTGCCACTCACTCGTGTTCCAAAAGTGCTTGACAGCTCGGCATTCTCGTCGTCCCACGACTTCAGGGTCACCGCGAGCTCCTGATACCGCTCCCTCGTTTCGTCATCCACGATATCGTCGTCCAGCTTGCCCGCATCGAGTTCCTGGAGCTGTTTGATCCGGTCTTCGAGCTCCATACGCTGGAGCAGAACCCGCTGGCCCAGCGTGCCCGCTTGCTGGAGTTGTCGTTCTTTGGCATCAAGCAGAGACTGCAAGCGGTCTTTCATGTCGCCAGCGGAGGATAAAGAAGTGAGAAGAGCGGCCGGCCCGTCCGATGAGGACGCCATGGCGCAACGTCCAAGTGCCGGTCTAGCTAAGCAAAGAAGTTAAGTCAATGCGAAAGTTACGCGCACGCTGAGCAACACTGTTTGAGACTGTTGTCATAGATCAACAGTGGCACGTGGACCCCTCAGCGGCAGTGCCACCTGCCGTAGCCATGGAGATCGAGCAGTCGGAGACAATTAAGTAACCATTGGGTCGCCAAGGCCGGCGGGATTGTGCTGAGCCCCGTCAAGACTCGACTTCAGGCCTTGAATCTCAAATAACTGAGTCGATAATTATGCTTGATTTGTAGCCTGATGAACCGATCTTGATTTAAACAGCTCGGGGCCAGCCTTCCCAAAGCGGGAGCGGAACATATACTTGCTCCCATGCCATGGCTCATTACTGTCGGGGCCCGTAGCCGATACCGCGTCTCACAATGTAGGCCCGATTTGATGTGATCATTCCCCTTTAGAGCTTGATATACTTGATGGGAGTAGCATAGATCGAAGTCCTGAATCTTCACAATGTTGTGAACATTGTCGGAAACTGAACTGATTCGTGCTCCTCTGTGACTCAGATTATATTGGGCCCTGCTTTCCGACGAAGGATCTCATGCAAATGTGGCTACCAAGTCCTATGTGAGAGCCCAGAAGACCTAATCATCTTCCTGTTGACCGCAGAAGTAGGACACAATCTGGTAGTAGGAGTACAGAGAGGGCGCTGTATCGAAAGATCAGGAAACACCTAAAATCAAGCCAGTGGTTTCTCACCGTCATCGCCGCCCCCCAGACCAATCTGAAATGGGGGGGTCCGAACAATTCCGGAGACATTCCCCGCGAATGGTTCGGTCATCTGCGTGAATGTAAATGGCAGGGCAATATCAGCGGGAAAGTCGTGATCGATCTCCACAAAGTCGGTGGGCAGGGTATCTGTCCAGGAGGTGGTGTTCCCCACTGCGTCGGTGACGGTAGTTGTGAGCGTTGAAGCGAAAGGGCAGCCATCGGAGTAGACGGTGAACCACTTGTTCGAGAACGGGATTGCTGTGAAGGGGCCATCCTGTCTCGGATGAGAAAACGCGTCTCAAAGCGAATCATCAGACGCACAAAGAGATCCGCAGATCGACGCCTGTGCTCGCCGCTCGGCGCTTCCGCTCGCGACGAAGCCTTGGAGGTGGGGAACGTCGCGTGGACTGTGGAGTAGTAGCCCGATGACACGTTGAGCGCATTCTCCGGCGGATTGGGCATCTGGGCAATCTTGGCTTCGAAGGGCAGTGCCATGCTGGTGTTAAGACTGTATATGATTTCGGACGAGCTCGGGTCGGAGATGTCGCCCAGCCGCCAGCCCACCCGCGTCAAGTCGGATGGTTTGAGGAACCAGCCAAAGTTTCCGTCCCATGGATTAGGGACCCAGCCAGTGTCAGTGCCTGTTTCGATCGTCCTCAGTTGAAGGCGTTTCTGAGTAAGCACAGTGGTCAGCTCGTCACGCGCAGTCCGTGATTTCGAATGGCTGAACTAACGAAAAGATTTTGGACCTGGTTTTCGTACACGGGATCATCCTGGTCTTGGGCCAGCGCCTCTCCGAGTCTCGTCAAAGTTGCAAGAAGGAACACGAAGAGCATTCTGGCGGGGGACGAAGCACAGAAACGCTGCCCGTCCCTACCTGTTATATAGACGGCATGATCATCTATGATCGCCATTCGCCTCGGCCCAGGACAGATGAATGTAAAGCCGCCATGAGGTGCGCACATGGACGATGATTCGTGTGCACCGACCATGCTGCAGCGGATACGATCCCTGCTTCTGCGTAGATTCCACCATAGATTGCAAAGACAGTGCCAGAATTGGGCGCATGGAACCTTGATCCGAGGACAGGTACCCCACCCCATTAATGGGAAAAAATGCTCGATGATTGTGGACTAGTTTGTTCAAGATCTGCGAGACTAGGGAATCAACGTTCTGTGCCGTGAGGTCCGAACATTGTCATGGACGGGAGCAACCCAGACTCGGACTAAACACAAATCATACCATAACAACTCAAGTAGCCGGCACTGATCAGTCTCCGAGTCGTCAGCATGTTCACACTAGATCATAGATCATTCTGAGGCAGATAAAAGAATCAGTCCAAAGAGAGAATCTGATGTGAATACAAACTATAGATGTTACAAAACGGCCCAACAAGATCCGCTCTATGTAATGGTAGCAGATTAAGGTAGAAACATATCAGTATTGGAAGGGCCATTCAGGCAAAAGCAGTGACAATGCGATAGACATGAGCGATGCAGTGGTGTGGGTTGATGGTACAAATGCGTAGTAAAACTGCAAGAGGATTCATTAACGAACAGCCACCGGGGCGAGGCATGCATGCTTACCAGAACGAGACACTTGACACAGGCTCACAATATGCCCGAGTCTTTGAGCGCGTTCTGCAAGATCGTTTCCTTGACCGCAGCAAATACAAGACGGATGTTCGAGGTATCCGTCGCTTGCGTTAAACTGGAGAGGGGTCAATGCCATCTCGAAAGGGCCCAAGAATATGACATACTGCGGGTAGACACTCAACCGCGCACGATTCGTTTGCATGAATCTCCACAGAATAAACCGTGCCGCGTTGTTGATGTCGTCACCACCGACATACTCGGGGAATAATCGATTCAGAGGTGCCTGACTAGTATCAGCCAACATGTTAGGTTGCAGGCAACGAGGGGGGACGGACCTTGGCTAACTTGGCCTTGAACACATCTATCTTGTTGAGGAATAGAATGATCGATGTTCGTAGGAACCATCGAGAGTTGATCACAGAGTCAAAGAGCAGGAGAGACTCCTTCATCCTGTTCTGTTACGGTCGTCAGCGTTGGTTCCATCATAGAGGACTCAGCCATACTTGATCTTTGGCCTCCAACAGCGTTTGGTCGTATTCGCTCAACGCCGTGCAAAATATAATGCTCGTTACACTGTGTAACACGATGAGAGAAGGGAAGGGCGCACGAAAGGAAACTTGCCTTTCAAAACAATGGATCCATTTCTTCCTCTCTGAGCGCTGACCCCCGACATCGAACATGTGTATCCTGAAGGGTGTCAATACACATCTGGGCAAGCAAAACAGCAGCATACGCTAGTCCGCCCATGTTGAAACGTGTTTCCACGATCCCTGTCGTCTTGGCTCGAGCTCGTAGAACGTCAGCTTCTGTGGGCACGTAATCTGGTGCCCCGATGCGCAACACTTCCGTGAAGAAACTGAGAGCAACATGATAAGCCAAGAGTGCCAGCCCATGAGAGAAGAGTTGGACGTACTAGACAGCGCTATCCATGAGATAGAATTCGCTGTGGTGCTCGTCGAGGATCTTCATGATCACGGGGTCTTGCCACACCTGGCTGATGGCGTCTGCGATCTCCGGAGTCAAGAAGTCGGGGGTCTCGGTCACAGACACAGCATCGATGATCTTATCCGCCAGTACCCGATTGCCATAGTGTGTGGGGTCGACACCCATCTTCCGCATGGCGAGAATGACGGCCTGCACTGAGTCCAGTACATTTTTGTGGATGGTCGGTCGGAAGGCGAGGAGCTCGTCACGACTGAATCCGTCTTGGTGGATGATCTTCATTTGTTTCACGATTGTGGATTTGCCGGACTCGCCGGAGCCTATTTAATGCAGGGTTAAACGCGATCGCCGATCAAATGAATATGTGGCAGCAATAGCGGAGGGTTTGTGAACGGCATTCGGAAACGAGTGAAGAAATTCGGGGTGCTCTGCAAGAGAGGTGACAGGGCGAACAAGTCACCGGCGTGCTCCACGAGCAACGAGATTGGGGCTAACCCAAAAGCGGTTCCCACGCAAACAGTCTCCAGATACGAGCGAATGGAGCAACGGAAAGCATGGCAAGAGGCAAGAAAGGAGCGAGAGGTGTGCCCGTGAAAGGCCAGAGAGTGTTATCAAACGCGCGCAACACCAAGCCCACACAAAGAACAAGCAAGCCTGGCACAAGAGCCACTCGAGGAAACAAGGAATGTTTGTGACGGAACATACCTAGGAGTAGAATCTTGCACTCTTTCTTGAACCTCTTACTGTCCTCATCGAGTTGGCGGTCAATCGCATCGCTCTTCTCTTTGCCCGCCTGGTCGGGTTGCGAACCACAATTGCCCATCACAGCCGTCACTCCGCGTTGTGTCGTCCTGCGTCCGAGGGGATTCGGTGGGGAATAGGATGGAGGAGCGGGAACGTCCCTTTATGCTTGGGGGAGCGCTTGAGAGATTATGGCGGTAACAGATGTGTGTGTGGGTGAGAACCACAATACAAAGGCAGTCCGAATGGAGGACACGGCCTTGTCACCGTCACGAGTGGCAGTCACAAGCGAATTTCACCTGCCAAATTTCATTCGGTGTCGCGTCTAGTACTTTTCCTGACTCTAGACCCTGCACAGTACGCGACTACGGAAGATACCGCATTTCACACACAACATCGAATTCGTTCATTCGCATGTCCTCCAACACCAAGCGTATCGCCCTGGAAGTTGCTCTCTTCCTCGCCGGGCAGGTGAGGAACTGCTTGCCATATCCGCGAAGCTTTGACTGACTAGTTCATCTGTAGGCTGCCCTATTCTATACTGTCAAAGTACGCGACAATTAATCCCTGGGTTACGGATATGGTTTCTGACGCTCGACAGTGGGCCCTGGATGAATTCTTGCCTGACAAGAAGAAGGAAGTGAAAGCCAAACAACTGGAGGCGTTGAAGCGTTTGGGACATGGGGATATCGAGTTGGACGAGTATGAGCGTGCGTGCTTCTGTTTTGGTTATATGAGCCGGCTTACGCTACCACAGGCACTGTGGCAAACGAGGTGATTCATCCTGACGACATAACCGTCAAGTTCTCCGGTAAGCGATTGGGTGGACACGCGATCTTTCTGACCAGTTCATTTTCCAGATATCGGTGGTTTAGATGACATCGTCTCGTCATTGCGCGAGTCTATCATATATCCCCTGGTGTACCCCAACCTCTTTACGTCTGCGTCTTCCCTTCTCAGTTCTCCGCGGGGGGTTCTCCTTTTTGGCCCGCCCGGTTGCGGCAAGACAATGCTTGCGAAGGCTCTAGCGAAGGAGAGTGGAGCCACGTTCATCAACATTGCGGCCAGTGTCCTAGCCAACAAATGGTTCGGCGAGTCCAACAAGCTCGTGGCAGCATTATTCAAGCTGGCACGGAAAGCCCAACCTTGTATCATTTTCATCGACGAGATTGATTCGTTTCTGCGGGAACGGAGCAGTGGCGATCATGAAGTGACTGCTATGATGAAGGCTGAGTTCATGACGTACGTGCGATCGTCCCCTTCCGGTTTCATTTCTCAGTTCCTCCAGGCAATGGGACGGCCTGCTGTCGAGTACAGATCGCATCCTCGTTCTGGGAGCGACCAATCGGCCTAATGACATAGACTCTGCCATCCTTCGACGAATGCCGAAGCGATATGCCGTACCACTCCCCAGTCTTCAGCAACGCATGAATATTCTTGCATTAGTGGGTGCTCTCGCTTAATACTAAGTCTTCCGTTGACCCTGCCCCAGATTCTTCAAGACACCCGCTTGGCTCCGGATTTCCCTATGCGTCAACTAGCCGAGACGTCCTCGGGACTGTCCGGATCCGATCTGCGAGAGATGTGCAGGAATGCAGCTATGGTTCCGGTTCGAGAGTTCGTCAAGAAAACCAATGGTGACAAGCAAGTGTTGGAGCTGGGTCAGCTCGAGGTGAGCCAGGTCTTCTTTCCTCTCAAACTGTGCTCATGTTGTACAGGGGTTCCATCTTAGACCACTCACGCTAGAAGATTTCTTCTCACAGAACGATGCCACAACTCATTTACCTGCGAAGGATCCGGCCGCGGTCATGCGGGCTAATGACAGGTCTCGATTAGACGAGATGGACTAGACTATCCTATACACCTCGTACATCGCAGGCAAGGGATATCCCTCTTGCCTGGCAGCAAGGCTGCATATTACATATATACTCTTTTTCGGCTTCACGCAGAAAATTATGTTTTCTGTACATTATAATACTTTTTAGCCTTCTCTACGCAGGGCTCTCAACTACGCTCATCCCATCGCTCGAACTTTCCCTTGTTCAGATCAGTAACATACGCGTCTTCGATAGTGGAACAAAGGTCATCGAGATTTCCGAGTGCCTCCACAAGAGCCTCCAGAGATGACAGGCTGTCTTTGGATTGTGTAAAGCTGGAGAATGTAGACCGGCTTCAAACCACGTACCGTACATCTGTATGCGCACGTTGATAACATTTTCCGATGGATGCGGCGCGCTGGAAGGTTACGAGCAAGTCAGAACGCGCACACACAAAAGAGAACGCAGATGGCCAGCCGTCAATGCCTGGTCCACGAGATGGCGGCCAAGACAACTAGACAATGAGCATGCACGTGCCTGTAACCACAGAACTCAACCTTGGGACTGAAGAGCTCAATAAGAAAGAGTACAAGACGTCAGAGGGTCGGCAAGGCGTACTTCTTCATGAGCATCCAGCGAAGAGCGTTCCCTATTGTGTGCGATTCATCGTGAATCTGATACGTCGCGGCAGAGAGATCAGGAGAGTGGCCCTTGAGCTGCAGGCAGTCGCATTAGAAAGTTGTTTTCGATGATAGAGCTCAAGCGTCGCACAATGGTGACCTTGGGTGGTAAATCTGCCATGAATGGGGCAACGAGAAGATGATTTTGTCAAGACTGATAATCCGAGTGACGTAAGACTATTTCCGCATCAGGCAGCTTCGTCCGTCCTCTCTTCCCCATCGTTAACCACTACCGAAAACACAGCCAGGAAACTCCCAACTTGGCGCGGATACCAAGATAAAACATTGCTGCAGTCTTTATAGACCAAGAGGTACGCGTTCGACCGTCGGGAGCGCCGGCAATGCAATCAAACTTTCAAACTCCGATTCACAAACAACACCCGCCTCTTTTGTTCCTAGTCTGTAGGAATACAATGAGCTCTCTGCACCACGCGTCAAGACAACGACTTCTCGAGGTCAATGGCTCGCTTATTCTCTCGTATGGCTTATATAGCTTGGCGCTATACTTAATTCTCCACCGCCTCCCCACCTACCCCACTCTCGGTCTACTCTTGCATTCTCGTGATACCCTTCTCATCTTTTCTTCTGTAACTCTCCACTACACTCCAACACACGACCTATACTAGGCAGAGCCTGTATCACCCCGGCGGATAACGACTCTTCCACGACCTTGTTCATCCTTTACCCTCAGACGTCTATTCACCGAGCACTTGACTGTATCCATTCCGATTGTGACATGTCTTCCTACGAACGACCGACTCTCCCCTCTCTGCGCACTCTGAATCTCCTCCCCAAGCGCGGCGATTCACAGCAGCATGATTCTCACGACCGCATGGTGCGTTACCTCGGGCACTTGTTTCCTCCTCGACTAACCTCGTTCTTTCTAGCCTCGGCGTATGCATGTTCCCCAGCATTCTTGGTCGACCATGAACAAGCACCGGCGGGTGTCGATCTCGTCGAGTGTGACTTCCTCCGATTCTCGTTCGCCGTCTCCCACTCCATCCGAAGCGAGTTCTCTTGGTGCCACCATTCCTCCATCACCGTTCTCCGAATTCCCGTCGTCGTCTGCGGCCTTCAAGTGCACGCTGTATCCCTGCGATCTGGCCGTCGCCGATGCGGTCTTTCTCGTTGCTCCCGCCACACCGGATAGCGCCAAGCCCGCATCGAGCTGGATCTGCACCGGCAACGCCGTGAAGGATCTCCGTGAGCGGCGAACGAAATTGGCTTCTGGCGTGCGGGTCCATCCTTACCGCTTTACCCCGGCGTCTACTACACGGAGGTCTTCCAATGGCTCTCCTGTGTAACGATCCTCCAAGAAAATGTATCACTATTCCACGACACACACCTTGTATCAAATACCGCCCTTCTTCCGGCCATTTTACGAAAAGATCATTGTATCCATTACTTCTCACCACCCTTCCCACCCTACTTATCAGTACTTAATGCCCATTGCCTTCATTCTTGGCGCACCACGCTCTTTCCTCTTGCAATCGATACGTTCAATGTCATTCTGGTCTCAGTAAAGTTCTGGCCCTGGTTACTGTTAGTGATTCTGGCTCATGCAAACAGAGATTGGTTGGCTCGTCGGATCGCCTCCCATTTCTTCAGTCCTTGCACCTGGCCCATCCACACCGCTTGGCCGTCGTCCATGAGCGTGACGCCACTTCCTCGCGTGGGGATATCTGGGAAGGATTTCACGGCCGGGTACACGAAGACGACCGGGGCCGGTTTGGATTTCTGCACCGATGCTGCAGAGAAGTCCAGTTCGCCGTACTTTGCGTCACGCCAGTTGGTCTGGAAGACCCATTCGCCCCCGACCGAAGCGGGGAACACGACCTTCTGGGTGTTAGCTTTGGCGCAGCGCCATTGCACGTCATCCTTAATCGCTGCAACCTCGTTGTTGTAAGCGAGGACTGCTCTGCGTATGTGGAGCGATAGATCGCGCAATGAAAGCGATTTGAAGCTGCCGGCAGGGATGGCCGGGATGGTGATCGAGGAGACAGCGTTGCCGATGAACGGCGTTCCGAGCTCCGTCCCTCCAGGGAAAATAGCCTTCTCACGCAGGTTGACCGGGTAATGCATATGGATGGCGGTGTTGTCTTGTCGCCAGTCGTACGAAATCTACTCAGAATGCGTCTGAGACAGATGCAAGCAGAATATCATGATCCATGTGACTGCTCACTTTGAACCACCAGGCCATCAACACATCGGACGACCCAACCCACTCAGTCGAACCACTGGCCCTCAGCTCATCCATGATTTCGCGCTTCTTCAGGGCTAGAAAAGCCTTGGGCACACGCACAAGCTTGCCCTCCTCCTTTGGATCTCGTACTAATTTCCAGATGAAACCTGCGATGAAGAGCATCCTGCTGAATAGTCCGAGGTCATAATAGCCTCGCCGAAGTTTGACGTCGGCATCCACTGAAGCATACGTTTCGAACGGCGCCAGGTCCCATGGCATCTCTTCAACGTGCTCGATCTCGCCCGCTATGACGCGTGTCCACGACCGCAGGAACGTCGCGGTACCCATGGCATCAAACAAGCAGTGGCAAGCCGTGATTCCAATGAACGTCAGGTCTTCAAAGATCGAAACATGGACATTGAGCATTGGCGACTTCGATGCAATCAGTTCAGCCTGCGTCTTGAAGAGGGAATCGGGGTTCCGGAAGTACTCGTCGAGATCAGGAAATGGATGTATCAGTGGCTCATGTGCGGTCGAATTGATGTAGATAGGCTCGAGGGCAGGGCGGCCGGATGCTGAATACGGTTCGTGGTAATCTGCGACAGTAAAGACCGCCGGCCGATTCGAAACTGCGTCGAACGTCGTAGGGATGTGGAATTCGTAGGCCTACGAGAACTAGTCAGCAAGGGAGGTGTGCTACTGGAGTGAAGCCGAGAGAGCACACCCCGTTCCGAATTGCGAAGCGCGCGCCTAATCTGGGAAGTTTACGTGCAATCAGCTCATAGAGACTAGTCTCGAGGGCATGCGCGTCCAATCGGGAACCAATGATGAGTCCCGTAGTTAAGATCAGCTCGCGCGACTCGAGATCCATGCCGTTGCACGGAACAACACGCATGTCAGCGGGAGGAGGCTCGGGCATTGAAGACCACCATGAGCCCATGACGGAACGGAATAACAGGGGTGAGGACGGACGCGATGCTCAATGTTTGACAACGGGTAGGCACTGAGATGGCATGTCAAATCGAACTGAACGCCGCGCAAGCCAAGAACTGGATCCTTACAGGCCGCAACAAGTATGAGGAGCCTGGTTTATGCAGTGTCACACTTGTGTTCGTCTAGCTTTTGCCTCGCAAGCGCATGATGGCGTCTCGCATCGTCAGTGATGGGCATCCCGATTCCCGACGGGCTAATCACTGACCGCATCAACCGTTGCTTCCTCCTCCATCAATGTCACGGACATATCACCACTGCCTTCACAGATATACAGTAAAAGATGAACCGCCACGTCTTTCGAGCTTTACAACCTAAGCCATGCTGCTCCAAGATCTACCTGAAGACGTCCTCGGGATCGTGCTTGCCATGTGCGATGTCTGTGCTGTCCTTTCAATGAGCAGAGTAAGCGAATATATCATCAAGCAGTGAAGACCCTTGACTTAATATATATACCTCGCAGACGAATCATTTTCTACGGAGACAGACTCAGCAACGACTACTCTGGGTTCATCTCGTTCAAGATCTGTGTTCCAGGGGCTTCATCGATCGAGGGTCCAAGGCGCACGTCAGCACGTGCTCGCACGACGCGTTGGTTGAGCTCGTGAAGCGTTTGTTGAAAGGACCCTCTAGCTGGACTCCCACACGGAAAAGGGGGACATCATGGAGCTTCAGCCGACGGCCTAGTCAACCATCCATCATCGCACCTACGGAACAAGTCGTCCTTCATCCGCCCGATGTCATCGCCTCGAAAGAAAATGAAGCGCGGCTCCTGCCCGGCGGCGAGTTTCTGCTATTCAACAACCGCACCCTGGAGCTATGGAGGGTCCGGGATGATAAGATCGTGTGGTCACTGGACACAGCCCGTAATGGACTTTTCGTTTGTCAGTTCGGTGCCGAAATCAGGGGTGAAACTGTGAGCCTGATCGTTTGTCAACGAAATTGGCCCCAGGAACCTGAACAGGCGTGAGTGTATCCTCGTGTCTTCTTTCCTTGACTGATCACTACCAGGCACGGTCTTGTTCGTGTCATCACAATCGACGGAAGCACGGGTCTGGGTACCGTTATCCTAGAGAAGGTGTTCATGGACATCTCGGAATCAAATTTTAAGAGAGCCAAGATCTGTGGGAGATTCTCTTGTGTTCTTCTCGAGGAGTTCGAGTCTTTTCAAGGCCGATGTATCTTGTTCGACTCGGAATCGGGCCAGTCGATTGAACTGCCCTCGGTGAGCCCAACTGACGCTTCGCATGCCCTCTGATCAACTGGTTGTCTAGCGCTGTCCCATCGATGTCGCATTGATCCCAGACCAAGCTGTTCTTCTTACTTCGGCAGATGTGGATGCGCAAGATATGAGCATCGCCTTCGTCAATCTTCCTGCACAATTTGGCCCCGACCGTCTGGCCATGCGAACCGTCCCACTCAGGGTAGTTTCTCGGTCACGGGATCACTCCATCGCGGTCTTCGAAAGCCCTGTCGAGGCTGGAGTTTACCGTGTTCGAGTGAAAGTCTCTGGTTTCGTCGGTCCATCCGTGCCAGGCATCATAACCTACAGCCTCTTGCTCCGTGGCTCCAAATGCACATTCGAGGGAGAAGTCCGCCATGAAACGCTGCCTCGTGACGGTAGCTTCGTGGGGCTCACGTACTCCGGTCATCTTGCCGTGTGGCGCACAAATCATCTTCAAAGTCACAAGGAGCTCATTGTTTTCGCGCCAGGAGCGTCTTTGCCCACTGTGCTCAAGGACTGCCCCGCCTTCTCAACTGTATCGCCGTACTCAGGGACCATGTGTTACTGGGATTTTGGTGGTATCTACATATCGTACTATTCGTAGACTCACCATGTTCTCGATCAGTCCCGGTACCCAGATATATGCACCTCTGCCCAAAATGGAAATCGACTTGCCTAATTGGATGGGGACCCCTTTGCCTCTATCCACCGATGTCCTCATCTCTCTTGCGTCTCAACGAAACGACCCTCATCTTCTACCCACCGCAACAGAAAGACGGAGACGAGCTGCACGCCCCCCATGTAGTCCAAGTCACGATGAAGATGGATCTGGCGGATGACGTCAGGTAAGCTGTGCGCTGCTGGCCTGGAGCGCTCCGAGTCGGTCTTCCTGACAACTGGGGATGTCAAGAGTGCCCAAGGTGGAAGACGTAGCTTGCTATTGTGATGCACAGGTGGATATCACGGTCCGTCCAGCGCGTGGGCACCTGAACCTTCTCTGTGACCGACCCCCTCTGCGAAGGCCGCCATCCAGACGATTCTGTTGCACAACATCCTGCAGCCCCTGCCCAAGCGGATCGAGATGGACGGGACGGGCTATGTTCTGGTCGGCGGTGCGCTCTCCAGTCCTGTGGTTCTCCCTCGTGGCTTGAACATGACGTTAGAGAAGAAAGAGTGGAGCTATGGGAGAGACTTATCGCTGAGATGGGGAGAAGACCGCATTGAGCCCTCTCGGGACAAATGGACTTTCTACTTCCGACGGGTTCTTTAGATGTGCCATTGTTTTGCGCTCAAGGACAGCTGACGAAGGGACGAATGGGCTGAATACATGCGTCTTGTCTGGTAAGCTGTATGTCCCTAGCTTTGCTACAGACGACGTGGTTCTAGAGCTTGACAAATCCACCCGGGATCGTTCTGGCCCTCCGTCGTTCACTACCTTCATTCTGGCTTCTCGCACAAGCTTCCAAGAGGGATCGTGCTTGTTTCCTTTGATGCCGGAAGTGCAAACGGGCGTGTAAGCAGCGAGATGGCATCTGTTCTTGATATGGACCCCGCTCAGCAAGGACACGCAACCAGTAGGAATCCTGAGATCAACACATGAAGGAGTCAGCTGGTGTCCGTCAGCGCGCTGGACTCCTGTTCAGTGGACATGTTGAATGAGACATCAAAGCGATCCGAGCCGACAGCCATCGATGTGACGCAGTCGAAGTTACCCATGATGTTCTCCGGAAGATAATCGCAAAGACTCCGTTGAAGTCGGAGGCTCCTTGACAAAGTCCTGGCTTGCACACCCCACGACCTGGAAGAGTTTCTTTCCAGAAAGAGGCGCTACCTGCCTGACAAGAATGAGCCAGCATCAAGATACAGTCACTCAAACCCACTGGCCTGGCACGGAATCGAAGGTTGTCTCTGCAGTGCAGAGTGAACGTGTCGAACGGCGAACACTTCTGGAACACGCGCAAGCAATCGATTTGGTCTGTGCGGCACCGCGATACCTGCGACCCTGGGCCATTAGCCCCGAGTGCTGCTCATGTGAAGACTGCGGACAGTTTCAAAAACAAGCAGAACGACAACAAGTCGGTGAGTGGTACACACGTGAGTCCCCAGTCCAAAAGCAACGAAAGATTGAGATCTGCGAGCAGCACCATCGTCTCAAGCATCACGCTTTTGGGTGGATGGAACTGTGTAGCTGCCACGTCTGTCACCAGCAATTACGTTACAGAGCCCCGCGGCACAACGCCTCTGCGTTCCTCGAGAGATAGCTGTTGTCCCCTAATCACGAGGCGAGAGCACAAGAGTTTGATCCGCAGCCCGCGCCAGGACGAATCGTGCCGAACGTGCGATCGCATGCGGAAGACTTGAGGTTCCGTGGGAGCTGGCAAGATGCGCATATGGTTGTGGGAAGGGGACTTGGCTTGTCATCGAGATAGACAGTAAGACCAAAGTCGTCCACAGCGCGGAGTCTAAACTGCAAAAAGGTACGAGATCTGCCCGAGGTCAGGTCAGCAGCCCATGCCGCGCGATAGGCTTCTTGCAGCGAGAACGATGGGAGCGACGAATTCCCGAGCATGATTGATAGACAAAATTTGCTTTGGTTTTGAGGCAATGGATGTTTGTTGTGCGACCTGCGATGAGCGATTGGCCTGCGAGCGTGAGGATTAAAGTCGAGATCAGAGAGAGTGACCACGTCGTGATGGTATCATCGGAGCGTGACCGTCGCGCCGTCGATGACGTCACGCGTCGCGGTAACGAGCTGTCTCTACTAGGTCTATCAACGAGTGGGACGATCTTATCAACTAGTTCCAGTTTGACCGCAATATAGTTCCAGTCTGGCCACCATACGATTCAATGCAGAGAATTCTCCGATCCAAACACCATCATGCTGGTAGGCATTGGCCAGGTACAACTGGGGGTGCTTCATCTCCTGACCCGAGATCGCAAGGACTGATCAGGGTCCTGACCGCGGGATTGCAAAGTGTTGAGCCAGGGACCAAAGATGATTCAGAAGCGGCTGGGCGCACTACGGTCCGGGGTTCCTGGGGCGGACGTGGAGCTGCGGGCGGGGCGATACACTTTTAACGTTACTTCCGGGGCGGGTTCTAATCTTTATACAGTGCCACCGTTACGAGAGGCCTCGCACGCGTCGGGGCAGCCCCGCCACTGCACGAATCAGACACGCTTCATGCTCGCCAGGAATCCTGCGGCTGTGCATGCACGACCGGCGCTGTCATTTCCGGAGGCGAAGCTCGCCGTGTGCATCGGAGCCAGCGAAGTCGACGCGCCTCGGACATAAGCTGGCGCCAGGTTTTCCCCACCCCCGTCTCTGCGCTGCAAACGCACGATAATGGATACAAATATGCGGGCGGTATGTCCGCCCGCTACACGGATCCAAGTCTCCGCCGCCCGGGCGACGGACATCTACTGGTACAACAAACGGTATGAAAACATATGTCAAAAGGCTACCGACCGGTTACAGAATCCACATGGAAGAGAGAGACATAAACATAAAGCTACATGAAGAATGCTTCTTGCGTTGGATGTGACCACCGCCGAGGGGCCGCAGCCTGTCGAGCATGGCGGTGATCAGATTGGTCCATGTGAGGATAGACCTGGATAACAATCAGCAACGCGTGGCGAAGCGGTAATAGGAGAGCTCACGCTATAATTCGATAGCTGTGGAAAGGGTCGATGGTATGTCGAAAGAGGCTCATAGGCCGGCGACGGCTCCGGGTATCCCAGCTCCCAACTCGACTCTGCATCGTCCGACGTTCGGCGATGGTGCGCATGGAAACCCGATTCGTGGTGATGAACGGGGTGAGCGTAGTCCACGTCGAGCTCAAAGTCAGGTGAGAAGGAACGCAGACCCGTTGTGTCGAGCTCCGGCTCGCGTTTTGCCGCAGGAGATCTGAACAGACCGCTGTCAGAGTCGCTGTCGGTGGCGTCGAACAGAGGCGCATCGAGCTGGACCTGAAACTCGAACGTCTGCGGCTCCTCGTCCAGCGCGTGGGCCTCTCCTCTCGTCCACGGCGCAAGGACACCGCGTCCGCCGTCGGCATGAATAGCAAAGGGGTTCAATCGGAAGACGTTCATCATGCTGCGCATCCGCGGACTGGCCTGGCTGGCCCGCAGAGGAACCTCAGTTGGGGGTGCGTATATCTGCGGGCCCGGGGCAGGCACGAGGTCTACGATGAAACCGTCATCGTCAGGCTGCTCCTGCTTGATGGCCGGCAGGTCCGGCAATGAGAGGTAAGGGATCGGGGGCGGAGAGGATGGAGCGATAGACGACGCGGGAGAAGCAGTGCCACCGCTCACGTCATACGGAGTGGATGGCTGGGCAGAGTACGCGTCCGAGACTGTCGATGCAGGGCGCGTGAACGAGGAGGGATAGAGCGATTCGAAAGAATAGGGAGGGGAGGGAATATCTCTGCGAGACCCATAGTCGGGGACAGGCGATGGGTAAGAGCTGGTGGCGAGGCTAGAAAAATTTACAGCACTCCAGGAAGGAACGAACGAGGCTGGGGTTGGGATATATGGGTGGGTGGACAGTGATGACGGGGCGGCGGAGTCGGCGGGCCAAGCGCGAGGCGCTGTGTTGTAAGAGGCATGGTATGTTGAACTCGTGCTGGGAGCAGAAGCGGGGAGATTACGCTTGGATGAGTAGTGAGACATAGCGCCACCGGAAATGCAAAAAGATTTGCGAGGACGTTAGCGGAGCATTAGGACTTTATACTACGCAATCGGTTGAGCGTGACGGGCGTGGTGCCCATCGCATCTGCAAGGAGTTGCAGTGATGAAATCTAGATCGCTTACATACCCACGGGTCTTCTCGATTGGATCCGCTTCACGCCGCCTTCTTTGACACGACCGTTTTTAGAACGCGACCGGGTCGTGACTTGTGTTCTGCAGCTGAAAACAAACGGGCAGAGTTCCGTGCAGATCTCCGAGATCGGCTGCGAATCTGCGCGAGTAGGTGGCCAGCAGCTGCCTCGACGGCGGACATCGAGGACAGGCGTGTCACAGCGAGCCGTGATGGAGCAGAACACAGCCGCGGAAATGGTGAGGAATGAGTAGATCTTCTTCGATCCCAGCGTGGCTCGAAACGCACGTCAGAAAATGCGTCCAGCCAGCCAAAAACCCCGAACGAGGACCCAGGAACCGAGAAATAAGCTGCGAGATAGCGTTCGCGGCGCGCCTTCCCTTCTGGCTTGGCCGCCAGAACCCAGCCCTCGCGCCGGTCCTCCGACTTTTACGTGGACAGACGTCGCACGATACACCGCAGCCCATCTCGAGAAAAAAGCCATGGGTCGAGGAACATTGGGTAAGAAATCCTCCTGGAGGCCTCGTGCAATCACATCGGCCGGCGCGCGCTGCTGATCTGCCCTGGCTAAAAACATACCCTTCGGGTGGGCAACCAGATAAACTTTGTTGCAACCAGCCAAAGCCGAGGAGCCAGCCATCCGACATCCCTCCTCCTGTCGAAGCACAATCACCGAACAGGAAGATCCTACCGTAAGCACGGGGAGACCCGACAGAGACCAGCACGAGAAGAGTTTTATGCTGCATCGTCACCAGCGAAAGCAAAATGCTGGCAAAATGAACGAGCAGTGCCTGCGATATGTTCCGCGGCAATGGCCCGGCGAGGTGATCAAGTGAGCCGGGCCAGCATCGCCCAGAGCCAGTTCAAGATCAAGCTGTCCCAGCCGCAGAGCTACGGGCTGAGCATCCGATGCGCCGCGTGGAAGAAACTGGCAGGGGCTGGGAGCGAAGAGCCCTTCTTGCTACGGTCTGGGTGCTCGGTCATCGCAATGCACAAAGTTTCGGGACATGGGATCACTCGACCTGGGCACGTCGAACCGCAACATTCGCCCGAGAATTCGGAGGTTTTTTTTCGCGCGTTCTCCCGTGGAACGAGTGAAGATTCCTGTTAGTCGCAGGCAAATGAAACTGATGGCAGCGGCTTCGGGGACACTTCTTCGATGGCCCGCGATCCTGGCTTCTTCTTCGCTCCTATGCCGTTATGCACGCGCCTTGCTGCGCGACCAAGCAAACCACCGCGCCCCTTCCTGCACCAAAGCGGAGCAGCGAGTGACTTTACTGCGGTGGCAGCACAATCACGACCGTCGACAGCTGCTTATCCTTCAAGCTAAGATCCGTCGAGATGAGATGAGATAAGCGCCAGGGCACTCCTTGCGTGGCACGCAAAAAAGTGAATCCCACGTCTCCTGTGAGGGTCGTGGAAATTCACTGTAACGCTGACAACAAACTTGTGACGGTCACATGTTCACTTCTTTCTCCTGAAATTCCAGATTCGACCTCGGACTCAATCCCATTCTGGGTGACTTTTTCCACTGTACGGTGCACGGAATATACGATGCGATCATCTGCGCATGCGTGCCCCTGAAATTCACACAGACGTCGCGCGACAGAAGCCGACCTGGACGCGGAATCCCGTCCAATTGCATATGATGGCCCGCCTCGCTGACGCACGCCATTCTCTGGGATATCCGACGGGCCCTGGACTTCTGTCCACTGTCCGTGCGGTGAGGCTCGGATTTTTTCTGGTCGTCCACCCATCGGGAGCGGTTGCAACATGACGACTATCAGCAGCAAAAAAAAAGATTCACGAGGCGCTAGGACACGCAGTCAAAAGTCCTCGTGATTGCCCAATCCAGGTTCAAACTCAGCCCTCGAGGAGATCTCCCCCGGCCTCTATACAGCTCACCTGAGGTACGTGTATCGCCGCAGTGGACTCGGTGAGCACCAATGACTAGCCCCAATAAGAGTCAGCGCGGCCCTTTCTGAGGTGTACTTCGCCGTCGGAGCTGGTGGTGGAGCCCCTCGGTAGGCCCGCCTATCCGCAATCGCACGCGCGAGATCGAACTGGGCTTTGATCTTGCAGCCTGCGCGCGCCCTGTTTCGGGCCTGCTGGACGCAACAGCTGCAGGAGCGCGGTCCAGTGCCAGCTTCGACTCGCAGGCCCGACTTCTTCCGCGCGTCTGGTTGAAAGAGTGTGCTTCTGAGCGCCCGGCCGGCCCACGCGCCCCGATTCCAGTGCGCATACTACCGCGCTCTTGCTTTTTGTGACGGCAGGGTGTCGAGGTAGCTCTTTAACCTTTCATTCCTTGTATGTAATATAGTCGAGAAGTCGCGCTGCCATTAATCCACACTCTGTTCGACAGCCTTCCGCTGCTCGACAACTCGAAGAATATGATCTCATCGTCTGCGAAAAGCATATCTTGCTCGCCAAAAATCCATCGAGCCTGAGAATCCAACTTGACCCTTGTTTGGCCCTTGTTTGCTTCCACATCAGCATCTGGGCCTCGGTCGATCATCTTTTCTGACACCTCCCGCTTGGTCGGTCTAGCTCTCTTTTAGATCAGCACCACCAGGCACGTCGTGCAGCAGAGAGTCTCGTCAGCTTGACTGCTGGAATCGAAAAATCTAGAGTGTACACTCCCGACAGCAGTCTCGCCACCATCATACTTACAGTCTCACTATCCTCACTGACCTCAGGCCCGACCGGCTCGCTGTCTTCGGAACGGTGGAGATTGATCTTCTCATCTGCCACACGACGTCGTTCACTGTGCTTCGGATCTGGAACTCAAAGAGGTTTTCTCTGTCCAGGGAGGACGCGCCCGATGTCCCAAGCACTGATTGACGCGTCCTCTGAACGGTTGAGCTTGCTCTTGCTTTCCATCCGCACTCCAAGCCAAGGCGACCGCCAAGCTCTGCATCGCACTCCGCGGACGAGTGAGCCACAAGTCAAAGAGGTTTTCTCTGTCCTGAGGACGACCCTGAGCTCCATTGCGACGTCCGGAGCACTGATTGACGCGTCCCTCTGCGCGGATAAGCTTTCTGCTGCTTCCCATCCGCACTCCAAGCCAGCGCGCGACGGCCAAGCTCTGCGGTGGCACTCCGCGGGCGAATGAGCCACGGCATGTCGGGACACTATCTGTCGCTGGAACCGCATGAAGATAAGAGGCTGCGAGTCCGTGCATTGGCTAGCAAACTTCTGCACCGGGGCTAATACGCCAATCTATCCACGCCCAACCAGCCTACCGCAGCACGGCGCGGCGTGATTACCCCTGCTGGGATGAACCTGCGACCCAATCCATCTTCGCGTCTCATCTCATCTCAGCAGCAGCATCAGCAGCATCTCTCTGTCTCTCTCTCGGACCGGATGTACGGTCAGCCTCAGTGCCACGCCCTCTTATTCCGAGGACTTGTGGTGCGAACCCCAGAGATGAGTTCGATCGGGCTTTCTTTGGTCCGGACCTGCCATCCTCCGAAGACGGGGGCTGGGTGGACACAGGACTGCCACGGAAGGTAACAAGGTCCGGGACGACCCCAGCAGTGTCGACGCCCCCAGACGCATGCGCATCCCAGGGGAGCTGGTAGCTGACGGCGACATTGCGCTGGTCGCCGCCGTGTTTCGGACTCGCCCTTGATCATGAGCCCCCAGCCCGCTCAGCGCCCGCACGGTTCCGGTTCGGGTCTTCAGCACGGTGCTGGGCTCGCGCACATTATTCTTCCTAGTCAGGCCGTCCGAGGAGGGCTCGCATGGAGCTCCGTTCTCCATCAGCAGCCACCCCCTCAAAATCAGCCCCATGCATCGTGCTCACATGATGTGAGCGATAGCACGGCTGCTGCTGCCGCCCTACGACCGCGTTCTTAATATCGAGTAGTACCCCGCTTTCGAAGCTGGACACCCCGCGTGGTGTGCTGCGATATTCGGGGCTTCTATGTGTACGGATCTGCGTACGTAGTTGGTGCAGATTCTGACGACTTTCAGCTGCTGTGAGAAGCTGATATCTGATTTCTATGCCTTTCGATTGCTGAGTGGCCTGATTCATGTTGAACTACTATCTGCTCACCAGCCCGTCTCGAGGACGATTCCGTCACTCTCAGGTTTTTCGAGGAGCACATATGAGGCTCGGAAATATCACCAAAAAAAGGAGGTACGTAACCCCGGTCCGAGATTAATCTCATTAGAACGCACTCTGATAGTTCCCACTTACATAAGAGCCAAACAGATCGGAGAAGTTATCATCCCGACTATGCCCATTCTCCTTTTTTTTCGGGGGCTTGAGAATGCTGCACCGGAGAGTAGCCCGGAGAAACTCAGATCTATATGATTTTAATTGAACATCCCCTCCTATAGAACACGTCCAGACTCCAGAGCGGATTCCGGGCGCCGAGCTCAAGGGAATCGTAATAGACATAGCCTCAAGTCACTAGGGTCGACTCAATTCACGCTATCCATGCTGTCGAGTTTATATATGTCCTTGTGTTCAAACGAGATGGAGTTCTCGATGGAAGTACGCATTTCTGGAGTTGCTTCCAATCAGCGTTTGCAGATCGTAGTGTTTGCGCTTATTCTGGCTGCTGATCGATATGAAGTTCCCCGCACTCTCCGCTTCAGCGAGGACGGCTTTTCCCGAGAATTCATGCAAATAGCAGTAGCGCACATGATATTTGGGCAATCCTTGAGAACACGACGGCCTACGAACATCAAGGCCTTTCAGTCGGTCCTAACATCATACATCGCTGATCCGCAATCAGGGCCGAGGAATATCGTCGACGGCGAGGAGCATATTTTCCCCAGTCCAGCGAAAATACCATGCTGATAGTTGTTGGTCGCTATTTGTTCTCGGTTGCAATTTGTCGCGTTTATGGCTCCACAAATACTGTATCGCGGACGGAGGTTCGCTGCCCCGTGGATCGATTCCAATGTGCGAAATCTGGGATTCCTCTTTTTCCGCCGCACCCCGCGTCGGATGGATCAATGATACGTTCGCGCCAGCAAATCCACCGAGCTCGTATGCGCTTCCAGATGGAACGCGATGGCACGCTGGGGCGAAATCCTGGCTCCACCGTGCTATTTTCTGGGACCATCGGCCTCTGCCGGCCATGGTGGAAATCCGCCCATTCTCCAGTCGATCTGTGGGAAGACACGCGATTTGCAGAGCGTATCACTGCAGTGGACAGATGCAGGTCCTCAAGATCTCTCGGCCAATGATGTACAGACTGCACCGCTGATACATGTTATCAGAGAAGCTGCTTCTTTCACATCTCGCCGGAGCACTGGGCCATGGGCTGGGAGAACCCGTAGGTCAAGGCAGGGTCGACGTTCTGCGACGATCCCTCGTAAGCAGGCATGCGGTCGATGCAAGAGACGGATCGGCGTGTATTGAAACTGAAGTTCAGCCGACATGAATCCCTCTCAAACACTCGAACTAGAGCAGTTCGCTGAAAGAGTTCACAACTTTGCATGAGAGAAAGTTGATATGATCTGATTATAATAATCTACTCGGCGCTAAGCCATTGAATGAGTTCCCCGCGACATCCGTCGCAGGCGTCGCATTCGAGAACTCGAGATAGAGGGGACCGGCGATTTGGAGCTGGGCTGGGTTTGACATCGCCGATTTGCTTACAGCCCGCTCCTGAGTAGACTGCTACTAGTATAGCGGCGGGGCAGATTGGACGCACCCGGAGTCTTTTCAGCTGGTCCTGAGTAAATTCTCAATAGAAACCGATCGCAGTGCTCTCGCGGTCCTCTGCGCGATAAATCGCGATCCAAGTCTTGAAACAACCTCCGACTGTCCTCGCTGTTCAACGCGGTCCGTAAGTATCAGATGCGCGAAATCTCGAGATACTTGTTCGCCACTGGCCAAGGTCATGGAGATCTTGCGGAAGAATGGCCCTCTATGTCGATCCAGAAGTCAAGACTTGGCTCTCGTCCCTAGTTTCATCTGATCTGCCTTGGCGATCGACCGGTGGCTAGGAAGATACCACTGGAATAGCGTCGCGCGATCGACCCAGGAAGAGAGAGAACCGCCGGCGGGCGTTCCTGGCTCAGTTCCACAAGTACACACGACAGAGCCACGATTAGTTACCGATCCACGTTCTCTGTTCCATGCCCTCTCATCGATACTCATTTCCGTACAGCCCGAATTCCCACGGCGCCTGTTGGCTGGGCCCTCTCTGACTGAACCAGATCCTCCTCAGTCTGCACGTCGCGTAGACTTTGACGTACGTGGAATGCGAGAATGGGCCCATGGGTGCGTGCCTGGCGATATGATCATCCGCACCCCCAGTCCCGGGTGCAAGCGTACGGAATCCGCCGAAAATCGTTGGGAGATGCAGGTTTATCGTCGACCATGCCGTAAGCGAGGTGTCCGAAAGCGCAGGAAATGACAGTGGGAGGTGTAACAGAGCGTGTTTCGTGGATATGGTCAATGTCGGTTGTTTCTGGGAATGAAGGACATGCTGGAGGGCAGGACATCATTACGGCCCATGCACGAACCTTGAACGTCGACAGACGAATGACACCTTCTGTCCCAGCGCGATCGGCCACCCCCAACTCAAGAGACCACTCTCGCCCCAGGTCTCGGACTTGGAGATGTATCCACGGATGTTTGAGCCCCACAACAGTCGTATCACCGGGCGGACACCGAATAAACGTAGTCGGAAGCGTGGGCGACTGGATGTGCAGAACCGTCTGGTCTAGACAAAGGCCGGAGACCGTGTTGTCGCTGATGAGGTGTCACGGTCATGGATCTGATAGCGAAGATCCGCGCACCTATCCGCGGACACCAGCTCACCCTGGCGGATAGTATGCGCCGTTATCATTGCGGCCGGGAGGGCGGAGCAGGCATGGAAGACTTGTCGTTCAGCAGGTGGATGAACGAGTCAGCGGGAAGAGTGTCATCGCATGTCGACGCGAATAGGATGCAAGGGTCAGAGCCTGTCCAAATTCTATTATAGAAGATATATCGAGGGCAGCAGTGCTATTGCCTGTGGAGGAGAACAGAGACACCAATTCAGGCTGGACGGTGTTTGAGAACATGGATGCGCATCAATCCATCAATGATCAGATTGAGTTTTCTCGTCCAATACGACCATCATCGGGGGCAATGAGCGACATCGAAGACTCTGCTGACATTCTTAACGACGCACTTCACTTTCTCGGAGGACAAAAAGTCATCGACGAGGAGGTCATCCGCTACGGCGATCTTCAGTTGACTGCCGCCGCCAAGGTCACTCTCATCCGCTTTTAATTGGGAGCTCCGACATGACCGAGAAACACTTCAAACAGGAAGGGAAGGTATACAGTCTGTATTGTCTGGCGGGACGATGTAATAAGGGATATGCAGGCGAACACTCTTCTTGCGGACCATCTCTTCTCTCCGGGTCTCTTCCTCGCCGAGAGAATCGAAAGAGGACTTTTCAATGCACCACGGAAGACAGGTAAGCATGACACTTCCGCTCTTCTCGTTTCTGAACCTCTTTAGTGATCGAGCTCGGTGCAGGATGTGCACTTCCCTCCTTGCTGCTGTCCTCCTTGCCGAATCCACCCCGCAGAATCGTCGCGACCGATTATCCCGATCCCGGTATAATGCGGAATCTGGGGCACAATCTGGAGCGGAACAGACATCTGGTCGCGTCGGGATGCGAGGTGACATGCTCGGGATACGACTGGGGCAGTGATGCCTCGACCCTCCTGTGAATGGCTTCGATGCTGCCCGCGGCATTCCACGCACTGAATCCGGACGGCAGAGAAATCACGGACCAACAGGGCTACGATGTGGTCATACTCTCGGATCTGCTCCATTTCAACGCCTCGCATGCTGTGCTCATCTCGTCGACGCAAGTCTTGCTGGCACACAATCCCGATGCTCGGGTACATGTCGCTGTAGGGTACTTCGCTAGCCGTCTCTGGCCGGGGGCTCATCCATTATGATTCTGGCTCATAGGCGGGGAAATACACGAAGCCGGAAGTTTGCGATAACTTTTTGGCGCTCTCTGCTCGAGCCGGCTTCGCTTTTGAAGAAGTTTTACCGACCGAGGAGGAGAGCCAGTGGAAAGGAAAGCTTGTCGTGAGCTCGCTGGACGGGGAGGCTTTGGCACTTCGGAAAGCCAATTGCAGGTATTGGATCGGGAGACGGATTGAGACTCGTTGAATTTGGATATCAGCTCCGTCGATTCGGCGTTCGGCCACTCCGATGTCCAAGGCTAGAGCATCGCTTGCAATATTATTCGCATTTACCACTGATAACCGTGTCGGAGGGGGCAGTGTGTCTGCATCGTCGGAAGACCGGGCCGTTCTCCGCTTAGCGACGTCGACGACCTCATCATCATGATATATGGAAAGGTACAGAGGACATGAGCAGTAACGAGGACTTGTCGACATCACCGCTGGTAATCAACAACGTGTTCCGGAGTTATGCCGGCTGCGGAATCAAATGCTTGAGCCGCGGACGCGCTGCATGGTGTTTCAGTCAGTCAGTCGCGTGGAACTATGTAGATTGCAGGCAGAGCAATGGGACGGGACGTGTGCCACTGAAGTGAGTCTCTGTCGACCGAAAGTACATACAAATTCGGCGGCCGGTTCCGTTTCGGGCAGCGGCGGCGTTTCTCTTGCCGCATTACTGGGCAGACCTACATACGTATCATGACAACAGAGGCAATACGGAGCAGCGGTCGGCCGTATATTAGTTCCAGTCACCGAGATACGCGCAGATCTACGGACACAAAGCGGCCGAATGTTTGGTGTTGATTTGTTTCTAATCGGGAAGGAGGGGCATGCCACGAGGGAGAGAGGCAGGGATTGATGCTTGATCCATTTTTCACTCAACCACACCTACAACGATTCGCTTGCCGTGTCCAGTACATCTCGTCCTCCATCGCGCGCCCGGTTTTGCGCCCTCGTCCCTACGCTCTTTAACACTCCCCGCAGGCCTGCGTCATGTGCGGGCATTCGCAGCACTTGGTTCCCCCGACTCCCCGTCAGGGACGCCGTCGCAGTGCAGATATCGGGGGTCTGAGTCTTGCCACCAAGGATGCCTCTCATGGGCAGGGCTGGCTGGGACATTCGGACGAACTGCAGTGCGTTTGTCTCTCTATCTGCGCGGTTGCCCTGCTCACGCATCCGCCAGAACTCATTTCGCCGAGTTGCTGAGCGACATGTATACTGAGACCTTGAATGCGGTCAATGACTATGCCACTGAGGCTGGGTGCGTTGTTGGCCAGTTCCCCGTGCTCGTATCCTAATGTAGGCTATGTAGAGTCATGCCTGAGCTATCGGACGACTCGCGCGCCAGCTTGGTCTCTTCGCTCGACTCGTGGAACTTTGACCCACGCATACTCCCAAGCGAAGACCATGTCGCCATCTGCACCGTTCTCATATTCGATGCCATCTTTCGAATTGAAGGGATGGAGGAGGCCGTCGGCGTCACACCTGGTGAGTGATAGTGACACCCCCCGTCGAATCGCCAACCCTCACACGCGCTTGCTCTAGCTCAAATCCCTCGTTTTGTCCAACATCTACGACACATATACCGCCAACAAAACTCGTACCACAATTTTGATCATGCCTTGGATGTTCTGCAGGCGACGTACTGTTATCTACGGGCCTCGGATATGGTCCCACCCCTCAGCATCATTCTCGAGCCGCCTCACCGTATATGGAGGACATCCCGCGGCGCCAAGGATGGATACTGTGCATGTCTGTGCCCCACAGATATCTTCATCCTGGCTATCGCTGCCATAGGCCACGATGTTGGCCACCCTGGTTTCACGAACCAATTCATGCAGAACGCGTCAGCACCGTTGGCAGCGGTGTACGAAGGACGCAGTCCACTCGAACAGTTGCATTGCGCGCTGCTGATTCGAGTCATGAGAGCTCATGGAATGGGTGCATTGCTCGAGGGCGGTGAAGACCTGGATGGCGAAAGCGGGCAGCGGATCAATGGCGGCCGAAATCGCAGGCTGCTCCTTGAGACGGTGCTCGCCACCGACATGCGAGTGCATGATGCCTTCATGAAACGGTTTGCGGAACTCGTTTCCGGGCGTGGTGAACAAGGCTTAGCCCATCGTCGTTTGACGATATGTCAGGCCCTGATCAAATGCGCTGATATCAGTAATCCCGTACGTGGGGATCCTTACACATGTGTGTTCCTGAATCTGATGCATTCGACAGTCGCGACCGTTCTACATCTCCCAACACTGGGCTACCCAACTCCAGAGGGAATGGAATGCACAGGCCGCACTTGAGGCGCATCACCAGCTTCCCCGAACGGTCGAGGACAGTGACCACCCACTTCGAGCGGCTTCGAGCCAGATGTTCTTCATTCCCACTTTTGTCAAGCCTCTGCTGGAATCTGTCAGTAAAGCAATTCCAGGTGCGTCCCTGTTCTCCTTGATCTATGTTTTCCCGATCATTTCCCTGACTGGCTGCCGTTAGAATTGAAGACGTGCACGACACAATGTGATCTCAATATGACGTTATGGGCTGCGCGCTTGTCCCTGCTACAGGCCGCAGCTGATGTTGACAACAAAGCCCCCACGACCAAATCGGCGACGAAGCCCTCCCGACTTGCGCGCAGCGCAAGTGCCTTCAATCTCTCGTCTGCCTTCATTGCGAAGACCAAGCTACCTGCCCCGCCGATTCCTCCTCCTCCCTCGCCTCTGGCGAGGATTAGACATAAGCTCCGGACGCGCAAATCTGTACCGTTGCGGCCGCCCGAGGATTACAGCAGTGCATTCCCGCTCACCCTGCCTCCTCAGCATGCGAGAACGCCGCCCATCAGGGGCAGTGTCGGGTCGACGTTCTCTTGGACAGTTTCTGAGGCGTCCAAGACCACTCGATCTGTGTCCCCCTCGGAGGAAGATGCCGAATCGGAGGCCTCCTTCACCTTCTCGCCGTCGAGTCGAGGGACCAGCCGAAGCAGTATCGTGCCCGCGACACCTTCGGAAAGCAGCAGCAGTGATGGGAACCACACGATTGTTGTGGAGGACGGGACCGCGTCGATCCGCGCTGCCGCGCGCACGGCCGGATTGAGGGGCTGCGGCTCGCGGGGCGACCGATACATGCTCCACCGGAATTCCTGGAGCCCGTACACGAACAGCGAGGGCCTGGACATGGGTGAATGGACTGCAGGACTGGGTGCTGCCGGTGCATAGCAGCCTCGTGCGCGTCGCCTCGTTCCTGGATATTTCGTCGCGCCAAGGTCCGCCGACTTCTTGTTGCTCTCAGCAAGTGTAAATTTCGTTCTGTCTTGTTGCTTTTCCCTCTTCATACCTCTTGGGTCTTCTCGTATTTGACTATCAAACTCAACGTGTAGCTCAATAGCTATCCTGTATCTGGCCTATTCCTGTATTCGTCGTCTATTTTGTATCACTACTAGGGCTTGCACTAACTCCGATTTCTCGCTACTAATAAGTGCGTCGGATACATTAGCTGTGCCTGATTCCACTCCTCAGTGTAGAGTGATCGGCTCTAGAATGATCGCGGGTAAGCGTACTGAGACGTACATCCTCTCGCACTAACGACCCGGCGCGCATCGAGCATTGAAACTTGCAGGTGCAGCAACAGGCGAGAGGCGAGTCTCCCTCGAACGCGCAATCTGAATATTGGCAAGAGCCCCCGTCGCCACTCCATGCGCGCGATTAGCAACTAGAATGAACCGAAGATGTCTCATGGAAATTCTAGAGATGTCTCATGGAAATTCCAGAACATGGCACCAACAGCCACTTACGTCGGTGCGATTGTATTGGGCTCTATTCCCGATCGTTGAGAAAGGTTCAGCAAATCATTCCCAAAAGTTTCCGACACTCGGTCCACAAGGTTTTCTGCTTGCTTTGCTCCCTGGTCTCATATGCACAATTGTATAGAGGAGCATCACGCGCCAGATAAGCTGAGTATATATGTGTAATTCTTACGTAAGAAAGGCCCAGCGCACAGAAAGGTGACCGGGCAAGAGGCCTGTTCCTCTTTACTTTCCGACCGTCCGGAAATAAAACGCAGGTCGGTGTCTGTATCTTGGCTGATCGATCTAGAGTACAAGTGGCGTCAGAGTCTCGCGCGAGATCAGGTGCTTGCAGCGTGACCCTGTCTGTCACACCTCATCATCAGCGTGGGCAGGCTTTTTCTGACGCGATTGCAGTGGGCGGGATGGAGGCGCGTCTGCACACCACAGCCAGCCCGATCTCAACTCAACCCGGCCGTCACCGTTACAGGTCGTCAACGCGCGTTCGTCCCTGCTGTCCAACTATGAAGTCTTGACACTGCTGCGCGAGCTCGAAAGCGACCACCTTGCGCGCACAAAAACGGCACATCGGATTAAGAAGGAAGAAGAAGCTGCGGGAGCATCAAATCTCAGCCGGGCAGGGGGTGGCAGGGATCCCACCGTCGTAGAGGTTTCAGAGAACTTGAGAACAGTGTCAGTCGAGGTGTGTTGCGTTGCGACCCTTGTTTTTAACGAGTGGATTCGTAAGGGCTGACTGGCCAGGCGATCAAATATCTGTCCGCAGATTACCAGCCGACGGGTCTGCAAGCTCCGGAGGCAATCACCCAGCTGGTGAAGTCACTGGCTCCATACGATCTCACGAAAGCGGAAATGTTGCAAATCGTGAATTTGGCGCCACAGAGCCATATCGAGCTTTACGTGGTAGGTGCACCTTAATTTTTGCGTTTGCGGGTTCTCAGGGTTCTGCGTCAGATTGTTGAAGAGCTCGAGGACAGACTGGCGGAACGAATGGAGGAGGCGATCGCGCACGTCAAACGGTCACTCGGGCAGGGTGGTGTACCCATCGCCGACGCTGGTCCCGCAGCGTTCGCTCCCGTAAAGGCACGCTCGGAGAGTGGGTACTGGGACGCCGACGACGATTACGTGGTGGACGAGTACGACGACAAGGGCGAGGGCGCCGGGGTGGAGGGCGACCTGGACATGGACGACGACTAATCTCTGTTGATGCATCTGTGCTGTAGTACGCGATGTCACGCTGCCCGGGTGTTCAGGAGTTGTTTGAGTCAGCGGGCAGGCACAGGTGCCAAAGCAGGGATTCCTGCAATTCCTCCGCAGAACCATGTTGTCTGAGTTTAGGAGAAGTGCTCTGCTGCAGTCTGTTGCGCTGGGCACAAGCTGTGTCACGCGTGGTTCTCGGGATCGGCGATCGGTGCAATGCGTTTTCGGCGGCCTACGGTGCTCCTTTTAAGGATGTCAAGAGCCCCTATCACTTCGGCTGGTTTCCGTGGCTCTGCATTTATAGTGAGAATTTAAACGCATAGGTCGCTTGTTTGGCCGCATTCCCCCTCACTTCACCTCCCATTACTACTCTCTCATGCCATCCGTCAAGGTCAAAGGCTCGGCCGGCTCCGCCAACGTTCACTACACCATCTCTACCCCAAGAACCCCTCTGCGAAATCTATTGACAAGTCGCTCCCCACGATCATCTTTCTACACCCGGTCTACATCGCCTCGAACCTCTTCGAACGTGGGTGGTCTAGACCCTTACCCCGCATTTGATCGACTCATCCTTCCTCAGTTCAATTCGCCGACCCTAATCTGCGGCGATTTAACTTGGTCGCCCTCGACCTGAGGGGCCACGGCGAAACAACGGGGAAGGTGCCTTCGACCTACGGACGTGAAGATGCCGCCACGGATGTCGCAAAGTTCATGGTTTGTCGCAGTGACTGCCCCGCCCCTCGTGCCTGCCGCTGACCGCTTTGCGCAGGATGCTCTTAAGCTTCCCGCCTGCCATTTCGTCGGTGTCTCAATGGGGGCCTGCATTTCGCTGCAGTTTGCCATCTCCTACCCAGACAAGGCGCTCTCCCTCACAATGATCTCGCCTCTGCCGCTCACCGAGGTCTGCTCTCTTTTTCTTTCTGATCGCCCATCCTCATGCTGATCGTCGATCCAGCCGGAGGACGTCGCCGAGGGTCGCATGGAGATCCACGACTGCTGGGTGAGGCATTCAAGACTGGCGGGAAGGTCGATCAGAGTGCATTGCTCGATTCCGTTCACGGTGCCGTGCAGCTTGGATTCAGCGGCCGCGAGTCCAGCCTGGTCAGAGCGTGCGTGGGCTGATCTGTGCCCCCACCGCCGATTCGCTGACATCTGGTCTCAGACTCACCGCTTACATCGTGCCCGATGCTCTCCGAAACTGGGGGCCGGCTAAGCTCGAGGAGTACCGGATCGCGACGGTCGATTTCTTCGTGAAACGGACAGCGCAGACCGCCGCCGCGGTGAGCAAGATCCGGTGCCCCATCAAGCTTGTGCATTGCGGTTCAGACATCGCCTACGCGATCGAGTACAGCGAGGAGGTGCTCACCCTGCTCACCGACAACGGCGTGCAGGCGCAACTCGTGGAGATCCCGGGCGCCGTCCACTTTGGCAACATCTCGAATCCGAAGGAGTGCGTTCCGTGGTTCCCTCGTGGCCGGCTATCTCGTTTACTGAGCATCCCTCGCAGAATCAACGCCCATATCTTTGACAGTGTCATGCGCAACTCCCCGGGCATGGCGATCGCACCTGCACAAGCGGAGGTCACGTCGCCATTTACCGCGAAGCTTCTGAAGCATGGATACAAGAGAAACGAGGACGACGACTCGGATGAGGATTAAGCGCCGCGGTGTGCCGGATAACGATTCCGAATTGTTTGGGCGTTGGATGCTTCGTTTCACGGACTAGAAAGGGAATTAGGGGATTTCAGCTACAATATCTGTACATTTGCTATTTGCTTCATCATTATTTATCTTCTGGGCCAGTCGCCACCCGAGACGAAACGAGAGACCCGCATGTGATGATGTGGTCCATTTTCCAGTCGTGCGCACCGGTAGGGATGGTGTCAGGCTCGAGAAGCTGCTCTTCAAGCGCAAGTCCGACTGTGAGCAGGATTAGCTTGTGTAACGGCACCATCGATCAAATCACACACCAAGCGTCGGGGTTCTTCCGAGAGCTTCTGTATGGGCCCTGATAAATCGGTCATAGTAGCCTTTGCCATGTCCCAGGCGACACAGCGCTCTGTCAAATGCTAGGGCTGCGGGTGGACTGTCAGGACCTGAGTTTGAGCAGGAGGATGGGCATGTGGACCTGGAACGAGAATCACATCCAATCCAGAGTCCATCGCTGTAAGGGTTCGCAGATGAGTCCTATCAAGCTTCTGGATCGTTGGCACACACACCGTTAGCTCGCGGCGAACCGTTGCGCGTCGCGCCCGGCTCCTTGATTCCCCAAACGCCGCTCGGAAGCGAGCTGAGATCGTCCTCGTCATACACGCGCAGCATGTCCATCTTCCCGTCGGTCCTTCTGTCGATCTTGGGAACGTACAGCGTTTTTCCTGCCTGAATTCAGTTGATTGCAAGCGGCAATCGGTCCGCGGCACACCGGCGCGCAGGAGCGCTCTGACAAGCAGCCCAGTGTCGATTTCGCCTGTCGGCATGCTCAGATAGCAGCTGATCGACTGGGCGTCGATGAGAGACGGCGTAGCAAGAATCCGATCCGTCAGAGCCTTCGCTGAGATAGACCGGGTCAGATTTTCAACGACTCGTCGGGGGATGGAGCGCAAAGACATTGTTCTTGGACCACGGCGGCGGACAGCTTGCGCAGCCGTGCAGACATCTTTTCTGAGAATAGCTTTATCGGCTTTGAGTGCGAGTGCGGCCGCCGATGTGGACATCGGAATCGAGTGGCGGACCGGGATGGTTCAACTGCAAGCTAGAAGACAAAGTTGTATGTTGATGATGATGGCCGACGACGGCCATCTTTGCACGGGCCGCAGCTCGTAATCTGCGTTACCTGATAACTTGAACTGGAACCACCACCACCACCGCACTGGTCGCCACTGAGCACTTGACACGCGATATGGAGAATCCCACCTCTCCCACCTCCCCCGTCGCTCAGTTTCCTCCTATCCCGTCTCTGGAGCATCGCACCCGGGCACCTGAGTTCTACGGCTTCGTCGCATGGACTTCAACTTCTTTTCTCTATGTTGTTTATCTGCTGTGGGCCCTGCTTCCGGACGAATGTATCCAAGCTATGGGTATCGAATGGTATCCGAGTAGGTAAGATCTCCTCGCTCCTCGATATATGCGTCATTGGGAACAACTCAACTCCGCACCGCAGAGAGTGGTCTATTTTAATTCCAGCGTACACGATCGTTCTATGCCTTCTGACCTATTTCGTCTATTTTGCTCTTGCATTATACGGAACTCCCAGCTTCTCGGAATTAAGCGCCATCGCCGGTCAGTTCTCTTCCAAACGCTTCGTTCCCACGTTCATTCAAAGCAACTCTCCCATCTGCATCTATCCCGGTCGACAGATTCCAGAGCCCAAATCCCAACAGTCAACTCCACGCGGAATCCATACATCTTCTATGCGGACCCGAAATCTGTACCCGATCTTTACGATATCCCGATCGGCTTGGTCAACCGTGCACTGTATCGCAGAGATTCCAAAATTGAACCTGGCAGAAGTCGATCAAAATGAACTCGCTGGTCTACTGTCAAACGGCAATCTCTACACTCTTCGAAACGATGTGGCTCCTCTGCGCGGGTGCAAAGGTTGAGAATGCGACCGCGAAGCTGGGTCAGCTCGCTCCACAGCGATGCGTTATTTCGGTCCTGGAAATTGGAAGAGCTCTCCGCCAGTCCCAAGATCTTTCGGCGCCCAATGTATTTGTCGTTGATGCATGCCATCAGAAGTCCAGATTGCGGGCTCGTTACTAATCCCGCGTGCGCCGTGGCATGTCCAGACGGGCCAATGCATCGATGTGTCAGGCAAAATACACCTTCAAGCCTCCAATTATCCATTTATGTAATCCAGCTTTCTCAACATCGGGGGCCGGAGGTGGACAGACAGACAGCGATTGAGATACAGATTGAGCTGCAGAGCAGATCGACAAACGAAGCGAGTACTTGGGACAGAAAAACGAAGAGTGATCTAATGCAAAAAACGTGATGCAAGAGCAAGAGTATATGACCCAACAACAGAAAAAATCACAGAACCCGGAGGCTATAATCGATCAGGCGAGTAGCCCATTTCGTGGTAGATATCCGACTCGGAGTCGGACATCTGGTGATGAGCGTGACTGTGCAGAGCTGAGTCGCCAGAATCATCGGGAGGGGGGACCCATCTGACGCGGAACGGGGGTCTGTTTGATGATGATGAGGGACTGGGCGGCGCCGGGTGCAATTCCGGGCCATACGAATATGGGTGTGGGTGTGGATGCGGCTGTGCTGCGGAGGCAGAAGATAGAGCGGTCAAAGTCAACCCAGATGACGGATGGGCATGTGATGTCGACGGCGTGTCCGATGAAGGGGTCGCCGCGTCCTCGACGGCCTCGGGCGCGGCGGCTTTCTCGTGTGTTTTGAAATGCCTCCGGGCATTCGAGCGCACGCTGAATGTCCTATCACAGTTGGGATACCCGCACGGAAACGCTGGACAGGAAATCAATCACGAGCCAACACAAGCGAGGGCCATCAGCCACGTGGACCGTCAACCACGAAATTACGGATGACGCACGTCGTAGTTTATTGTGTCCGTTCATATGAGTCTTCAGTGCGCTGGGCCTGGAAGCTGTGTGAGAAATATCCCGTGCATCTGAGGAAGCTCGTCTCGCACCGCGGAAATTCCTTGTGACAGACTTGACACTGATGGACGCGCTGGGGGCCGCGGCGGGTCGAAGCTCCTGAGGGCGCAACCAACGGTAAAGCCGCAGGAAGATTGATGTCCTGGGGACTGGCCGAGCGCAGACTGGACTGCCGCGCCCGCGATTCCGCTTCTATGCTCGCCGAGGGCGCGGGCAGAGAGGGAATTTGGGATACTCTGTTTAGTCTGTAGATACAGATAAACAGTACGGAATCGGCCGCAAAAACTTACATGGGAATGAAACTTCTCGGATACGGGCCCGAGCTCTCGTCTCGGGGATCTTCGGGCCCGCGCATGGATGAGGACGACGAATTTTGATGGTAGAGCTTGGGCGCTTGATCGAGCTCGGCATGGTGAAACGACTGAGTGCGATCGCCGTCGCTGCCAGCATTCAGAAAAAAGGGCGTCGGAGCTGGGGCCGAGTGCGAGAAAGGAGTGCCGTGTGCAGTGCCGTACTCCTCCTTGTCGATTCGATAAGCGGATGATTGACGGCCGAAATAGTCCTCCCGTCGCTGGCCCATATCCATTGGCCACGGCTCCGGATAGAGAGAAAGCCGGTCATCGCGCTGCTGCTGCCGCGTACTGCGTTGCGACGATTCGGGGTACCCGTGTCTGTGGCGCGAGTGGTCCATCACGGCATCCTGGTACCGCTCCTGGTCAGTAACTGGTGATGGATGATGAGGATGATCATGATCCTGCAAGTTCAAGTTCGTTTCGCGCGTTTTCCCTTGCTCGTGTCTGCCAGGATACATGCGCAGCGCGTGGCGAGTCTCAGCGACCTATCCGGAAAGTCAGCGCGCGAATTATCAAATCGCAAACAGATAAGCAAGACGGTTTGTCTCGTCTTTCTAAGCGCTCCATCATCGGGGATTGATCGCAAAAGTCAGCACTGGGAGAGAGACTCACCCTCCAGCAACACCGAGCACAGACCCACTATTCCCTGACCAGAGACCTGCAGAGATTCCAGGGTCGACGATGCGTGAACTAGTGCGCCGACGTACTTGTGGTGGGAGTGTGGAACAGAGAGGATAAACAAGTATGGAACTTTGATTTACGCGTTGATGGGTTACTGTCAGGCGCTTCTTTATGCCTTGTCAAGGATGTTCGCCTATCAACTTTAGGAAATGAGATCTCGCTTAGAGCAGTCTCGAGGGAACAGGCAAGAAACGCGCGGCCCGTCCCGAAGGACAAGGCAGGTGATGAGAGAAAATATCCATGCTTCTCAAGTGACCAGAAATGTCAATTCGTTCCGCGGAGAAAAAAAAAACATTCAAATGTTGACTATGCTACAATGACGCGAAGTGAATCTACACAAGATCTTCAAGAATATCTGCGGCGAACGTTAAGCTTAATTAGCCTGAGAATAGTGCACTTGCCTGTAATGTGCAAGCCCCAGTTTAGGGTCTGAGGCCTTGTCTGAGACTCTGGACTTGGGCCGCACCGAATCCAGGCACGTCAAGCTTCGTCGGCTCTGCAGTTTCGCCTTCGATTTTGATGGCACAGAAGCGGGGGTGAGAATGTATGGGTGTGGGCGCGACATCGGCGGCTGTCGCCCTACCGAAGTCACAGTCGTTTCTCTCCGCCGCAGCATCGGAGTGCTGCGGCCTTTGTCGTGTCCCCAGCGTTCCTTCCAACCTGCTGCAACGATTTGGTGTCTCGCCGCGTTCGCCTGCGCGTCTAGATCGGGATCAAAAATAGCAGCACCATCAACAGGCGTGAGGGGGGAAGGCGACGGCGTCGAGGTGCTTGCAGAGGCTTCCTCGTGACTCTCTGGATCGAGTGTCTGCTCTTCATAACAATCGATGTCGCTCGTCTGTGGGGATGCAGCTACAAGCACCTTTCCGGGACTTGAGATGCGATATAGCGCCGGCAAGCGCAAAGGCTGCAGTCGTGCTTCATTCGGCGGACTGGAGACCACGTCAAACTCCGGCTCGTCATCCTCCACTTCTATCTGCAGGCGTTTACGAGCTGGTGTTCTCACGGATGGACGTAAAGGCGACGAGAGGTCATCGACATCCCTTGATCGAGATGGAGTGGGTGAAATATAGCCGTCCTCTTGTTCGACTGCGTCCCCTGGATCGTCAACATCCGCCAATGTAACATCCCGAGGGGCCTGCACGACAAGAGAAAGACTGTCCCATCCCAAGTCTGCATCCAGGTCCTCTTCTTCTTCGTCCTCGAGGTCTTCGTCAGGAGCGATATTTTCTTTAACAAGTCGCGACGGTCCGGCAGCCGGAGCAGCATCAACAGACCGTGAGCGAGCAGAGCCAAAGAACCGCGAATGCTTCGGGCTATGCTCCTGCTTCTTGCGCTTCACAGCGATATCTCGGTCCATTTCTCCGGAAAGTGACCTTTTACCACTAGCTTTGCCGACCACCATCGGGTCTTTCTTCGCAGGGACTGATGAGCTTGAGTTTCCAGAGACTCTGCGATCTGCGCTGACACGCACCCAAGTAATTGAGAAGGCCACCATTCATCTTTTGCTTGCCCTTGGCGGAGACAGAGCGAGGGTCGCCATTGATGACGAAAGGAATAGGGTTGAGCACACGCGGTTTGTAACGGGGATTGATGTCAATCATTGGCAGCAAGGTAACAGGATCCAGATCGCCCTCCGCGAGTTGTTTGGCAACTCTTGGGTCAAGATCACTAGATAAAAAAATCGGGTAAGTGCATCAGGAGTTTAGAGTTGCAGAGCACGCACCCGCCGACGTAAGCATTCGCCGCCTCATCCCATGTCCCATCCGGTTCGACCAGATGGACGAGCTTCTGTTGCTTGGGATCGTACACACGTTGATGCAAGAAACACTTCTCCGCCAGCCTGAAGTTCTCCAGGTACTTCCTCGGGATCGATTTCTTGCCCTCCATTTGTATAACGCGCAGCACATGCTCGATCGTTTTCCACTTCCGTAACAGGGAGCACGCCGTTTTCAGTCCGATGCCGGGAATGCTGGGAAGATAATCACAGCCGCTCATGATGGCCATTGTTCTGAATTGCGTGTCCGACCAGCCGCTTAGCGAGATACCGTCGGAGGAGGTGACGCCGGCGAAGTCCGCGCGGTCGATGCATACCGCGGTGCTACTGACCACGTCCATCTTGAAAAGAACCCTCCGACAGCCGAAAACGAGCAGATCGGAGTCTTCTGAGATAACCCCATCGACCAGGCCCATGCGCTCGAGGAAAGCCAGTTGCGCGTCGGCCTCGTAAGGCGCCACGACGTACTGCACGGACTCTGCACGCAACGCCTGAAAGAACTGAGACCGCGCGAATCTGCGCTGGGGATGTGGAACGCACTTTGATGACTTGGAACGCCATCTGGGGAGTAACGTCGATGGACTTGACGTAGTGCTCGCGCGCCTGCGACGTTTTCCCCTGCTTCGCCAACGCATTGCCCAACGCGAGATGCTCTGCCCGCCGTTTGTGCCGATCCACCTCGGTGCCCTTCTTCGCCGGCAGCGGCCCGCCGTCGAATACGAGGTACGGTTCGATCTTGTGGTGTCTGAGGAGACGCACGCGGTGCATAGCGTAGTCGACATATCTGTCCACGGTTAGAATAGCACGGACACGGAGCGAGCGTGAGAATCACTTGTGCGTGTCAACCCCCGTGGCTAGCTCGGTGGCACAAGTGAATATGCCGCGGTGCAGCCAAACATAGCCGTCTACAGCAAGCGTCTGCCCTGCAAATTCGGAGAGGTGCTTCGTTTCGGAGATGGACTTGAGTGCAGGGAGCAGGCCTGAGATTCCCATCTATGCGGTCTTTTGTCGGTGCCAACTGCCGGCGGACATGTATGTGCTGAGCAATGGGCGAGGCACTTGGAAGAGTGAACTTGAATCAGTGCGGGTGAGTGGACAACAACAGACCACAACAACGCGTACCACGACGCGTTTGAGCTGAGTCATCTGACCCAGCTCAAAGACAAAGTGTTATAGGAGAATATAGATAATGCAAGGGGGAAAACGTCGTTTCAAGAGCTGATGACCCTGATTGACTCTGAGTGAACACAAAACCGGCCGTAAACTGAGGGTGCTGAGTGCAAGTTGCACGTGATCGCAGATACGCCCTTCAGTTCTTGACTCTCCTCCGCAAAACACCGTCTGATCCATGCAGGCCACGGATGCAAATTGCTGATTAGTTACTCACCTGTACACAACCAAGCGTCAGAAGCCGATCGTTCCAGCGCTCGGAGAGTGGCCAATGTCCACCCAGAACAGACCCTCAATTACGCGATCGCTCTCATGACCTCTTCCGCTTTCCGTGTACATGCATCCGGATGACCCTACGATGATCGTCTTTCAGCGTACCATCTTGCAGAACTGAATGGGCAGGATGACGTGATGTCGTCATAAATTTCTGCTGCGCCGCAGTCTGCCGTGCCCGCCCAGACGCGTTTCCATGCCGCAGCAGGGCCCTATATATCGGGAGCCCAGACTGGTGCCTGGTTAATCAGATATCTCTTCCCCTCCCCCACCCCCATGGACACCGACGTGAAAGCACCCATCCTAGCTCAACCTGACGGCCTTCCGCCGCCTGCATGGTCGCAAGAGGTCTCCGAGCGCCGGCACGTACAGAAGAAACGGCGCTTTGTTAAATTCGCCGTCCTCTCCGTCATGCTTATCTGGTTGGGCGTACATTCGCGCCATCACCTGAAGCATGGCGCGCAGAAGGTGTTCTCCGCGCTGTCGGCCGACGAGCACAAGATGGCAGCGAGTGTGAGTCGTTGCGACTGTCGGTCATCACCCTCCCTGCTGATCAACTTTTCTCGCAAGTCCTGGCCGATACCCGACGAGTACAGCGCGGACTGCGTGCAGTGGTCGAACGTCGAGAAGGTCCTAGACATCGAGGCAGACCACAGGTTCCCCTATTCTGCCGAGGCCAACATCGAAATCCCCATCACCGCGGATTCGCTCTTCGTTGTCTCCCACGCCGTCCGCCACCACACCGTCCTCGCTGGTGGACGTGTGCAGTTCTTGCAGTCGGAGGAGGTCGTCGACAAGCTCCAGATTGGCGTCACTGCGCATGTGCACCGTGAAAAAGATCTGAAGCATGTCAAGACATGTCTGCTGGAAGGCGAAGCTGGGGCCAGGGGTGCTGGACTCTTTGTAGGTTCTTCCTCTGTTCGTCTACCGCCCGTTGACAGAGCCGCCGACAGACCAACTGGGCTTCCAAGTCGCACCACAGGCACCGCCGGCAGCCCCGATTCCGCCTTGACGTCGTTGTAGCTTTCCCTGCCATGGACAAGGATTCCCCTCTTGCTGTCAAGGAGTTCTGGACCAACATGACTGCCTTTTCGCAGGAGTTCTATGATCTGAGCGGAGTCGCTTTTGATTCTCTGAACGTCCGAAACTTCCTGGGTCCAATCTCTGCTGAAGTAAGTGCCTCCCAGCCAGGTACCTGTGTCTATATGCTCATGAAGTCGTCCTGCAGAACCTCAAAGCAAAGGCCGCTAACATCGAGACCGATTTCGGACCCATCCGCATTGGATCGTTGAATGTCACTGCAGCGAATGTCACCACAACCATGGGTCCCATCTCTGGCTCCTTCTTTGCCTCCGACTCTCTTTCCTTGAAGACCTCCAATGGTCCATCCTCGCCCACATCGAGCTTTCCGACACAGACGCGAAGAAGGGACCTGCTCAGCTCCAGCTCCACACCTCGAACGGGTCAGTTCTGTCCTCGTCATGTTCCAGCTATATACTGACATGGCTCCAAAACTGCAGCATCATCGACTCTTCCGTCGACCTTTCCACGACGAAGGACGAGTCGGCATTCGACCTGATCGCCAAAACGTCGAACGGCCGCCTCGCGCTTGCCGTGCCCTCCGCGCCCATCGACAGCACCATCACGCTCGACGCGCGGACCGCGTTCGGCTCGGCGCACGTGAAACTCCCCGCGACGTTCGAGGGCGCGTTCAGTGCGAGCACCAGCATCGGCGCGGCGTCGCTCAAGGCCGACGAGAACGCGCCGGATCCCAGCGGACAAGGCCGCGCGCGCAAGGTCGTGGTCGATGCGGCCGGGCGCACGAACGTCCAGGGCAGCGTCGGCTGGAGCGAGGAGGGCCTGGCCAGGGGCAATGCCCATGTCGAGACGAGCATCGCCAGTGTGGTTTTGGAGCTCTAAATCATTGTAACTGTAATAATCGTTGCGTCGAAATTCATCCACGTCGAACGCGCTGAGATGTTTTGAGCAGGTGGAAATGAGCTGAACAGATTGGAACAGGTACTGCTGCCACTATTCATCGAATAGTGTCGTCCGGGACGGGGAGGTGCAGTTCGAGTGGGTCATTTCCTCGGTGCTTGGCGGGACTCGGATCATGGTCTATTGCGCGGAGCTCTGACAATTCATCTGCATAACCAAGTTCTAAGATGTTCACGCCAGCAGTTTCAAAATATGATCTGTTTATAGAGAGCATATCTTCGCAGCAGACGCGGAAGGTTGAACGCACTTGAAACTGAGGATCGTGAATGATGATTATGGAATTGATGATATCAGATGTAGTGTTCGAAGATGATCACTTCAAGTGACTGATGACAGTCAGGCCCCTCGCATCCCCCATGGCCCACCACGACGTCGTCTAATGTTCGATACTTGAACTCATACTGTGGCCTGATAACTTATAACCCACGCATCCGAACCCCAACCTGCATCCCCCTCTGTCCTTGATCCGTCTGCGCATGTCTCACAGCGCGACGCAGAGCAAGGCCGTCCTGGTCATGCTCGCGACCGGCAAGCAGGGCACCGCCGTCGTCCACGGTCCGCCCGCCCCAGAGGCATGGTGTCGCGCACTTCGTCTGTGACTCGAGCGTCAACTTTGGCGGTGTGCCGGGCGACAGGACTGCTGTGCCCCAGTGTGTTCAACCCCCCCCCCTTTTCTTCGTCTTCGCCGTTCCTCGCACGTTTTGCGTGTTGCTGACCGGCACTGCACCAGCTTCGAGTCCAAGCGCCTTGCGGAGGCGTGCCTGAGGCGCACGCACCCCGGGCTGCCGCGCACGATCCTGCGCCCGACGACGTTCACGGACCGGCTGACGCTCGGCGCCCCCGACGCGCGTCTCTCGCGCGTGTGCTGTCCTCAAGCAGCTCAAGCCGGGCAGGCGCCTGCAGATGATCGCGTGCGCGGACATCGGGGAGATTGCGGCGGTCGTCATCCAGGATCCCGAGACGTACATCGGGAGGGACGTCGATATGGCGGGGGACGAGGCCAGCGCGGAGGAACTGGCGGCGGGGTGGAGGGACGTGTTTGGGACGGAGATGCGGCCCAGGATGTTCGCGGGCGGGGCGATCGGCTGGGCTTTGCGAGTGGGACTTGCGGAACTGCAAGCGATGTTCAAGGTCTGCCGCGCTGTTTTGGGTTTCACACAGCTGCTGAATGACATTCGAACAGTTTTTTAATGAGACTGGGTTCAACGTTGACATTCCTGCGTTACGAGCGACGCATCCCGGTCTCAAGACTTGGAAGACGTTCCTCTCGTCGATCAAATCTCCGTAACGCACAGAAAATCTCCTATCGTTGTTGTGTTGTCTTAGATCAGAACATGGTTTCTTCAGAACGTCGACTACCGCCAGAGCTCGAGCGCAGGATATTCGAGCTCAGTGCCCTGGAACACCCGGACACGATCCCGGCGCTCATGATCGTTGCCTGGCGTGTGCTGATATGGTATGTGACTGCTATTTCTGCGGACAAAACTCCAATTAGACTCGACGCCAGGATCGAACCCTTTCGCTACCTGACGCTGGTTGCGACCCCGAGATCGCGGTCGCTGGCCCAGTTCATGCGCTATGCCCAGGCCTCGCCCGGCGCCACTCTGCGCGTGCGCAACCTGTTCGTTCCGGCCTCACCCCGGCCGCCCCGCCACGTCTCATTCGTCCTCGGCGCCAGTCTCAGCCTCACGAATCTCGTGCTCATGAGCGGCAGCCCGGCGCTGCTGCCGGGCCTGCGCAAGCAGCTGCACCTGCGGCGGTTCTGCGTGAACCTGTCGCGGCTGTTCGACAACGGGCAGATCCTCCGGAACCTGAGACACGCAGCGGTGTTCAGGCGCGTCACGCACCTGGCTGTGCTGGACCGGATCCACCGCGAGCCCGAGAGCGAGCTCCTGTGCGGCATCGGGGCGCTTCCCGCGCTGACGCACCTGTGTCTGCACTCCTTCGTGCACCGCGCGCAGCTGCTGTGCGTCCTCGCGGGGTGCACCCAGCTCGAGGTCCTCGTGAACATGCACGTCGACACCGCGCCGGAGTGGTCCCTCGCGGACATCGGCGCCCGGCTCGCGATCGGCGATGTGCGGTTCGTGCTGGTCATGCTCGACCCGTCGTTCCACGCGTACCAGCGCGACTGGCTCAGGGGATGTCGCGGGGGGAGCGACTTTTGGGCGGTCGCTGGGAGCTTTGTGCGGCGAAGGCGCGCGGGGGCGGTCGAGCCGGCGGGTCGTTGCTGGATCACCCAGGATGATCATGATGCGATGGTGTGACTGCGCCTGTGAGGCAAGGGACTGATGAATGACACCCTCCGTTGAGCTACTGATAATCTGTACATACAAAGGACTTGCACTAATTAATATTTGAATTCTCTGCCATGCCGTCTGCCTGTTTCGGCTGCCCTCGCAGCGCTCGTCGCTTGGGCGTTGACTGCGGTTGCGGGCATGCGCGCTGCTGCATTCGTGCACGGGCCGAGATCAGTCCAGTCGCCTGCGGCCCCGCCGGGGACGTCTACACTCGTTAAGGAACCATAAGACATGCGAGAAAGCGAAGAAGGTGCGTACCAGCCTCGGACCACCACTTTGCTTGCCAGAGATGGCCGCTGTGGAGTACATCACATCGTCAGTGTCACCGATGTAAACATAACGTCCGTGAGCGCACCCTGAAGTCACCAACGAGCCGCCTTGATAGGCCGATTGAGCGTTCCATGCCCTGGCATCTGCGTGAGCGGGCCGACAAACACGCGGTGTGTATAGCAAACTCACGCGACACCAGCACAGCTACCTGAGGTAGCGGATGCCGTTGTCGTTGTCGTTGTCGTTGTCGTCGTTCTCGAAGTGGTCGTGGTCGTGGTCGTCGGTGGTTTCGAGATCGTGGTCGTGGTCGCTGTGGAAGTAGTCGTCGTCGTGTGGATAGTAGTACTACTGGTCGTTCCGGATCCGCCACCAGATGTATCAGCGATGAGCGACTTGACCGCGGCATCGAAGCGCCCGTTCGCTGTCCCCACCAGTAAGCAACCGAAAGCGGCGGGCCACAAATCCATGGACGCACCGTAGGCCTGCGACGCGTCCCACAGCATGACGCCGCCGAAACTGGAGTACTGCTGCCGCACAGCCAGCGCGATGGACCCCAGTGCCGCCGCCGACACGTAGCCGTTGTTGGCGGCGCGCGGCGCGGCTGGTGCGCCGATGAAGACCTTGACGTCGGGGTTGGGCGAGACCGTCTTCGCCCAGGTGTCCCAGCTCCCGAAGTCCCATTGCTGTCGGCGCGGAGTGGTTCGTCATCTGGATGCACCGGGATGCGGTGGACGGACGACTTACGGTGGGATAGGCAGTTAACTCGCTGTATCAACGTCAGTTTTGATGTCACTGGTGAGGCGGATACGCACCAGTAGTTGTTGTAGAACTGGATCCGGCTGAGTCATCCCACAGATGTATCCCCGACTGACCGACGCACCTGCACAAATACAGCATCAAAGGACGCGGCATTCAAGGCACCGCCGATGTACGCATCGGGATACGGGCACTGCGGCGCCGCGGTCACGTAGTAGCGCTTGCTCGCACCCTGGGCCAGGGCCCGGATCTGGTTCACGAACGCGGCAAATCCCGTCGGACCGCCACCCTCGATGTCGAGGTCGACGCTGCATCGGGGTGAGATTGGGTGCCGGGAGGGGCGGGCCGCTTACCCGTCGAGGACTGCGGTCCCGAATGGACGCGTGCTGCTGCTGCCGCCGAGAAACAGGTCCCAGATCGTGTTCGCAAATGCGGTGCCCTGGGCATCCGAGCTGAACGACGCGGCGCCGCTTGCGCCTCCTATGCATCCAGTCAGCATCGATTGCTGCAGCACTAGGTCCCGACGACGGCGTACCGAGACTGAGCGTGACGATCTTCCCTCTGGCCTGGCACGCCTCGATCCCCGCCGCCAAGAACTGGCAGTCGGCCAGGCCTGTGCCGGCGAAGGTGCCGCCCGTCGCGCTGCAGATCTTCGCACAGTGAGATAAGATAAGATGCATCTGAGATCATGGGATCAAACGACAACGGACATTGGCGAGGTTGAGATCGGGCAGCCCGCCGGTCGAGACGAACACGTCGAGGAAGGCGATGGGGATGATGTCGATGACGTCGTCCTGGCAGTACGACGAGATCGTCTGCTGCCATTGCGACGGATTTCCGGGGTTGGTCACGCCATACGAGTTTGGCCTGTGGTCATCAGAAACACGAAGCTCGTGGAGGTGGACAGACGCACCCCAGTATACAGCCAACTAGAATGATAAGTGTTAGTAGCAGATCTCGAGCACCTTCATCTAACGCACATTGTCATTTCGACTGATATCGAATCCAGCCGCCGAGGCGCTGAAAGCGAGAATCGACAAGACAGAGGCGGCGGCGGCGGCGGCAGACATCTCCAGAGGACGACTGTCCCCGCAGTTTCAAATCCCCTCTTTTATGTCCCAGACTGTATCGTAAGAGCGGACGGCGTCGAAGTTAAACGAGCAAACTTCTTCCGCATGCTGCCCGCAGCCTCAGACTGCTCGAATGAGCGACGAGAGCATCTCTGCATCTTCCGCCGAGTCATATGTGGCCTGCACAGCACGCGAGGTCGACGGAACGGGCCCGCAGGGTCTCCCAGACGATAAGAGCTTAGCAGACAAACACATGGCCCGGCCACGAGCGCTTCTCGGTGTGATACCCAGGCATTCGCGCAGCTTGCGGGCGAGGTGTATCATTGATCGCGAGCATCTTCTGACGATATCAGCGGGGGACGAGACCAGGCAGGAAGGGTTTTGCAGCGAGGAAGACGGCTCGGACACGAGAATCGTGGATGCAATGACCAGTTGAGATGCCGCCTCAAGTCCGAAACGGCAAGCTGAGATGCAGAAGTGCTGGGACGTGTGCATGCCTGATAAGCCATCTCCGTCGACCGCTTGAACCCATGGATTCCTTGTGCGAAGGAGGGGCCAATCTGATTGAGCTGACGGCCAGTCCATGACATAATGCTCGTGATTCAGGCGTTGGGACGCGTAGACAAGCACGGCCAAATAAGCCCCACTTGCGCCGACGCGAGCAGCATGAACGCGTCCCAGAATCCCTTGTCGTCGCTCGCACTGCCCCCGTCCACGTTATCCGCCCTCCTTCGCGCCGGATACGAGACGACGCACGATCTCGACGCATCCAACGCCGAGACGCTAGCCCACGGTCCGTGAACAGCCTCACCTCTTGCCCCGATCGCGTCCGCCCACATCACCCCTCCGCAGACCTCTCGATACCCCTGCCGTCCTCCCAGGCCCTGCTCTCGCTCTCGCAGCGCAAGAACGCGACGGCGGACCTGCGGCGCCCGCCCCTGTCGCTGTCGCAGCCCGCGTCCGGCCTGGTGGGCCCGCCCGCCGCGCGGATACGCACGGGGTGCGAGCCGCTCGACGGGCTCCTCGGAGGTGGAATCGGCAGGGGACGCGTCGTCGAGATGTCCGCGGCGCCGGGGATACCCACGGACGCGATCGCGCTGGGGCTGGTCCGGTCGTTCCTCGGCGCGGAAGCTGAGGGCGGGGGCGCGGAAGACGTCATGGTTGTGGGTCCGTGGTTCACTCCCGCATCGGGTCGGGGCTCCTCTGACTCTTGGTCCGGTGCAGACGCGCAGAATGGGGTCACGGTCAGTGCTCTGAGGAACGCGCTTCCGGGGACGATGCACCGGCGGGTGTCGCACGTCGCCATCAACACCCTGCCGCGGTTCGTGGCGTTCATCGTCAGCCTGCCGTCGGTTCTCAGGACGAAACCCAAGGTGCGTCGTGTCTCACGAACGAACGAGGGAACGAACGGGGTGCCCCCCGCTGATCAGCAGCCCAGATCCGACTCGTCGTCTTCTCGTCCCTCCACACCGCGCTGCTCCCGCGAACCTCGCTGAAGCCGACGAGCCAGCTCAAAACAACTGTATACGAACACCTGAAGCAGATGCTCCTCAGGCTCACGGCCAGCGGCGTCACGGTGCGTGTCGGCGCCCGGCTCCCTCCCTCCCGTCCGCACACACGCCGCAGGCTCAAGGCGCCGCGCACAGGTTTTCATCACGGCGGCGACGTCGACGAAGATGCTCGATGCGGACAAGTCGCCTGCGACGTTCAGCGCGTCCGCGCGCGCCGTGATGGTCCCGATACTCCGTGCGCCGTCTCTCTCCCCCCCGCGCGCGCGCGTCCGTTCGCTCATGGCTTTCCAGCTGCGACATATCTCCCCAGCGCGTACGCCACCCGCGTCCTAGCGGGGTGGACCGGCGCGGGGACATGGTGCGTAGGCGCCGGGTCTCCTGATTGCGCTGATGGTTTCGTTTCGTGTGCAGTGTCTTGCGGGTGATTGCGCCCCCTGGGTCCGGTGACGATGCACCTGTGAAGGAGGAGATGATGGAGATAGTGAGTCTCGTTGGCTGCTGCCCCGATAGATGCGATGATTGAGTGTGTGTGTGTAGCCCTATCGACAGACACGGGAATTGTGATTGTTGAACCGCAAAGCCTTGGATCGCCCTATTGGTTTGTATGACCATCTGCATGCACATGGTTCACCATGATCGCTGCGTATAAATTCTTCGTGGGTACTACTATACCTCGGGCGTTACAGTTCGAATGTTTCGAGGTGAGAGTGAGAAGCGGGTCTCCGAAGATGATCATGGATGTTTATGCTAGAGTACAGTATACAAATGGCACACTATGATAGATTTACCGTAACGAAAGGAGTGCAGCGCACCAAATCAGTGAGTATTAATATGGACAGGTGGTCAGAAACAAAAGTAGCTCCCTAGAGACCAGGGCGTCTTCTCCCGAAAAACGAACGAATGATGCTCGCTCACGGAAGCTGCCGCCAGTTGAGCGACGCATTGCGCAACGAAGTCGGCTCGGCGCCGTCCCCCGACACAGCAGTCAACGTCGCCGAGTTCCGATTCCGGGTAGCCCGCGACGCGCTCCGCGTCACCGCCTTCGGCTTCGGCTGGGGGTGGTGGATCTTGAACTTCGGGAGGTACGTCGCGTGTGCGTGGTGGACCGGGAGCTGTCGTGGGACTATGAATACCGCGGCGTCACCTGAGCGAGCAATTTAGCACTTACGGGCGTCTCAGATGTGCTGCGTTGGAGCTTGTGGCTCGCCGGGGCGCGGTGGGGGAAGTGCGCGTAGTAGTGTGCGAGGTGGTGGTCGTGTGCGATCTCGAAGTGGATGCCTTGGTCGCCCGCGTGCATCTCCCGGAGCTCCTTGCGCGTGTTGAGCAGGACTAGCAGTGAGTTGGGATATACTGATGGACGGAGCGAGAATATGAGTCCCAGCGCACTGGATTGAGCGACAGAGGGACATACGTTTCCCGATTACAAAGTGCAGACTGAGGGACAGTGCAGATCCTGGGATGAACAGCCACTGATTAATTAGGCGTTTAGACACACGATCAGCGGCAGGTCACTGGCAACGTCACGGTCACTCACGAAGCAAAGCGCGCCGACCGTCATCAGACTGCGAGCTGAGATGAGACGGGCAGTCGGTATACCGGAAGGCGGGACTCACCAGGTGATCAGCCCATTTTCGAGCGTATACAAGGTGAGTGTATCCAGGACACCGTTCATTCTAAAAGCAGGTGAATGAACGGGCGGCGCGCCGGCAACCAACTGAGATGGACATACACAGAAGAGGAAGACAGGATCCGTATCTTTCGCAGATAGTAACACAAGCAAACTGTGATCAGCGCGTCCGTGATTCCTGAGAGCGAGAGGCCGATGGTGAACAGAAGCTGGATGACAGCGTAAGCATCGGACGAGGCAAACTTGACGGTGACGTACTCTGGGACCCAGGTGGTCTGGATCGCCGAACGCCTGCCACCTCCTGTAATGGAACCTGCAGGCGAGCGTCGCGTCAGCCGCGTGCTGTACGAGCGCCGAGACGACGATGGGGGCCAACGTACATCTCGAACGTGGCAGCGACGGCTGCAATCTGTCGTGCCAACGCCAGAGTAATCTACCACGCGTTATCGCTATCAGTCTCGCAGTCAGAATAGCAAGCATGGCGTGAGAACTGACGATTGGAACGGTGATCCACAGATTCTTCCCGCTCGCTGAGCTTGTGCTTCAGAATCGAGAGCTGCAGAATCGAAATCAGACGCGTACATCGGTATATCTTGGCGGCGTAGAAGCTGTCTCTATATCAGCCAAGGCGAGAAGAGGGATCAGAGGAGATATTCACAGGTGTACTATGCATGTCTGTATTGTGGTAAACAGGATCGTGAATGCGATGGACCTGGGCATTCTTTAGTTAAGAAGCAGCAGAGAACGGGAATCGACGCGTCGCACCATGGGATCCACGCTGTGAACGACGTGTCGCCGAAATGCCTTACAAAGTAGTCGTACAACGCGACGAGGATGAATGTGGTGTGGGAGATGTCGATTATCCTGAGGCCAACCGTTGAGCCGGCAGCAGCGATCCCAAGCACACGGCCCGACGTACCAAACCAGCCGCACCATCCACGTCTTCCACCGCGACTCGTCAGGATAGAGTTTGAAGAAGATGATACATTGGACCGCGACAATGCCGCTCAATCTGGTGTCCGCTGTTCGTCAGCAAGTCTATAGCAAGTGCGGACCAAGATCACGCACAAGAGCGCCAGCGCCCCACCGAACAGGATCGGCGTGTATGTGAGTCCCGGCCCTAATCCAGCTGCAACTGAGGTGGTGTTCGACATGTCTTCTCGGGGCAGGAATGGTAGCACAGCGTAGAGAACAGCAAGAGAGGGGAGGGGGCCCGGGTGGTCAATGAATGAAGGAATGTCAATGGCGTCGAAGGGGCATCGGACGGAGGAGAGTCTCTGCGTTCTGATATATCGAGGGTCCGGAGTCACACTCCCACAGGCATGCTACGAAGCGCTGTCCTGTCTTTGTCTACTCTGGACCACGGCCTTGTTCCCATACGTCCGCACTGCACCCGGCGAAGATCAGTCACGTCGGAGAGCCTTGACGACGCGTCCAGGGCGAGAGCTCGTCCGAGAGGAACGCATTCGGGATGACGCGTGACGGTGGCGTACTCCAGATCATTGCGACACGACAGATACAGCGGATGTTGAATTAAGATAGCGTGATTAAGATACAAGAGGCTACGGATACAGTGTGGACCATCACATAGAGAAGGATACAATCAAGTTCGTCAATCAAGTCTCCGCTCTGAGCACTTTCTTGAACAGGTTTCCGCTAAGAAAAGAAAAGGTCAGCGGTGCGCAAAAGCTGCCGGAAAGTGCGCGTACAGTTCTTTGTTTAATTTGCCCATGGCGACATTCCCCACCTGCGCAGCCTCGTTCTCCGCGCGTCTCCTCAGCGCAATCACCTGAGGCATGTGTTCAAACTCCCTCAAGAGAGAGCTGCGCATCAGATCGGGCCGGCGACATCCCGCGCTGTTCCCCAGATGGCGCACGTAGCTGTCTTCGCGTGCAAAGCGCATCGGGCACCCGGCACACGGAACACTCACCTCCGCACGGAAGTGCGTCGTGATGTGCCGCGCCATGTCCGCACAGTTCGAGGTGCGCTGCGGACAGGTGCCGACGGTGCAGGTCATAGCATGCGCAGACGACGGAACTGGGACGCCGCCGCCAGAAGGCATCGCGGGCGGCGCGGCCAGCACACATCCGAGGCGGAACAGATAGTGGAAGCACGGCGTGACGAAGGCAGCTTCCGGAGGGATGGGGATCGTGCTCCGGGCCACAGCTGCGTGAGGGATGGGCGCTGAGTTGAAGCCACCCTGACGTCTGACCGACTTGGGGCTCGGGGTTTCAGGGGTAGCAAGGAACAGGTCCTTCTTCGTCCTCGGATACGGTCCGGACGACCGGGCCCCGCGATTCGCCTTGAGTTTCTTCTGGGTCGGGCGAGGAGGAGGAGGAGGAGGAGGAGGAGGAGGTGTCGGCAGATACACGGATTCGGACCTTGATGGACTCGGGGAGAACTGGCGCACAGGTTTCCGCGACCTGATGGGGGTCTTGGGCATGTACACAAAGTCAGGATCTTTGCACGTGGTCTTCTCATCGTCGTCACTGTCCTCGACAGCAGTATCGGAGTCGTAGCTCCGCAACTCTTCCTCTGGAGCAAGCGTCTCCGTGTCTGAGACGGCAGGGCTCGACGGCTTGAACGGCTCGGCCTCGTCCTCCGGCTCAGAACAAGGGGCAGCGACGTAAGCAGGGACAGCGGAAAACATGGCAGGAGAAGGGATCATGATCACCCTGGGATCTATGCAGCCGGATTGCCTCGTGGCAGCATCTCCAGGGGCCCTCCACCCAGCGATATCCCAATCCAGGCCCATGCTGTTCTCTAGACGAGGCGCAGACTGAAAGGCCCACGTCGGATCCTCGAACCAGCCGCCGAGACTTGTTGGCTGTGGCTCGGAATGCATCAAATGGCTGTAGGGCAGAGCATACATTTGTTTCTCGGCCAACAAGCTGCGAGGAGGCAGTTGGACATAGCTGGGTCGGACCATCGAATCGTAGAGCGCGTCGACACTCGCGCCCAGAATGGCGGGGCTGAGATCCAAAAGACTCGGCGCATTGAATTCGAAATCGAAGCAGATGTTGTCAATGGTGTCGATGTGATCAAACTCGAGAGCCTGCTCGAAGTCGGTCAACGGTGTTTGAAAGAAAGACATGAGGGGAGTGTCGAAGGTCGTCGAAGTTCGAGTCGAGGTCGTAAGTCGTCACAGACGATATCAAGCAGACAGAGAGCGAGGGGAACGAGAACAGCCGCTCCAGTCCTCGGTGTGCGGAAGATATAAGGAAGTGGAGCGTGCACTGTTGAAAGCGCCCTCTGTTTGCATATAAACGAGAATGAGCGCTGCATAATCCCCCTTTGCTAGCTTTGATGGACTTGGCCTTGCGTTCTATCTGATGCTGATGGGTCCTTCATAAAGGCGGGGTCATGGGTGGGCGGTAAGCGAGACAAAGAGCGTATGGGCCACGAGTCTCGCTTAAAAGTTCGTGTTGCTCGGGAATACGGAATTGTTCAGCAAAGGGTCTATTGAGGAAGCGAAGATGAACGAATTCGTGAGGGAGAGAAAGAAAGACAGGTGGGGTTGTGGACAATCAAAAATGTTGTGTCGGCCTTGCTTCCAGGAGTGAGTGACAGAAAAGATGGGATTTGAAGCCACAAAAGCTCAAGATAAGTATTCGGAGACAAGGGCTGGACTGGTTAGTGACGAAAGCAAGAAGGGAAAGTTGGAAGAAGCAACCCAGACTCGCTCCTCAACCCGATTGACTCTGCATCAATTTGATCTCGACAATTGACTTACGTGCTTGTCATCGCATAATCAGACAAACGTATCACACCTTCTTCTTGTCCTCCTTGACTATTCCGGACGCGTCTCGCGCGCCCGCGCGGCTTGATACCAAAAACAGATATCCGACACTCTAGACTTCGAGCACATGTATACTCACGCAAGCCACATCCCTCAACCTCCGCACAGCGCGGGTGCTCGCCCCCAGGGTATGCGTTGTCCGCTTCCAAATGCAAGTAGATCACGGAACTCACTCTCATGCCTTCCCAGGCTTCCGCACGAAGATAAATCCGGCTCAAATCCCCTCTGCGACAGAAGCCATTGAGTTTGATCGCCACCAATGGGAGGATTCCACCTATTCAGGCATTCCGGGGGAGCATGTCCCGCTTTCGACGTCGGACCATTCGAGTATCGATCAAGGTGCGCTCGCAATACTACTCTCTTACTTGATATCGTGCACCACTGAGATCAGTCAGGCAATTCGACACCGAAGTTCATACGCATGACGACATGGAATGTACCCTACACTTCCAAGCTCGCCGCCGACTGCGCCCTGCCTATAGTCGCTGCAATACAACCCTTCGCCGACCAAGATCCTCGAGACGAGCCGATACCCGTCGTAGACTTCGGGGAGCACGGGCCACCGCGGTGCGCTGGCTGTCGGGCGTACATCAATCCCTGGTGTACTTGGACGAGAGGGGGAAGTACTTGGTCATGCAATCTCTGCTCTGCGGAGACCGAAGGTACCTTCGAGCTCTGGTCGATGTTTCGATGACAACGATGCCGTCTAGTCTCTTCCGAGTATTTCTGCAATCTCGATGCACACAACATGAGGCGGATGGACCATGACCAGAGGATGGAGTTAAATCGCGGAACTGTGGATTTTATTGTCTCTGAGGAATATTGGGCGACGAATCCGCCAGAACGACTGTCCATGCCGTATTTCTCTGTCGAGCGACCGCAGGCCGGCCCTCGTTGCCCAGGGCCCATGAAGTTTCTCTTCGCCTTCGACGTCTCTGGGGAGGCGCTGCACTCTGGGATTCTACACACAGCCTGTGCAGTCTTACGGGACCTTTTATTCGGTCCAAACGCATGTTTCCCGTCATCAAGTGAACTCGCCATCCTCACCTTCGACACGTCGCTCCACTTTTACGATCTCTCTGTGCGCAGCTACACCGCCACGTTTCTATAGCTGACTAAACGCCAGTCAGATGCCGTCTCGATGCTCGTCGTCTCAGATATCGATGAAGTCTTCGTTCCTTTGCGAACAGGGCTCTTTGTGAAGCCTGCAGATCACCAGTCGGCGATAGAGAATTTGTTGACCAGTCTGCCGGACAGATTTGTGCAGATGCCCTTTGCTGATGCCGCTTTGGGATCCCTACTTCGCGCCAGTGTCGCCGCTTTGGTCAGACCATCACAGCTTTGTATGTGACAGCCTGCTGACTGCTCAAAAGTCTGGTCATGGAGGTCAGGTTGTCGTGTTCCAGAGCACCATGCCTCGTCTTGGACCTGGAGCCCTGCTGGAAGAGCCCAGAGAGGCAGAGCTGTACGACACGCCAAAAGAGACGACCCTTTATGTTCCCAGAGACAACACCTGGCGGGAAATCGGTTCAGAATGTGTCGAAGAAGGGATCGGCGTGAGCATGTTCCTGACCATGAGTAAATACATCGACGTTGGCTCAATCGGTAGGTGACTGCGTTGGTTATGCTTGAGCTCTCACCTATACCGTTCAGGTGAGGTGGCCTCGATTACTGGCGGAGAGCTTTTCTTCCATCCGCGATTCACGCCTGCCCGAGATGGTCCTGTCCTGGCTGCTCAACTCGATCGACTCATTCGGCGAACCACAGCATATAACTGCATGATGCGCATCCGAGTTTCGAATGGTATTCCCACTTCTCTGGCTACTCAACGTCTGGACTGATGCCGATTACCAACAGGCTTGCGGATCTCAGGATACTCAGGCAACTTCAACCGCAGAGGAGGGACTGATCTCGAATTCGGTGTGATGGACGCAGACAAGGCTATCTCGGTGACCATCAAGCACACAGGCTCATTAGATGTGCGGGCCTATGCCTATCTGCAGTCTGCAGTTCTCTACACGACCGTCGATGGTCAACGAAGAGTCCGGACATGTAATCTCGCTTTGCCCGTCGTCGAGCTAGCTTGGAATGTCTTCCAGTTCGCTGATATGGACACCACTGTCTATCATCTAGCCAGAGAAGGTCGATTACCTCTTCTACTTTGATCTCAGCTACTCAATGTGTTCTCAGCGGTGGCGCAGACGGGCTCTGAGAGGCTATCCAACATTCGCGATGATTTGACGGAGAGCTGTTCCGCCGTGCTACTTGCCTACCGCAAGAAATGCTCCAATACATCATCTATTGACCAGGTCCCAGTCCATACACATCACGCTCTTAACGCATTCTGATCTGCTTCCAGTTGATACTACCCGAGGCTTACAAGGCACTGCCCATGTTTTCGCTGGCGATACAGAAGTCTAAACCGCTACGAGGTCAATCGAATCCCACTGCATCCATCGCTTCTACTCTAACCTTGTTCTCCAGCAGCACGAAACGTCTCCTCCGACGTGCGGAATTATCATAGGCATCGGATGCTGAGCATCGGCGTGCGCCAGATGATACACCTGCTGTATCCTCCGCTCTTGGCGCTGCATGATCTCTCGGACAGCGCCGGGTTCGCAGACCCTTCTACTGGCCGGTTGGAGATGCCAGACATCATGCGGGATAGCCATCTGTATATGGAGGGTCACGGAGTGTATCTAATTGGTTCGTGCATCGAGTTGGTTGTTTTGCAAGCTCCTTACTCTATTGCAGATAACGGCGAGATGATGGTCTTATGGATTGGTGGAAGTGTGTCGCCACAGCTGCTGCTAGATATGTTCGGGGTCGACGATCTGATGCTCTTGGATTCCCAAATGGTCCGTAGTCCCGTTCTCTCTCGCAGCGATTGCCAATCATCCGACAGACATCCCTTCCGAGACTCGATACCAGACTCTCGATGCAAGTAAACAACATCATTGACCATCGACGCCACCAGCGGGGCGGCAGACTCCCCAAGTTCTCCATCGCGCGGCAGAACCTAGACGCAGCCGAGATCGAGTTCAGCGACATGCTGGTGGAAGACCAAAACACCGGGGCGATGGCTTATTCCGATTGTATGTTGCTCGAGACGGAACAGCGGGCCTCTGACTAATCTGTTGCTGTAGACCTTTCCGTTGTACATAACCAAATCAAGCAAGTAGTGAGTCCTCCGGGTCCTCTTGTCATACCCTGCCGCTCACTGTCAGCTAGCTTCGAGACGGAGGTTCGCTGGGTGGTGGAGTAGCCTTCCGGAGTTCAATTTGGTAATTGTGAATGTGTGCAATATAAAGTCTGTAATCGTGGTGCGAGATCAGATTCAGTACATGGAAACAGGGCGGAGGATTGGCACGTGTCCGCGTCACGTGTGTTTCATCGCTCGTCCTCGAGCAGCTGCGTGCAGTACAGTTTGGGAGTTCAGGACAAGCGCACAATAACTGAATCGACCACGAGATGAATATAAAGGTATTGCAATATCTATCTCGTAACCCTCTTCCACTGACTGGACGATTGTATCACTGTTTACCGAGAGGAGAAAGTGACGTGATCGCACCCGAGACTGAGACGGTACGATACGAATATGTGTGTGTTAATGAGAGTAGCGCACGGAGACTAGAGCGGACCTTCGTTGCATTGGAACGCGCAGCAGAGAATTGAGAGGTACGTACAGGAGACAAAACGACTTGTAGCACAGACATCGCAGAGTTGAATTGACAAGGTTTCGCAAGCGCGACAGAGGGCAAAGCAGCAGGACAATTGTTTGAGTGTTCGTATTCCATGATAGCAATGTGGGAGTTTTTGCCGATCTCTCTCATTCCGAAGATAAGCAGAATTTGTCGCTTCGGGTTCCATTGAGAGCAGAATCAGGTGGAGCCATCCAAGAGCAGAAATGCAAGCAGGTTGATGATAGAAAGCAAGGCAAGCAGACTAGTCGTAGTGATGATGCGCGATACCCTGCGAAAACAGGTACGGGACGCTTCTGAAACAGAATAAGCGAGAAAGCGACAGACAGATAAAACGCGCACCCCATGGAAAGTCCATCTAGCCCATAAGCAGGGAACTGGCTCGTCGGAACATCAAAAGAGCTGGCACATAGAGGGTTGTAATCGGTGCTAGCGTTGTACCGATTCAGGACATTGCGCCCACTGAATGTGGATTTGATTGAAGGAGGGCCGCCTTGACTACAATGGGGAACGTCGTAACCGAAACTTGAGATATCAGGCAGTGTCGGTGTCTCGATGAGAGGAGAAGAGGGAAGCGACGGCGGCTCAGCTTGACTGTCGACAAGATAGATCGCACGGATAGTGCAACCGGCATATGACTCCCCATCCAGAGCACGAACAGATTCCTGAGCAGCTGAGATGTTACAGTACCGTACGACAGCAGCAGTCGACTGGGCATCATTGTGCATTGATGGTCCTAACGTGATGAGGCGAAGGTCATTGATAGAACCAAAAGGGCAGACGAGTCCACGCAAGTCTTCCTTGGATCCAAACAATAGAGAGGGTAGATTGAATATGAGAAGCGAAGTGGTCGGGACAGGACTTGGACTGGGTAGGCCTTCACTTTCGAAAGGGCGCAAGATAGAGGAAGATTCAACAACAGGAGAGGAAGCCAGCGAAGAGGACGATATGACTCCTGCACGATCACCACCATCTAGGAAGCCTAGAGAGATAATTAGATGAGTGGATCATTGCGCACGATAACATACCTTTGGAGCGCTGCACGACAGCCCAAGATATGTCCATCCCACTGATACCGTTTCTGCTAGAACGACCTAGAGCAGCCATGACCTGTTTAGCTTCTTCGTGGGTAGACATCACAACAAATCCGCGTCGACGTGAAGCTCCATCGAGCGTT